AAAGTCAAAGTTGCTTACCTCTACCGTGGTTGAGAGAGACGAAGAGGAAGAAGAGGAGCTCAAGGCGCGAAAGGCCAAGTTGAAGGCTCAGAAGGCAAAGGCCGTTGCGAAAGTTAATGGTGATGCCCTCTTACTGCCCCAGGAGGCTTCCTCCTCCTCTTCCAAAAAGCCCAGGACGAAACTGGCAAAGATGAAGAAAGCTACATAGTTCATCTTTTCTTCTTTTGCTTGTTTCCTTCTTCCTCTCATTTGGTGTATGGCGCATGATGTTACGTTACTAGATCCTGGGACTGGTATAAAAGCGTTCTCTTACTCTAAGTTTACTCGTCTATATATTTATATTCCTGCATTTCTCAAGCTCAATACTACATCTCTCAATATCAATGTCAGTATCAATGTAGTCTCATGTAGTCTATGTACATGTGCCTGCTTAGTCATCCGGCTATCGGCGCCGAGGAACGAGGTTCCATAGGTGCTTTCCAAGAACCTACCGAGCTTCTTTCTTCCAACTTCGCATCTCAACTCCAACGCCCACTCCAGCACTCAATTAAGCCGAGCCGGCCTCATCCACACCCTACAGAGAGACACATATACACCCCTAAGCAATAACGACCATGATCTCGATCGCTCGCCCGACCGTCCTCCGGGCAACTCGGTTCATATACCCCTCCGCCGCAAGCACACTCGCCCGTTCTCGATTACTCTCTACCCTCGCTATCCTCGAACATAAAGACGGGAAAGTAGCCGGTTCTTCTCTCTCGGCTATCGCTGCTGCTATCAAGCTCGGTGGCCCCGTCACCGGCTTTGTGGCTGGCAAGGGCGTCAAGGCCGGTGTAGCTGCTGAAGTTGCGAAGGTGGAGGGTGTGGAGGATGTTCTTACAGTTGAAAACGAGGCATACGATAAGGTACGACTCTACGATGATGTTCCCCGCAAGTGATGTTGTGAAGCGTTATGTGCTTGGAAGGGCATGTGGGTTTGTGTGTTTGTATTCGACGTTGACTGACGTCCGTAGGGTCTACCGGAGAACTACGCGCCACTATTAGTCGAGAACATCAAAAAGGGCGGCTTCACACATGTCGTTGCAAGCCACTCGGCCTTTGGCAAGAATGTCCTGCCTCGTGTTGCGGCCATGATGGATGCTCAGCCTGTTTCAGACGTTACCGCCATCGAAGGAGAGGACAGTACGTTATCTAGCCCAGCCAGACTTCAATTTACCGCATAGCCCACCGCTGACACACATAGAATTCACCCGCCCCATCTTCGCCGGCAACGCAGTGCTAACAGTCCAATCGACCGACCCCATCAAATTCTTCACCGTCCGCGGCACCGCTTTCCAACCAGGCTCATCAACAGGCGGCTCAGCCAAAATAACAGACGGCGTCGACCCCGCAGCCCCATCAACCACAAAATGGCTCTCCGAAGACCTCACCACCTCCGAACGGCCCGACCTCTCTACCGCCGAGCGTGTCGTGTCCGGTGGTCGCGGTCTGAAATCAAAGGAAGATTTCGACCGTATCATGACTCCCCTCGCTGACGCCCTTGGTGCCGCTATCGGTGCCTCCCGCGCCGCTGTCGATGAAAAAATGGCAGATAACTCGCTACAGGTTGGTCAGACGGGCAAAAACGTTGCACCTCAGCTCTATTTGTGTGCCGGCATCTCAGGTGCTATCCAGCATTTGGCAGGTATGAAGGATAGTAAGGTCATTGCTGCCATCAACAAGGATCCAGATGCGCCTATTTTCCAGGTTGCGGATGTCGGACTTGTAGGAGACTTGTTTGAAAAGGTTCCTGAGTTGACGGAGAAGTTGAAGAAGTGAGCATTCCAGCAATGGAAGGGAATGAAATGAAAAGCTAGAGATGCGTCGTTGTATCACATTTTGACTCCTTTGTATATACATATGTATGGTGTTTTGTGTCTTTCTTGGTCTGCTGGCTTATATAGATGAACTCAGCCATCTGATTATCCCTTTCCTTGTCCGTAGCTTGCCTTGTCTGTTGCAGGGGTAGTTGTGGACACTTAGTTACTCAGCTCCAAGGCTGTCACGGGTCGAAGGATAAATAGCAGCAGCAAACAAGATCAGATAAGATAATGTGTTATCCCTGGCCTCCTGCAATCTTGTCCTCCGTCTACAATCCTACGACTTATATGCAACACGCAACTTATCACCCACACATTTACTCCGACGGAATAACAGGTTCTGATGCCGGAATGATACCCACCGCAGGGTACCCATTCCTGATGGCCTGAGCCCACCTTCGGAGCACTTCAAACCTGTTCTACCTAGCTATAAACACCCTTACCAATCTCCATCATTCCGATGCCCTCCTGAAACACCGATATGACTACGCACTTGCATGCCTTCCTGAGTCAGGATGCCGTCATGCTCGCACCAACAGATGAGGCTGGAATTATTAATCGCGGACATTATTAATTCTGCTGGATAAGCTTAAGTTAGCCGATATGAAGAGTCGCTTCTTCGCCTAAACCGTGCCCACTACTAACTCCATGCTTTCCTGAATATAGTTAAACATACGAAGCACGTTCGTTCTCAGGCAGTGAATCATCCATGTCTGTGTGCATGACCTCGATCTAAGACTTGAGTCACTTAAAATAACGTGAAGAGGGCCAACAGTTAATACGAGAGTGACGCAACAATTCGATTATAAAGCTCGGTTTCCCGGAGTCTCTCTTCTTCGTTTTTCATCAACTCAGTTTTCTCACTTGATTGCTAAGATGCTCAACTCAATCGGCCTGGATGTGGATGAGTATCTTAACTTATCGGTTAATATAGCAACTAACTCCATGCTGTCCACGCTACCACTTATGGAAATCAATACTAGTATACAGTACAGAACATAGTCCATCCCAGGTGCCTTAGGGGTTTCATCTGCGTGATCCCGGCACTGAGACTCGCCCTAGAGAAGCCGGATAACTAAGGTCGGAGTACAACCTATGGGCGTGGTAAGCATCTGCAGAAGTGCTCCTGAGTCTCCGGCATCCAGATTTTTTTTAGCAAGAATGATGTTTTGGCAGCATGCTAGTGGAATTCAAACATTTCTCATGCTAACTTACCGATACTAAATTTGGTCTCAGCAGCTCAGTCCGGCCATTCTTGACTTGACAGGCAAGACCCCAACGCTCGTTATTTCAAGTATACCACTACCTATTGATACTAAGCTTGGAGCGCTCAACTATCCCTCACGTTAAAGAATCATGCGAACAGTATCATGACAAGCTATTAAATCGCCGTGCCAAAAAGGGGAAACTCCTAATTTGCTGCAGAGAGAGTCGTTATATCATCGACACAAGCTAAAGACAAGACCTGTGTCAGCTGAATAACGAGCAAAAATATTGTTAAAAGGTATCGTCCTGCCGACTACTAGTGGGTGCTCGCTCTTTACATTGAGTGGTATAGTCCATGTCTTTGCATGCTATTGAGTACAAAGCACCACATATTCTTAAGGCAAAGGACGTGATATCCATAGCGAGAAAGGCGACACGCAAGCAATACCAGCCTTATTCCCCATAATAACATGTCACATATGGGCTATAAGCGTATGTGCACTCGAGTCTATCGAGTTTTTGGTGGAGGCCGCCTGGCTATTGAATACAAGCCACCTCATATGTCGCTTGCCAGTAACGACGAAAATCTTTCTCACCAGTCTCAGATCTAGACGAAAGCTCTTTTATTCACTGCTTTCGGGCCTGGAAACAGCAGGAACTGACACATTACAACAGTCGATATCGACATTGTGGAGCAGATCCAAGAAAATACCCCTGCCGTCAGAAACTGAAGCCAAAAATGAAGAGTCACCACGCCGCCTGCCATCACGCCAGAGACGGCGTCTGCAACTGGCGACCGAAGGACCGCCGGGTCGATGGCTAAGTCAACGTCCGATGACTGGAACCTACCTAATATGAGAATGGCAGAAATCGTTGACAAGCCTAGAGAGCTTTGGCATTCTAGGAATATCATGCATTAGTTCAGATACTTCAGTCAGTTCGAGACCTGACATCAATTCAACAACTGAGCGACCAGTACTCCTCCAGGTGTGCGGCCTGCCGTGCCTGCGCCTTCCGAGTCGCCCGTTGGTGATGACATTCCGTTCCGGGCCATTGGGCCCTGGGCAGTTTCAAGTCGTGGTGCGCGCCGCTGTGCCCCCTGCGCACTTTCCGTTGTTTTCTCCTGCCAGCGCCCCTGCTCCAGCGGGCTTGTCAACGCTTAAGAAAGATGTAGAGCGTAGTTCCGAGTTCTACCGATTCGAAAGACCGATATACCAATCATTTCCCTTCTACAAATGCCGACTCTGGCGCCTGCTGATAAGCAGTTTGCGCAAAATCCTACCACCAAGTGAACCCGCTAGGCTGGACCAAAGAAGAAAGTAGTCAGATAACGTTCGAAAATCAATAAACAGTTCTATTTGAGATTCAGTTACCGATTGCAAAACGTAAAAGCTCTGAATTCGTTATCTGCGACGAAACGTTAGTGTTCTGATACTGGTTGCTCTACAGTTATTATCCGATGGTTCCTAAACAATCCTTATTTTCCAGTACCGAGAAGTATAATTAGGCTAATACGAGTAAAGACGGAATTATAAATATATTTTCCCTATATCTTCAAATAATAATAGAAGTTCAGAAAAAGACTCCTCTGTTTTGATATAGTGCATGTATCAATCCTCAGTAGTATGGACTGGATCTGTAGTATTCACGATAAAGTCTTTGCTGTTAAAGCGGCGACGACCGGTGCCAAGACGCTGCGGCAAGCTAACTATTCATAGTTAGCTAAAAAAAAATACTTACATAAGCAGCTCATGCGGCTCAAGTAACTTACGTAACTAACTACTCCGGACCTCCACGAAGACTGGAGCCTGCGCAGCGACTCTTCTCTGCCGCCCATCAGCAGGCTCGCCCTTTTGGCTCCGCAACTTTGTCCAGACGACCGTCATTTCGAGACGGGTGCACATACTTGGAGGGTCTGCCCAAGTAAGTGTGAGGATGTCGCAAGATGTGGACTACAAGGCTCTCTTACTCGAGGCGGAAGAGCGAGCAAGGCAAGAGAAAGAGTTACGTCTCAAGGAAGAAGAGTTGCGTCTCCAGGCAGAAGAGCGAGCAAGCAAGGCAGAAGCGCGAGCGTCACAAGAGAGGGAGCAGCGTCAACAAGCTACTCAAAAAACAACTTTCGATGAATACCTCTGGGGATGTCACCGCCTGATCTCTGTAACGATTCGCGTCCAGCGCATAGAACACTCAACCCAAGGGTCGATAAACAAACCGACAGGCAAGGTATGCCCGCGGTATCTGCAGGAGTGGGGTGACTGTTCCGATACTCTGCAATACTTCTACCAGCGCGTTTATGACTTTCTCCGACAGGAAAGGCTGTTTCTTCCTGTTATTACGCTCGAGGGGCTCGGCCAGATCTTGAACCACCCAATAGGGAGTGAGAAGGATATAGAATTCTACGGTCGGCTGGCCGTCGAGCGGCATGTTTATAATATTATTTCGGAGCTCTGCAAGATGGAAGAGGCTCGGGAAGAATTCCAGCTAGGCGAAGAAATCACGTTTGAGAACCATGCGAACAGTATTGACGACCCTGATAATGATACTGATGCTAACTACAGCCCTATCATTGATCGTGCCTTTGCGGACCAATTCTGCATTCACAAAGTGAAAGAAGGCACCACGACTCTTCTTACAACTGTTGAGTATAAGCCACCTCATAAGCTGCCCCCTGAATACCTGAATTCCGGCCTACGGCCAATGGACCTCTGGGAAGAAGTTGTCCAGCGAGATATCAAGAAAATCCCACCAGAAGAGAAAATCAAATACAATGCAGAGAAAATATCAGCTTCTGTCCTTGTTCAAGAGTACCACGTTATGATTACCGAGGGCTTAGAATATTCATACGTCACCAATGGGATATCCTATGTTTTTCTCCGCGTTCCAGAAGATGACCCGCAGACACTGTACTACTTCCTCTGTGAACCCAACACCGATGTCCATCTAGATGATATTGGGCCATGGACTGCCATAGCTCGTGTCCTCGCTTTTTGTTTAATGTGCTGTCAGTCCACGGCTAGAGACCATACGTGGCGGAATCACCAGCTGAGACATGGACTACGGTGGGAGACAGATCTTGACTATGTCAGATCACAGATACCCAAGGAGGAGCTTCGCCAAACACCTCCAGGCTCAGAATATATACCTTCCTCCTCCCCTGCTGGTTCTTTCACCATCCCAGATAACCGCGGAGGTATCAGAACTCGGTCTCAAACCCGCTGCGCTCCGAACACAGAAACACAAGGTTCAGGCCCGACCGACTCCGACTCCGATCCTGAAGCGCCTTCCGGCTCAAGAGCCAATCTTGGAGGGCGAAAAAGAAACTTGAGCGAGCTCACCTCCTCGTCGTCCAGCCAACACGGCGAAGGGGCGGGTCAGAGAGGCCAGAGAGGCCAAGTCCAGCAACGGCGACAGCACATTGAGTCCTTTTGTACACAGAAGTGTTTGCTTGGTCTCCGACGGGGGACCAGGCTCGATATGAGCTGTCCAAACGTTGACCGACATAGACAGGGAAACACCAATTCCACCCACCACCTTATTAGTGCAGACCAACTCGTTAGCTTGATCAATCGTCAGCTAGACGAGAACCTTGACCTCGACTGCACCCCATATGGTAGACATGGCTCGTACGGACAGCCATTTAAAATCACCTGTCGCAGATATGGCTACACTGTTCTCGGTAAGGGAACAACTGCGTTCCGCTGGAACGAGGTACGACGTGAGGTGGAAGTCTATCGTTTTCTACACGCAGCCCAGGGATCTGCAGTGCCTGTTTTCCTCGGCCCTATCAATCTTGACATGGTCTACCACGTTCATGGGGCAGGCTCTATCCGGCATATGCTCCTTATGGGCTTTGGGGGAGAAGAAGTCGGCAAGCGTTCTGGCGAGTTTGCCGGCCACATTGAGCGATCCACGCGAGAGCTACATGATCTAGGAGTTATCCACGGTGATCTCAAGCCTAATAACATGCTATGGAATGCGGAGCTACAGAGGGTCCTGCTGATAGATTTCCATGGCTCCAAGCTCATGCTACCCTTGGAGAGGACGAAGAAGAAGCAGAAGGTGATGAACCAGGAGAGCAAGAAGAAGAGCTTGAAACGACTGGCGGATAACGGGGAGACTAACGAGGGCATAAAGAGAACCCGTCTTCATTTGTGTGAGACCTAAAATCGGCTGGGCCGACACGGGTGTATAACTGCGAAAGCAAGCGTAGAGCGTTGTTTATATATATACCCAGTGTGTACTTGTTTAATGCTCATCTAAAGAAAATCTGTTGCTTGACCTACTATGTAAAACAGCGAAAGGAAACAGGTTTATGTGGTGCTCTTCCTGTTTATGGCATACGAGTTATGATAATTATGTCTAACCCAGCCATACTGGTGTTGAGGGTTAAAACAGTGTATTTCCATTGCAATGCTTCACCTTGCATTTCAACAACCACAATATGAGGCTCTGTAGACACTGCTTGACTATATATGATGCCTCGGGTCGGCCTTTTTGCCTGCCGATGAATACGGGCCTCTCGTATTCCCTGGTGAGCGTGATGGGGCAGAGACCCTATACCAAGAGAATCCCACCCGCGTAGTCCTCTTGAATAAGAGCAAGACATGGCCGACGGAGAGGATAAAACTGATTTATTTGTGGAATTAGTCTTCTGACAGGCCGTGTGCTGGGACTTCCGATGAAATGAAGTCCTTAAAGGTGCTGCTGGTCTTCCGCACTCGCACAAAAAAGTAACTGATACCAAAGAAACCAAAAAAACCCGGATTATCAACTCAGAAAGTGAGTCAATCATGACGATGAAATACTTTCTTTTTGGTCTAGTTCTCTCTGGCGGTGTGCTTGCGAGTACTCCGAGGCGTGAGGACCAGCCACTCGCTGCAGTGAAGCCGATGTCCCGGTTGACGGGAGAATTCCGACCACAGCGTGCTGCAAACGGGACTCTGACTGGCTTTGAAGGCTTTTCAGAAGCGAAACTGCTGTTTGCTAGATCATGCCCGGCAGGTTCCTGTATGTTGCTGAACTCTGGTTTTGGGCTCTCTATTTATATATTATGAGTAGTTGAAGCATAAATATGACTCAAGGCGGTATCTTAGGCTGAATGCTAATATGGAACTTTCCTCTAGACGAATGCCCGACTGGCGAAGGGTGCTGCAGAACGAGCCAGAACTGCACGCCTACCGGCTGCTGCAACAAGCCAGACATAAGTTGCGGAGCCAAGGGTTGCTATGACCCGTCGACTGAGACGTGCTGTGAGTCTCGCGGAACGAGCTGTGATAAGGGATACGACTGCGTTGAGCCATCGGGCTGCTGCCCTTCCGGAGAGATTCCCTGCGGCCACAAGCACTGCTATGACCCAAAGAAGGAAGTCTGCTGCGATGACGGAGGAAGCTGCCCCAAGTCGAGCACATGCCATAAGGACGGAGGTTGTTGTCCCGACTACAAACGGTCTTGTGGAGAAGGTAAATGCTACGACCCATTATTCTCGATCTGCTGCACAGACGGCGACGATTCCTGGGCCTGTAGTAAAGGGGAATCATGCTGTCTTGCCTCGAAGAGCTGCTACAGCCGCGAAACAGAGAAGTGTTGTGAGAGCGGAGCCTGTCCTGACTCGGGCAGTTGCTGTGAGAAGGAATGCTGCGATGAAGACCAAAGGTGTGGTGTGAATGGGTATTGTACATCAATACGCACTCCTTCACCGACCACAGCCACGGTCACTACCACTGCGAGTAGTGCTCCGACGTCAGGAAGCGATGGCTCGGAACCAGGATCCAACCCAGACGGAACGGTTCCTAATGGTGGAATGCAAGTTGGTCCGGGAGCGGTTTCATCTGTCGCCATCATTTCTGCCTGTATTCTTGGAATACTGATGTTCTAGAGGGATATTGTATCCCTAGATATAGACCTCAATTCATATTCCTGTCAAGAATCTGACGGCACCCCCTATGGCAGGACGTACTCCGTAGCCAGTAGATTAACCTTGGAGACGCAGTCGTTCCGCATGCAAATCAGTATAAAATGATGGCTTCCTGGAGGATCGAATCGTGTTGGCCAGTTCGACCAGTGACGGTGGAATGCTGGTGCCTAAGGAGATCGGCGTTGCTGGGAGTCGTGTCTGTACATAGTACAAATAGGAACTCTGAGCTTGAGGTAAGACTACCAGGTGGCCTGCATGAGAAATATACAGTCTCCATCTAGACCAAGCATAAGTGAGTCACCAGACGAGATTAACTGTTTGTTTTCCTCAGCCTGACGCATCCTGACGAGGAGATTTCTGCCTGAACGAGCCTCCAACATGGGTATCGGGAAGCCGCAGCGTTTCCTCTGTCGGAGTCTGATTTTGGTTGCTCCCTGTCCGCGGCGGCCCAGAACGACCAAACAACGACCGATGACTCAATTGAGTTGGTCCCTCCTCGTATCCTTGTCCCTGCGATGGTGATGTTATTTATATATTAATATTATCAACCAGTACGAAAGCGCGAACGTTGTCGAGGAGTCGCTTTGTTGACTAAGCAGTAACACTATTCCGTATTCCGTGGAATTTCCGAGTCTGGCGTGTTTGCATCTTTTGTTTGCGCTCTAGCGTCGGAGTTAATGTTGCTGACTAAGGCTGTCGGAATACCCAGTTCATTCCGACTTCGAACTCCGAGAGATATCAAACCTTAATTGAGTTCAAGGGGAAAAAGGAGAAAAAAAAGGGGGGGGAAGAAGCTGGAGATCGAAGGATGGGCGAAAGAAGACAATCAAACACAACTGAACTAGGGTCCAGTGTCGATGGTGTCGATGATGCTGATGATCGTGGAGGGGGCGCTCTCATCCCCCTAAGCCATGTACGGAGTAAGCGCTAAGGGACGGGCGTTTACTGCCGCTGCTGTGACGTGCTCGAAGGGCGCTGGCTCTCACCAACCAGCAGGCAAACAGCTTGCTAGCGCTTAAGACGAGCTGATATAAGGCGTGTGCTTCGGAATAAGACAGCTGGCTCTCTGCTCCCCTGGCTCCACCGCGTCTAATGAGGCTTACATAGTCTGCATTTGTCATGAAAGCATCCAGCAACTAACTAGTCTGACCGTCCCGCAGGCCCCCATCCACACGTAAATCTTGATTCGCGTTATTGCTGGGATGGATTTGTAACGCATACGGATGTATGACGGCGTTTTCCAGAGCCAGGCTAGACCGTGATATGCCGTATCCCGAATGACGACCGGAGTGTCGTGGGAGCATGCTTATTTTTTCTCGTTTGATACCCAGAGATGCCTGGTCTGGCGGTCTATAAGAAGGGGCTTTCCCTCCTCCTTCTTATGCCCCCTTTCTCTTCTCCATCATCACAACCACTCTTAATCAAAGACACTCAATAAATACCAGCTTCAAGATCTTCTCTACTTGACTGAACACTACTCAAAAAACCTTCTTCCTCTACTCTAATAAAACACACATTCTGAGCTCTCCAGCCAAAACAAACCCGAATCAAACAGTCACTACGACTTCACCAAACCGAATACAAGCACCGATATATAACATCAATACAACAATGTCGACCTCTGCCACCGCCTCCAACGCTTCTAGACTGTCTATCTTCTCCAGACGAAGCAGCATGGCCAAGAACTCAGACAACAAGCTCTTCTCCAGCGCCTCCTCGATGATGAGTACTTCGTCCATCTCCAGCATAGCTGCACTCAAGGCTGCTCTGCGTCGTCAAAAAGAAAACAGCTCCGAGTTGTCAAAGAAGACGACCAGAAAACAAACGACTTGCATCTCACCCACCACGACCGAAGCTGCGAGAGCCAGTTACTTTGCTCACCGGGCGTGAAATTACAGTCGCCCCTTCATCAATATCAACGACTACTACGACCATGGGTGGCCTAGGACAGATTTGGATTGGCGTTTGTCTGGGGGGTTATCAATGCTCTTTTAAGATCGATTGATCTGTTTTATTGCTTTTCTTGATGGGCTTCTTTTATTTTTCAGGGTTTCTTTTTCCTTCTCTTTTGCCCAATTTTTGATCCAGCCTGTACAACGATCAGGTGCTGGAAATTTAGATAATGGTCTTGCCTTTATTCGTCTGCTTGCATGCAAATATGTAGTTGACATCTAGTTTTAATATTAATAATAAAAAAAAAAAAGTGCTGTGTCTCAAACTTGGTCCATATATCTACATTCTCTCTCCTCCTCTCCTATAACTATATCACGATGTATAACACTCGGAAACACATGAGAGTAAGTCGTCAAGTCTGCCATTGAGCTTACGCGGACGGGTGCCAGGCAGCTAAATTATCCACCGCCAAATGGCGGTAATACAGCGTTGTTTACCATTATTACCCTGCATTACAACCTAAGGTCATGCATGTATACTCCATAAAATGCCTGCCTGCTCGGAGGATCAACCCAAATCATATGCCTACCTACAAAGTACCGCACAGCAACGATGCAGGATACAACAAATACCCATTAGTTATTCTCGTCTCCAAGTCCGTGCCTATGCCGAAGGTACTCGACGGTATTGCGGCTGCAAGGTGTTCTAGACGCCTTTGCAGCAAGGTATCGTCCACCTAGCCCGAGTATTCACCTTGTGCGACAGGAACCTTGGTACTGCTAGAATGCTGTAGCTCCGTTGAATCAATACCATGAAAAAAAAAAAAAAAAAAAAAAAAAAAAAAAAAAAAAAAAAAAAAAAAAAAAAAAAAAAAAAAAAAAAAAAGGTTCGTTCAGAAGTCATCAACCGTCTCCTACCAAGACGTTGTTCTATGTACGCTAAAATGTAAAATTACAGCCCGGATAGCAACTCCGTCATTGTGATCTTCTTCCTCACGGCGTTTGAGAAACCCTCATGGTAACTGACCCATACTTTCTTGGCCTTCTTACTTGCGTCGTAGCCGGGCCCGGCTCCCTTGCCCGACCCCGGGCCCGCGCCCAGAGAGTTGTTACCCTGTGGCTTCTCCTGGATAACTCTCCCGAAGAAGTCTCGCTTGGGCCCTATAGATCGACCGGACTTGGCCTGTTTGCTACTATCTTCATTATCATCTGCATTGTCGTTGCCATTGCCTCCTTTTGATGAGCCGGGGCCCCCGTAGTGGGGGTTCTGGGCTTCTGATTGCCGTTTGATCAAGCTCTTGCGATACTCCTGGTCAAGTGCTTGGCGAACTGCGTATCGAACGGGTGCGGATATACTGCCCGATGCTAGAGCGGTGCCTTTGACTTTGGAGAAACTGTTGAGAGAATCAAGGGACCTGAGAGTGTGGTTAGCTAATGTTACATTCGGACGGGAGGGGGGGGGGGGGGGGGGGGGAAGCAATGGATTGGTTTGTTAATGAAAGCAGGCGAAAAAAAAACATACGGTTCCATCCTGTAGATGTAGCCTCCATATCCACCGGCCTCAGTCTCAAGTTTGGTCTTCTCAAAAGTCACGCCTAGCCCATGCATTATGCCTACTGCCGCTTTAAGCAAGGCCCGCTCGCTATCCTTGCGTACGCTCGCAACAGCCCCCTTACCGCCGGAGTTCCCTATAAGCGTTGGTCTTATGTCTGGTGCCAACATGCGAGTAAGGCTCGGCACCAGCTCTGTGACAACGGTTTCAGCGGAGTGGAATGTCCGATTCAAGGGAGCAGACAGGGAAGACTGGAATTCAACCAAGATAGCGCGGTTTTGCTTCTCAGCTTCAAAAGCGGCGAAGTCTGCTCGTGGGCCAGCAAAGGGATGCTCTTCTTCCCCGTCACCATCAATGTCCATCTTTGACCCATCCTCAGACTTGTGTGACGACGCAAAGAGATGATGGAAAGCAATTGTTGCTTGGCTAAGGTAGGGGTTCAGTTCCCAATCTTGGTTTGAAAAGACCTTCGAGGATATCTGGTCATGGAAACACAGCCAGTCATATGCGGCATTTGGTTTTGAGAGAAGGGTGTCATCCTGGAAGGTCTGGGTAGGGTACGTGAGGAAACATTCAGTCACACAGCGATCATACTCTCCTGAAGCATCGATCATTTCGCTCAGCCGGCTGATCGCTGCGCGCTTACGGAGCTCTGCCACTCCGACAGGCGCTTTGCTCTGTTCTCTGGAGAACGGGTCTTGGAACCCTTGCTTGTCCTGTCGATCGTGTGGGAAGCCGGCTCCATCGAGAAACACTCGGCTGACGATTTCTTTCGCTCCACCACGGCCGAGGCCACGGGATAACCCGCTCCCTTGCTGGTTGTGAAGAATATGCCGCTCCAGCCACAGCTTCGTCAACCTGGACGAAGAGGTGAGGCCGTCATAGCGAAGTTTGTGTGCCACCCACTCTGCTTCCACCAGGATGCCTCTGATATCACCTTCGCCAGTGCCACGACTAAGGGCCTGGTTTCTGGTGCCGCTCACCCCCCAGGTGGTTTCGCATAACTTCCTGGCTCCATCAGCGTCGCATTGAATACCTTCCTTTTCGAATATGTTTTTCACGCGCTGGACCACCTGGTCAAAAGGCACACGGCGAACGTGGATGATTTCCGCAATGGAAGCTTGGCGTAAGGGTCGAAGGCTGGGGTGGTAGACATCATTGCATATCAGGATAAGCGGACGAAGGAGTCGGAAGTTATCTCCTTTCTTTTTACCCTTCCGACCCGTGCCTTGTCCGTCTGTTTTTGATCTAGAGGAGTTCCTTTGATCTAGTTGTACTAGATCGATGAGTGCTTTCATGAAGCCACCTTCACCTCCCCCACCAGAACCGCCAACGACACCGTCGACTTCATCGATGATAACACAGACAGGCTTGCCCGGTTTCCTGATAACTTTGCCATCTTCGACAATGGTAACGCCTCTAACATTCTCAGTTCCGACAGCATCTTTAATCCTTCCCGTCACCACGGTGCGGCTTCGTTCATCACTTGCATTGATTTCAAGAACCTCATATCCGACTTGTTTTGCACAGATATGAGCCAAGGTTGTCTTGCCGAGACCTGGTGGTCCAGTAAGCAGTAGGACTTTGCGATGTGCTCGTTCCTCGGCGTCATTAGAGAAGTTGTCCTTCTTCAATTTCGGCTTTGCCAGGCCCGGGAAGACTATTGGATCCCACGCCTTTAGCCAACGTAACACAGTGCGGTGTGTCCGGTCGTCGCCAATCAAGTCCTTGAAGCTCCTAGCTCGGTATTTCTCCGTCCACAGCCGGTGAGCAGGCTTTGCAGTACCCGGTACAGAGCCCTGGGCTTCAACAGAGGGGACGGCAGCCGGTGCAGATGGCTCCAACCGTTTCGCCTCGTCCATAAGCTGGTGTATATCAATCCCGTAATAACTTCGAGTTGCCTTGCCGGCAGCGGTAACTGATCTTTCTGCAATCAACTTCTCGTAGGGAACGTGGTCTTTCTTCACCCGTTGTCGTATATATTTGACCTTCCCGGAGCAGGTCTTGATCGAGACGGATGTATACTGCTCGGCTGTAACTTGTGGTCTGGTAGGGGTTTCTTGGGAGACTATAGCTTTTCGCTGCCACAAGCTGTCGGCCTCTTCAAGTCCAGCCTTTTCGTTATCCAATCTGTGCAAAGATGTATCAGGACGAGGATGACTCTGAAATATGCCATTGTCGCTCACTACCACATCATCATCGTCGTCGTCATCGTCGTCGTCCATCACAAACGGGCCGGTCTTGACGCGCTTTGGTATCTCCGTCTCGGGCCCGCCCTCGAACTTCCTCTTTGCGTGGTCGGCGGCAGACATCATGGGCAGCTCCTGCAGCAGCGGCCGGGGGGAGCAAGACAGTGCCATCGTGCGTCTCTCGTCGTCACCGTCGACGGTGGCTGTTTTCATCCCTCGCCCTGCTCGCAAAAAAGGCCATCTAAAAGTCGCGTTTCTCGTCGCGTTTAGGCGCGCGTCTGATGACTAAGCATAAGCATATCCCGGATTAGTCATCTGCTGCTGTTAGACGCGGCCTTCTTCTTGCTGTAGTTAGTATTTAGTATATATATATATATTATTCTACAGTTGTCAATAAGAGTAGTTTGTATATATTATGAAGTACTCCGTATGACAGCGGCCGACGTGCCTGTAACCTCGCTTGCCTATCGCCATGTCTGCGTCCACCAAGCAGATCCTTCCATGCCCCAGAGCCACGGCTTTGCCTTGTGCCCGGTGCGTTCGTTCAATCAGCGACAGCCTCAGAACTGGAGGCGCCTTTAAGCCGACCTGTCTATGGGTGCAAGACGTTAGTTGTTCGCGGTGCAAGAACGTGCGGAAGCTGGGGAACGGCCGTTGTATACCTGTAAGTCATAACTAAAGACCTTCAAGCTTTCTCGGCCCGGCTTGGGTTCGCGGCCCGAGTACCTCATAGTTACGGACCTTGGCAACCTGTAGTTACAGACAAATAATAACCTAGAATCTAGATCTCCACACAGTCCTACCCGCTCGCATCAGCACTACTTCAACTACGGGATAGGGCACTGGGCATGACGCAGTCAGAGAGGGAGAGTCGCGACTTTATTGCTCAGTGTAGAAAGGCCGCGAAGGAGTTTAACGCCTGCCGCATCGCAGAGGGCAAGGAACTGCATTCAGCGGCCGTCGGGGCTGCTGACTCGCTTCCGCCCCCGGCATCCTCTAAGCGGGAGGCTCAAGACGAGCACGTCGATTCTGCTCGCCCCCCCAAGAGAGTCATTTTCTGCGATGCTCTAGATATATCTGATGGGGCTGCCAACGCGATTCCTGAACGGACTTCTAGTAAATAATACCCCCATTGATCGACCATTAATAGCTTTTGGTTTTGTGAGTGTTCTAACCTCGGTGACAGCCCATCCCTGCTCCTTGAAGTGGAAAAACGTAAATGTGGCTCCCGCTGAGCCCGAAGCCGGGGAGAGAAATTCTACCCCCCAACCAGCGGCCATCTCGAGCCCTGCATCCAGCCCTGGGTCCACCACTAGCTCCAGCAGCACCGACACCAGCGACAGCAACTCGTTCGTGGCGGTGCCTGAGCCCTTTCAAAGTCATGTCACCCCCCCGGCAGCGCCGGAGCATGATGTAGCGTCCGCCAGCAAGGGGTCTCCTGTGCCCAAAAATATTAATAATAATATGGAAATGCTAATCAGCCATGCGGATGCTATGAACCGGTGCATGAGCCAGACTTATTTCAAACTGTCTGAGTTTCAAACCTGGTCCATGGAAAATACAACCGCTCTCGAGACAAGATTGACTAATCTTGAGAATAAACTAGTTGACCAGGATGCCGCCTTTCAGCGCAGCATGGCTAGCCTCGAGACTCAGCTGGCTACAGTTTGCAACCTGGAAGACCTGCTTTTTAACTCCAACGGTAAAATGGCAAAGTCCATGAAGCAACTAGCTGATCTCAATGTGAAGCTAGATGGTGTCGATGATGATTTGGAAAGGGAGCATAAGAAGTCACAGACTATCTTGGTTGATATATCTACCAAAATTGACAGCATTATCCGGGACATCAGCAACCTTCACAGCCTCGCTCACCGGCAAGGGCCAGCTCTCAGCCGAGTCGAGGCATGTAGCAATCGGGTTGAGGCGTGTAGCAATCGAGTCGAGGCGCTGGAAGAAGAAATTCTCGCTCGCTTGGGAGATGGCCTTCATGGTCATCCGAGCCTTGATTTCGAGAACACCACGGCAATCAACATCCCAAAGAAGACAGCAACATCCGAAACAATAGAACCCCCAGTAGCCCCCGAATGAGTCCGGTGGCCCAGTGGCCCCTATTGATGCATAAGTCAAAGTTAGACCATCTCAGCCCTAGATTAATACTTAATCCTTATTACCCGCTGATATAACTAAGCATCAATGTCGCGGGAATATAGTGACTAAATTTTTGATGTATACGGTATTCGGAGGACATTGATAAACCGTAGAGCCATCCCGTTTTGTTATGACTTTAGCAAAGAACCGTGGTATAGCCGTGATCTATGGCCTGCATAGGATAGATTTCGCCAAAGACAGCCACAAGTGCCGTATATGGATTACATAATAACTATAAGTCCGATACACGTGACTTACCCACGTGACCATCTGAAGGGCTTGGCGTCCTTTTTGCTTCTATCGCGATTTCACCAAAAACGCAAAAGACTTTCGCAGGCTGGAAAGACCTTGCACGACCGCATCGCATCGCATCTCTCCGCCAGGTTGGTATCGCAGCTATACAGTGACGACTTTCGAGCACACAGGGCAGCCCTATAGCCAGTGCTATCTGCTTGATAGGGATATACTCCGCCATTGCGAGGCATTTGTCGCCGTGAAGTGCCACCAGAGCCACATCGAAACTTCCCCCCAAGCTCGGGTGCATCCCCCATTGCGATGGACCAATCGACAGGAGATTCAGGAAACGAGAACAAGCCTACCGCTACCAGTATAGACGCGCAGTCGGGGGCTGACGAGACCATGGCCTCCCCTAGCCGCCCTACCGGTATGTCCTGGTTTGGCTCCGGCGTGCTGTAAAGACCTGCAAAGCAGCTCCAAAAGTCAATGGCTGACCACGCGCGTATTTCATTATAGGCTCTCAATCCGGAGGTGTTTCGCCTGAAAAGGCTACTCCAACCCAGAACCCTTCAGACAACCCGCTGGACGCCCCGCCCTCACCAAAGGGACAGAATGACGAGATGGAGGATGAAGAGATGGGTGGCACGAACGACTCCAAGGCTGATAACGATGCTGGAGACGAAGGGGATACCTCCATGCTACAGCAGCAGACTGATGGCAATGTTGATGGGCCGGCAGACCAAAGCAAGGCCGCGACAGAGGCGTCGGCGCGTTCAAATCTCATTGCGCAGACCCATGCCATCATCCTACCGAGCTATACCAGCTGGTTTGATATGAACACCATCCACCCAGTCGAGAAAAAGGCCCTTCCGGAATTCTTCAATAGCCGAAACCGCAGTAAAACGCCGGCAGTTTACAAGGATTACCGTGATTTCATGATCAATACCTACCGAGTGAACCCAGTCGAATATCTGACGGTTACAGCCTGCCGAAGGAACTTGGCCGGAGATGTTTGCGCAATTATGCGAACACACGCGTTTTTGGAACACTGGGGTTTAATCAACTATCAGGTGAGTGCGAGGACAAACCCCTACAACGTGCAAAAGGGGTACGTAGTCGTTAACATAATATGCTTAGGTTGATCCTCAGTCGCGCCCTTCAAATATTGGCCCTCCTTTCACTGGCCACTTCAGAATCACTGCAGATACCCCCCGTGGCTTACAGCCATTCCAGCCTGGCCCAAACACAATTGTCACGGCCGGAAAGCCTCACCCATCCACCGACAGAGCTGCCGCCGCAACTCCACTCTCGAAATCCGATCTCAACCTTGAAATCCGTCGCAACATCTATGACGATAAAGGAAAGGAGGTTACCCCATCTGAGAGCAAAGACAAGGAAACCAATGGTGAGGATGCAGTTACCAATGGAACCCCTGCGGAGTCAAGCACCAAGGCCATGGAAGCATCCGCAAAGGAAGGTAAAAAATCCTTGAACTGCTACGCCTGTGGGATTGATTGCACCCGAGTTCGATTCCACTACGCAAAATCAGCCCCCGTATCAACCACCACAAACCCGTCAGAACTCAAATACGATCTGTGCCCCAACTGCTACCTCCAGGGTAGAATGCCATCCTCCCACCAAGCTTCCGATTTCGTCAAGCTAGAGGATAGCCAGTATACTACCATACAGGATCGTGAGAAACCATGGTCAAACTCAGAGCTCCTTTTGCTGCTTGAGGCTCTCGAGAACTTCGATGACAACTGGCAGCAGATTTCCCGACATGTCGGTACACGAACTCCGGAAGAGTGTGTTATGAAATTCCTCCAACTTGAGATTGAAGACAAGTATCTCGAGGATCCTGTTGAGGGTACCTCTTCTATGCTGGGCTCTGCCGGTGGACGAGAGCCAGTCAGCCAGCTCGAGAATCCGGTCTTGTCTGTGGTAACTTACCTGGCACAAATGACCGAGCCTTCTGTTGCTGCTGCGGCGGCCGGCCGAACGGTTGAAGAGATGCGTCGTGATCTACAGAAACAACTTGACAAACGTACCGCATCCACGACCAAGGAGAAAGACACTGAGAAGACCGGAGAAAAAGGAAAAGAAGCAGAATCAATGAAAGCCGAGGACTCCATGGAGATCGATACTTCCAACGAAGGCCAGGAAGCGTCTGCCTCATCAACAAGCCAGGGGAAGACAGCCCAAGCCACCATTGCCTCCATCGGCCTGGCAGCTTCTGCTGCTCGTGCCGGGGCCTTAGCATCGCATGAAGAGCGAGAAATGACCCGCCTTGTAGGCGCTGCTGTCAACCTCACATTGCAGAAACTTGAGTTGAAGCTAGCACAGTTCTCGGAACTCGAGGCTGTTGTTGAAGCTGAGCGCCGAGACCTCGAGCAAGCCAGACAACAACTCTTCCTCGACCGTCTCGGACTCAAGCGGAGGATCAAGGAAGTCGAAGAAGCCTTCAAGGCTGCTAGCCTAGAAGGAAACGAAGCCGGTGCTGCCGTTGCCGCTCAAGCTCAAACAATCGGACTCGGCGAGAACTACACCTTCCAGCAGACAAGCGCAGATAATGGCGTTAATGCCGTCCAACCATACAGTGCTAGTGGAGGCCCAGACTACAAATCATATGAAATATGAGCTGCTGAGTGTGGGTTGTTGATATAGACGGAAAGTTATAGCTTTCAAGTTGATGTGTATGATTTTAATCTGCTGGCTTCCTCTGTCGCTGTATGGCAAGAGAAACATTTTGGGCGGGAGATTCAAGGATCCTTCTTTTCTTTTATTATATCTCTTCGTTGGGACGATTGTAGTCTGGGGGCGTTAGATATTGGAGTTATCCTTTTTTTTTTTACCCCTATCTCACAATGATCCTACAACTCGCTGTACTGTTTGGTTTACGTTCTTCTATCGCTCAACACATGGTGCATCTTCTATATTATATGTACAGAATTCCTAGCTGGGAGTGTTGGGTGATAGTCAAAATAGTTCTAGGTTCAAATTCCTCTAAATCGTACACTGTCCATGCAACCGTTGCTACTGTATACAGGCGAATTCAAACTCCAATTTCCATGCAACAAATAATAATAATTTATGCCCCTTGCGCCATGGTAACCGATACATCAAGTTAATCCAAAACGCCTTGCGGAATTGTCTATCCGGTTTGTTCCTCATTGCTTATTTTCTGCCGCTTGATACGGTGGTTTTCACGGATTTCTTCGTTGACAGACAGCGTTTCCGACCCAAATAGCTCCCAGTCAGCCATAGGTAATACTGCATTCCTCCATTCTTGAAGGTCTTGGATGGTCTTTCTTCTTGTCAGTGGTTTTGTCCTCCGTTTAGAGCTTGGGAATGGGCCTTCATCGCCGCTTTCCATCTCTGCTTTGATATCGGACTCGGGTTTGGGGGTTGGGTTCAATATCTGCCATAGCCGTCTCTCTTCCTCACGGCTGGTTTCTTTATCAATAGCCACAGCATATATCTCTTCCTCGTCTGATAACAACTCCTCATCCGTCCCAGAAGATGAGACATCGCCCATTGACACATCAGTCTCCGAGCCCTCAAACGAAGAAGAGGAATCTTCCACAGTGTATTTTTCTGGATTGTTCATCGGTAGTATGTTGCTGCCCTCCTCCGCCTCCTCCTCCTCCTCATGCTGGGCTTCCTCTTCATTATCCTCCTCTTGGGCTTCTTCTTGATTTTCATGTTCTCCTTGCTGTGGCTCAGGTAGTTCCAGGCTGGAAGAAGATAGTCGTTTTTCAACCTCGTCATAGGAAAGTAACGTGGTCTTGAAGCTGTTTTTGCTCACATACTCGCGGACGTCCAATGAACATCGCCTTGCTGCGTATATCCAGAATTCACGGCTATTGTGATGTACTTTCAGTGTATTCAATGCATTAAGGACATCATCTTTCCGGATAGCTCTCTCTCGGTCCCGGGCTCGTTCATCCGTGGCACGAATCCTCATGAGCGCAAAGAATATAGAAGATTGCACCAATCTTCGTGTCAAACTGAGAGCGATCTTATAGAAGTCGGTAAAGCTATCACAGGTCACCGCAGGAGTCTCCTCATGAAAACATATCCTGGTCCAATTATCCTCTATACGATGACCTCCGAAGTTCATAAAGACGTTTCTTGAAAGATTGATCCAATTTGGTATGTGGAACAATTGAGCTGTAGCTAACATATGGTGTGCACTTGGGTCGACATCGCTGATATCTTTGGTTTGAATCTTCTCTTCCAAGAATGAAGCAGCGTTACTGTCTACTAGCCACATGTCTTTATATTTTCGCTTCCCCGAGATGTTATGCGCTTGTTCTTCTTGCACGGAGAGTGCGTTGGCTGCTTTTTCCAGCGCGAGACAACACTCATCACTAATCTCGGCTGCGGCATGTATATCCGAAAAGGTTATGGCCCGAAATTTCTTTTCCGTTATATGGTGCACTCGCAGCGCCTGTTCAAGCCCCATGATATACTGCTGGACTTCTATCCGGCTTTTGGAGCCTATAAACGAGGCTATTTCAGGGATAGCGCCTTTACCCTTTCTTGCAAGGGCTGAAAAGAGCGCCAGCTTCTCCTCTGTGCTCCACCTGACTATGCCAAACTGTGAGCCATGGATGGGTGCTCCATGATTGGGCTCCTGAGCAATTTCATCTGTAGCTTGAATGAGAAGACCCCTGTAGGATGCTATGGGCAAGGCATTTGCACGCCGTAAATGGTTTTCTCTCTTGTTCCACGCCCATTTCTCAACGCGTTTCCGCTTTCGCGGCAAGAGAGGAGGGGATGATGCAAGTGTAAGACGCTGCAGCTGGTGTGAAGAGGGCCCGGCATCCGAAGAATCGTGGGTTGTCTTTCTTGGTTCATCTGTCTCGCTAGGGGACTCAGGTGCATCATCCTGGGGCTCGTAGCTGCTGCTTGACATGCTACCTATCTGCCCCCAAGATCCCGTCCAAACGTCCAGTCCCGGGTATCACACGCTGGGGAATTTTCCACAAACAAGTATGGGGAGCACATATCAATAATTCCCATGAAGGAGTCGATATGATATTTCAACCTTTCAACTGCAAAGCGTAGCTATCTATCCGCTGGTTGTTGGCGTTTGTTCTTCAGATTTTGCTTTGCTTTTTTTCTTTTATGCAAGGGCAAGCTCTGTTTGCATTGTTTGTCCTGTTTGCATGGTTAGTGAGTTAACTAGCGCTTATCAAAAAGCTTCGCGACTTCCAGCAAACATCCAAGCAAGCAACATGGAAGATGCAGAAGATATCTCGGTGCTCAAGATGGCTGGGCCTAGCAAAGTTATACTGCCGAGGATACTCTGCCGCGCAGATCGGGGCTCGTCTCTTCTCTTCAACGGCGTCGGTTCGAGCGTCTGACGGAGCTTCAATATTGAATCCCGAAATTCGTTTACGGGATTATCAGGAAGAATGTATACAGTCTGTTCTATCCCATCTGGCCGCGGGCCACAAGAGACTAGGGATATCTCTTGCTACGGGTAGCGGCAAAACTGTATGGATCAACTTGTATTAGAGATTTCAGTTAGATGCTAACTCGGTATATTTCAACAGGTGATATTTACTCAACTAATCGGCCGGGTAAATTCTCCCGACCATAAAAGAACCCAGTCGCTTATTTTGGTTCATCGAAAAGAGCTCGTTGAGCAAGCTGCAAAGCACTGCACGCGTGCTTACCCCGGCAAGACCATTGAAATTGAAATGGCAAACAGCCATGCAACTGGGACGGCGGATATAACAATTGCATCCATACGCAGCCTCCTTTCAAAAGGCCGAATTGAGAAATACAATCCAGAAAGATTCAAACTTGTGCTGGTTGATGAGGCACACCATATCGTTGCACCGAGCTATCGTGAAGCTCTAGCTCATTTCAACTTGGGTGAGGCGAATGCAGACTCTCCAGCGTTAGTTGGTGTTTCTGCGACGTTTTCGCGGTTTGATGGGCTGAAATTAGGTGCAGCTATCGATTACATCGTATACCACAAAGATTATGTTGACATGATCGGAGAGAACTGGCTTTCCGATGCCCTTTTTACGACGGTAAAATCGCATGTGGATCTCTCACGCGTCGGTGATGGTCCCAATGGAGATTTTCAGACTCATCAGCTTTCACTTGCTGTCAATACGGAGACCACCAATGATATCACCGTTTCTTCATGGCGCTCGAAGGCCGGTGAAAGAAAATCCACACTTGTGTTTTGCGTTGATATTGCCCATGTACGTGACTTGACGGCCAAGTTTCGAGAGATCGGAGTCGATGCTAGGTATATCACAGGCCAGACTCCCAAGGATGTCCGTGCCAAAGAACTAGAAGCTTTTAGGAATTACGAGTTTCCAGTTCTGGTTAACTGTGGGCTCTTCACTGAAGGAACCGATATTCCGAATATCGACTGTGTCTTGCTCGCAAGACCTACAAGATCGAAGAATCTCCTGATTCAAATGATAGGGAGAGGTCTTCGGCTACATCCAGATAAAACCAATTGCCATATCATTGATATGGTTGCTTCCTTGAATTGTGGAGTTCTCACCACACCTACCCTCCTCGGATTACATCCTGATGAAGGTTTGGACAAGATTTCTGCTAAAGATGCTAAAGAGAAAAGAGAGAACTTTGACAAAGATCCAGCCCAAGGCCAGGGAACAAAAAAGGGCCGTTCCCCAGAGGACGAAGACATTGTTGTTGGTTTCACCGACTACGATTCTGTCCACGACCTGGTGCAAGATGCCTCTGGTGAAGATCATATCCGTTCTCTCAGCGAAAATGCGTGGGTCCAAGTTAGCCCGCATCGCTACATTCTTAGCGCTCCTGCAGGGAGATTAACAATCTCTAAAGATAATTCTGGCTTGTTTTCAGTCCACCATGTTGTCAGCTTAAGCCCGTCAGGTAACTCAAAAAGCCCCTTCAGTCGTCCTCGCGAGGTGGTATCCGCGGTTGACCTTGTCCAGGCAATTCATGCTGCTGATACCCTTGCCTCCCGCATATTTGGAGGTCCAGTATACATTGCTTCATGGCAGCCGTGGAGAAAGAGGCGTGCAAGCCCCGGACAGATAGGATACCTGAGGAAACAACTTGGAAAGGAAATACCTGAGAAGATTACAAAGGGTGAAGCCGCTGATATGATCACTAAACTCAAACACGGTGCAAAGGGCCAATTCAAAGAGTTATTGTCGTCGAAGCGACGCAGCAAACGTGAACTTGAAAAGATTGCTAAATGGAAAGAAATGGCTGCTAGTGAGGAAGTGAAGATTGGTCCACTTGCTTGATCATCGGCAGTCAGTTGTCATAGAAACAGTTTATAGACCTGAGCAGAGAATTGGTTCCCCTTATCGTTTTTTGCTATACCTTTCCGATACCATTCAACTGCTTCCCAACTTCAGTGAGTTGGTTCTGTCATGCTCTCTGCTTTTCCGTGTGGGGAGACTTGCCACACAGGCTATAGGTCTATTATTGAAGGCCCTCGTGTTCACTCATTTGAAAGCAAGCGAGTTTGGTACTTACCAGTTAACTAGTGGCTTGGCTGAGGCTGAAAGAGCTGGCCGTCCCACGCAGAGCCGCAGCAAAAGATTTACACCCTGCCAGCTTTTATCCACCCGAACGTCCAGCCTCGTCGACAGCATTTTTACCTACTTTTGACGGTGTCCCCTGCCCAATTCAAAAGGATCCAGGGTGTCTAAAGCAGAATGAAAATTAAAGAATAATTCAAAGCGACAAAATAGGGAGCTAAGCGAGAAATTTCAACAAGTAGAATGGTCGAATGGTAACAGGGAGAAAACAGAATGCCTCCGACCAGCAGAGGCGTTGAGAAGGAGTGAGAGCTATTCAATCATCCCAAACCTGGATATCTTGATAGCTCTTATGCACAGAAGTCTCATTGATACCTCGCTTGAATCCTGGATGATCCCCACGAAGAACACGCTGCGTCTCGTCAAAGCAGTTTGCTGTTACTTTCACCGAGCAAAAGGGCCACAGTTTCTTCGTACACATGTCACAAAACAGCCCTTCTTCCCTGTTTCCATAGTCGGGGCCTGCGGAGGTAGGGTGTTCGCAAATAGCCCGTGCTGTGTAGCCTTTAGAAACAACCACTGCATTCTTCATATCGCACCCCAAAGGTTTCCAGTCCTTCCTCTTGAAGACCTGATTTCTCTTCACCCCATAAGTCCACGATTCGCCACCTATTCTTGGATGATTCTTGATTGCTTTTCTCAACCGTGACAAATCTTCGTCGCTGACATTCTCCCCGATTTCCGGCTTGCATGTTGTCACTCCATCAACCAATACTTGAGTGATATTTTCATATCCGGTATCCTCGTCAAACTTGGGGAATTCTTTAAAGACTGGGGGGCACTGCAGTTCATTAATGTCCTTATAGAAATGCTGCCGTGGTTTACTATCGCATACGGTTTCTTTCTTGTCCTTGAATTGAGGCAGCAGCTCTTCATGAGAAAAGTCCGGTATGTGTATCGAAAATCCCATTGGAAAGCGGCCGTCATTGCTGATCCAAATGCATGGAGACCGTTCTGATGCAGTTGTCAACTTTTTAGACGGATACCAAGCCAGGTTGCCGCACAAGAATCCAAATCCACCATTCCAGGCCCAGGTCTTGTCCATATTTTTACCCTGGTCTGCACCGGTGACGGTAACCGCTGCAATACAAATGGCATCACTGCTTGAAGCTGATATGGTGACATACTCCGGATCCTTTCTGTTGTCAGACTCGAAAGGCTCGACTGTAATATCATATCCCTGGCCGCTTTTAACCTTTCCATGCTTCTCTCCGTTCTTAAATCCAATACGTTGACCGTTGGAATCAAAAAGGGCAACATTTGGCATATCACCACCGATGGTATCAGTTTTCACTCCTTCTTTGAAAAGATCAAACTCCCCAAGAGTAACCCTGACAACGGCGACATCTTTCCGAGAAGCGGCAAACAAGTCTCCCAAGAAGGGAGCAAAAGAAAGCACACCAGTAAGTCCTATAACGAGGGCATTCATTTTTCTCTGAGTGTTGCAGGTGCTTGGCTTAAAAAATGCCGGTATTGAGGGTGAAATGTTTAGTTGATGGAGTGCTGGATACTCATCCATAGTGGTGAGATCAACTGTAGCTATATATCCTTGTTGATGCTCCCTGAAATGGTTTGTTTTCCAACCACTCTAGATGTTTACCAGTTGGTAACCTTCTGCCGTCTGCACTGTCAGCCAGCTTGGTTTCCATATTAGCGTGGATAATCACTGTACTTCTTATTAGGCCTCCTAGCTGGTATGATTTTCATCAGTTACGCAACAGAAATTCTTGCAGGAATATCAATCTTTTTGGATAACTACCAACATCTCTCAATGCAATGACAATGGGCGTCATTTGTTTGTGTGGGTTGGAATATCATATGTCAATTGCTGATTCATAAACAGATGTGCGATTCAAACACAGAACTGTATAATGTTTACTCATATTATACCCGGCTACATTGGTTTTAAAATACCAATATCATTCTTTCATGTATTGCGTCTCATATAAGTGAACGCACGTTTTACGCTGCACCATGATTGATACGACGAATGCATCTCGGTGCCAAAATGACTCGAGACACATTCAAATGCACACTGAGTAATCGAGTTTAGTGCCTGGCCCCGAATGCGCCCCAGAAGAATGCCTAAACGATTGGTAATCACATTATATATTCGCGGATCGGGAACAATTACTAACATTGCATGAAGTTTCCTGTGATTCAAGCGAGATTGATTACCCCTTGGTAATCTCTAGGTCATGCATCCCGCGGCCAGCGGGTAGCTACTGGGTGTCAAAGCCTCTCAATAAGTTGTGTGTGTCCAGTAATTACTGCAATTCACTCTATTCGGGGGCTTAAGGACTACTAGAATCGTAGACTAACGCACGTATTTGACAAAGAGTACCGGAAAAAATTGAAAGAGCTTCTCTCGCCGTGTGAACAGAGCATTGGGGAGCCTCGGCTGTTTATCCAGGGTCTGTCATTTGTATTGATGTATTGATGGGGATACATTCCTCACTTACAGGATATTTTATTTAACTTGATCTGGTGTTAGATCATATGAATGTATGAAAGGGGGAACTATGAATAAAGGGGATATAGCGTCTTGGTGCCCAGGTTGATAGTCCATCTGGAAATAGTTAATACTTACCCTGCCATTTCCAGGTCGTTGGGTTAACGTCACATAGTCCACGCCCAAGCCGTTCATAAATCAAGCAATCCGGGTCTGCCACCTGCTTATCCCCCGGATAGTCTCTGTCCTCAGCACCCAGAGATAGCAAATGTTTAAGAACCCATTCCCCTCCATGAGCCTTTGCGGCCCATATAGGATCTTCATATATATCAGTGTCATCATTATTGAGAGGAACACCAGCAGCGGCTAACAGGGAGATGATAGCCAAATTTTTACATAATATAGCCGAAAAGAGTGCTTGTAAACCCACCCCAACCAGATGGCCAGACTCTCGATAGTGTATATCTACTCCGATATGAAGGAGGTACTTTATCAGGTGAACTTGCCCTCTGGACGCAGCTGGAGATAAGGCATGCTCGAATTTCTCGCCGTGCCGGACCAATACTTTAATGACTTCCACCTGCCCTGCTCGAGCAGCGTAGATGATGGGCATATGTCCTAGGTCATCCACGTACATATCTGCTCCATCTTCTAGCAGCATATGTACCAGCCGATCATGTCCTAGCATGGCAGCAACATGAAGGGGATACCTAGGCATCATGTCCGGGTATAGCATGTGGTTGGGGTTGGCACCATGGTCCAGGAGTAGTCGCACAATTCCCTCTTGGTTGTGATAAACTGCCTCCCATAGCATAGCTTCTCGCAAATATTCATAATCACTAAGAGTTCTCCCTGTTATCTGTAGAAGTTGATCGATCAAATCCGAACGGCCTATACGAACCGCAGATAGTATGGCCCTGAAGTATTCAGATTCATCATCCGGGAGTCGGAGCTCTGGCTTCAAAAGTAGAGACACAATCTTCTTATTTCCGCCAAGCACAGCGGCGGCTAAGGCACTTCCTCCTGGACACTTATACTCAAATTTTCTTAACCCAATGTGAAAAGGGTAACTAGGAACGATATCACGTCGTTTTGCAACCCAATGCGGATTGGCACCCTGATCAAGAAGATACTGCATAATGTCATAGTATCCCCAAATAGAGGCAAGACCTAATGGCTGGCCAAAGAAGTAATTCACCGTATTGATGTCCACTGAAGAGGCCATGGATTTGACGAGAGATAGATTCCCAAGCACAATAGCTCCACAAAAGATAGTGTGTCCTCGGTCCATAGTGGCGGGTATCAATGTGCGATCAACGGAGAGATGACCGATTCTAGATTCTTCCCAAGGAAGGCTGTGCGCTTGCTGAACGAAAAATTTTTCGAATTCCTCGTATAAGCCGAAAACACCGACGGGATACGCAGCAATAGCTGTACTGATCTTTAGATGTTGCTCGGGCCTGTGTTGTTCTGTACACCCAGTTAATTTGTCCAATTCTCGATTAACCGTTGCAATCACATGAAGGGCAACAATTCTGGTCGCTGCCTTTGAGCGTGACTTTGTTAAGAGAATTCTCCCCAGAAGTGGTGAAGTTATGAGGTGCAGCAGAGAAACCCTCGGATCGAAAACATTGATAATCTGTCGATCACAAAGGGCAAACAAAATGGCCCTGTTGAAATGGCCTAATTAATGGTTTTTTAGAATCTCTTCCAGCAGCAGACGCCATGAAATTGCGCTGTTATTTTTAAACGGATACCTATGGGTATGAGAAAGGGGAGGGACATACTGTCAACTAATCTGAGTCGTACTGCCTTCACAAACCCGACCTCGAGCACTAGGTCCTCAATGATCAGAGTAAATATCTCCTTTGGAAACCCATATAGGTCCATGGCCGGTTAGCCGACTGTCTTCCTGTGTGTTCTAGCTTGGTCTCCTCGATCCAAAGATTCGTGACGTCGACAACGCAGAAATGGGTGGTATGTCCTGGAGTTGACTGGGTATAGTCTGGGGTAAAACTGTGATTCCTGCCATTATTTAGTTGGATATTTGATTGTCTGGCTCAAATGAAACAAGTACAGGAAGACACCACCTGCATGAACAGGGGTTGTGGTTATATTATTAGGTATCAGCCTCCAGGGGGCCAAAATGTCGGGGGCCGAAGTTGTTAGTGACGGGAAATGTTGTAGCTTAGTAATCCTGAGTAAGAAAGTTAGCGGGACAATTTGATTGGCTGAAGGATTATATAAACGCACCTTACTAATCAGGAGGTGTGCCTGATCCAACACGAGCTGGTAACTGTTGGAACATGGACAAAAAGGCCTACTGTAGTTACTAGGCCAGAAATCATTGGCCATCCCACATAGTATATCGGCGTGGAGCCCGCCAACGATTTCCGGCAAGGGACCGTATCCGGTCCACGTTCTTGTAGACAGCGCGAGTCTAAGAAAAGTGGATGATTAATCCTAACAGTTAACCTTAAATAGGTAATCGAACAATCAAAGGGGGTGACGGATAATTACACACCCCCTTGATGACAACGAAAACAGACAACTGCTTGTCATCGACGTACATTGCTGAGGCCTTGCTGGCTTTCAACAAGCCGACGACTACAGCCTTCTTATATTCCCAGTCATGGATTTTCTGTCAAACGCTGATACATCAGTCATATTTGGAGGCAGACGCAAATTCTGTCAGCCAAAGCACGCGAATTACGAAACATCCAACATGTTTGTCATCGTACATTTTTTCTGGATGAACCAGGACCTGACTATGTTGGGAAGCTGAGATATCTTTTGTAGCCAAAAATGGCTATAAAATGCTGTCGGATGGCCTTGCTCCATGGAACGCCTGTATTGCAAAGCAAGGGACTTCCTATTTAGCATTGTCTTCTACATAACATTGGCGACATAGTCGTTCATACCCATACTACATATAACAAGAATAATAATTAAAGAAGTTCATCTTCTTACCCCAAGATGTGGCTCTTTGCGCCCGACAAGCTGGTGTTGGCCAGTGCCATTCTAGGGCTACCATTTTTAGCAGCAGGGCGTGCTGTGGTTGATCCCTCTGGCCTTAATGTCCTGTGTGATAATGGTCATTGCCCTAGTATGTAGCTTCAAGATGCACTTGCGGGCCGGGAGAAATCGGTAGCTAACGAATCCTTTCAGAGAGTATTCTACCTCGTGGACCACCAATCTTCCATATTCCCAAGCCTGGTCCAAAGCCAGGTGCGAAAGCAGGTGGAAATTCTGGTAGTAAACCAGGAGGAAAGCCGGGTAATAAGGGCCCTGGCTCTGGAGGCAATGATATTGAGCCACTTGGAGCCGGCAAGGGTTTAGGAGAAGCCCATGCTTTGGGGTTTTACAAAGACAAAGCCACTGAAAGACTTGACAAGCTCCGGGGAGCAATTGACAGCAATGAGCCTGATACTATTGTTGTGAAGAAGGTAGAAGATGTCCAGCCCCAAAAGGCTTTTTTTGATATCTTCTCTGCGGAGGGGTATGTCCCGTCTCTTTCCTACGAAAAGAAAGGGAAATACTTTAAAGAGCTCGTTCACCTACTGAAAAAAGAAGATACTGGGTTTGACTATACGGAGTACACTCCCTTAGTAGAATACACTATTCGATCGAAGAATCAAGGAAGCGTGATTAACGATGCTGCGTTTAGCAGAGATGGCGAATTCATAATTGCGAGTTCAGCTTTCAAGGAAAACATCCCATACCCAAAGGGTGATCCTAAAAGGGTCCCCAATAATGAGATCACCTGGCAATGCTTTGAGAAGGCTACGAAAAATCCTAAGAACCTCAAAGGCTTGATATTAAGGGACATCCAGGCCAAGGGAACGTGGAAAATTCTACACCACGCTTATGAAAAAATGGGTTTCCCCCTCGACAAGAAAGCCGTATGGAAGCCTGATCCAAAAGACCCCGTGATGGATGACCTGTTTAAAACAATCGTGGGGAGCGATAATATTTCTGGAAAACTTCTTATCCTCCAAAACCACCACCAAGCCCTAGGAAACAAGGAAGTTACCAAGGTCATCACCTGGACCAAAAAGGTTGAAGGGTCCAACAGCAAACTTACGATGTTCGTTGGCCTCTCGGATAAAAAGTAAAAGGTCATCGATGTGAGGTAGAAAGGTTTACGGAACGCCTACGTGGCTATGCTTTTGCGCAATCTTCTGGCCCTTACATATCGGAGCGAAGCTGGCTTTGCTCTATTTTGGAGGTGCTTTTATATCAGTTCATCATTCTTTGAAGAGCCCCAATGTCTCGTCTCTAGTCATATACTGCAATAATTATGTTCCTTCTTTCTTGACAGGATTGGCTTAAATATATATATATATAGCCAGCTATCAAACTGCACTCAATGGAATACGTCCAAAGTTTCGGATACCACTCAAGTAGCTGCTAGGCACTTGAATGATAGATAAATAAAACCGGTATTGTCTAGGCATGTTAAATGACTTAGTCGCAATGACCCAACACAACTCTATCTCTATACGTCACGGACATTAGAATGCGAAAACGCCATCATTTTCTGACTTTCCAGAAGCAGAAAAGACTCAAACCGTAATCCCCTATCTGCAAAGCTATCAGTTATAACAGCATTAAATACATTTGCCCAGCTTGCCCAGAGTTCTCGCCAATAACACGCCTCGGCAGCCTTGGTGAGATAGCGTTCTCTGAACGTCTTAACATTGTTATTTGCAATTCGTTCTGCGAGGTCTTGGTTTGACAGTAGATGCTCCATTTTTGCAGGTAGATCTGAGAAATCACGCTCTACCTCAACGAAGTTCTGGTACGGCCCGGTGGATTGAAGGAGGTAATGGTGGTGTTGGATGAATTGGAGCTTATGCGCTATGACAACAGAGCGGCATGCTTGTCGATATTTCAGGGAGGAGGAATACGCTCGGCCTATGTACAGTTAGCTGGGGTTAATGGCGAGCCGTTTAAAAAAATAAAAAAATAAAAAAATAAAAATAAAAATAAAAATAAAAATAAAAATAAAAATAAAAATAAAAATAAAAATAAAAATAAAAATAAAAATAAAAATAAAAAATTGCGAGTTAACATACCCTCAACATGGGCAATGAACTTATACTTGCAATGGTCATCCATGCTAATGAAGTTCTGCTTTTCGCTCCATACGATCTCCTTGACGTCACCCCAGCTCGTATCCCGGGCGATATCAAGTAAGTTCCGCCTTAGCTTCGGTGCAAAGCTCAACTTGCCCCTCCAAACAAGCTTGTTCTCCTTCGATGACCAAGGAACAGTAACCTCTTGTCGCTGTATCCGGTCGACCACCTGGTTATAAGGGCCGATGGCATTTGCTGCATTATCCCATGCCCAAAACCCAAAATCGGGTATCAACCATATTGACTCTTCGGACGCCTTCCTGGACAAGGCCCAAATAGGATGTCCTGACCCAGAAATATCGTCGATCCTGTCTTCAATGGAGAATACAAACTCGATGCTGGGCTGTGTTCTGTTTCCTGCTGTAGCTGACAAGGCATGATGCATGGAACTTAGGACAGCTAGTATCTTCTTCCTGTGGTCTTCTTGTGCTGCTTTTGTGGCGACTATATAAAGCTCACCCCGGTGTATTATGGCTCGGGCCATGCCATTTTTGAGTTCGATTTTGTCTAGATGTTCGGCGGATATGCCGAACTGAGAATCCCAAAATGCTGCTGCCCGATATGGGTCTTCAAAGAGCCCTGGGAATGCAGTTTTGCATTGCAAGGGGCTTAGGTTCACATTTGCTTTATCCCGATCGAATTCAAAGTTCCAGTCTGCTGACGGGACTGGCGCTGGGCTAGATGGTTGCTTCTTGGGCAATGTTGCTAGTGATTCCGAGCAATTGAACGTCGTTGATGTTTGGCATGTACAATGGCCTGCCGGAATAATATGTGTGAGCAGCGGATGCACATTATCTCTGTCTGAATTCATCCCAAACCAAAGCGAGCAAACCATGAAAAAAAGAACTCCAGCAATGCATGATAAATAAAGGCCGTTTTTAAAGCGGCCGCTGCGGGCTGCGGCCAGTAGTACACGCGACACACTCATCTTTCGATTATTATTCCTCTCCCTCCCCTTCTCCGCTACAGAGAAGAGAGTAAAAGGAGCAGATGGGAGTGCACTGTGGTGTTGTTTATACGTCTGAACGCCATGATTGAAGACTCTGTACGGACTACCCCGTACCCCGTAGTTACTCTGGACCATCAGGGGGCCCCTTGATGTCATACCGCGATCCACGAGAGGCCCCTTTCACCGCAAGCGGAAGGGTTCACACTGATCAGGTATGAATGATTGTTATTATTGCCATCTCCGATCCCGTATCCTGGTCCACGTTTGCGCGTCTTTGCTAGTTCGGCGATGGCCCGTTCTCCGCCCCTAAACCTGCTGGCAATTGTCTCGAGATTTCAGATGTGCTCCGAAACAGTCAGCAATAGCTAGTTACTCCATACACTCATCTATCTTATTCGTTAGTAGAATATTCGAAACAATGGTGTTTAGTACCTGGAAGCTGGTTTCTATTCGAGGTCGTTAAGATGAACGGCCCTCTGGTGGCTTGCACGGAACGGCGTTCGTCTCCTTAATCTGGACACACACGCGTGCTCTTCCACGCCCTTGCCACCGCGGCCCAATGCCCAGGATGAGCTGCGAAGCTCTTGTCCACTGACATGCGATCTTGATCTTGTGCCTGTACCCACATTGCTGCCTGTGTGGCACGGCTTGCTGGGGAAAAAGGGGACCATCTGACGTCGATTCTCCATATTCTCCAAGTACCGTCTGGCTCTGACCAAAGTCGCCTTTATTGCAAGGCTCCCGAGAGGCTCTTTCGGCCAAACCATCTCATGCATAAGCAGCTCGTATTCCCCTCGCTTGCGGGTGACCACAACCAGGCACAGAACGTTCGCAGGGGGGAGGCCCGTCCGAACCTTCGCAATAGAACTTTGTAGAACGCTACATCCCGGCCGCAAGCAGACTGTAATAATATTGACAGAGGGGATCCCGGGCAGAAAAACGAGCGCATCCAGGCAGCGGCAGGCTCTAATTATATCGACAGGCCTAAATCTCCCGTCGCCCTGTCATTAATTCCTCCGAGCTGGCTGTTCTGGCCGCGAGGTTAACGAAATGACAGCAGGATCGCCGCCGGAGCCAACGGTCGTCCATTGTTATTATTGACCTGCTGCCCGCGCGTTTCAACCTCTCTGAGGCTCTCCTTTCTTCTCCTTCTTCTGCTGCTCCGTCTTTGCTCTCGTCTTTGCTTTTGTCTTCTTCTTCTTCTTCGTCGTCGTCGTTCTTTTCACAAGCAAAAAGCTATCCTTGCTGACTCAGCATATCAAAGGGCGGCTGCTCCGACTTTTCTTTGGCCGCCAAAACTTCTCCCGCGTCTCCCTTTTTTTCTTAATTTCTTATCCTCGCGCAGAGCGACTCCAAGTCCCCTGAGCACTCGACGAGGAGGCAGAGACTCGTGCCGGAGGGCTCTCGCGCGCTCTCGACCTGCTGCCGCTTCTCCTGCTGCGAGCTTTGAACCGACGGAACAGCTTGCAGGCAGGAAAGAGAAAGGAAAAAAACACTGCTGCAGCCCCTCGAACAGCTACCTACCTACCGAAGACGTCTCGCAGCCGGGCCCCAATGATCCTCTGATAACTGCCGTTGGCAGCTCGAATGGAAATGGAATTGACGACCAAAAGCTATTTGCCGCGATTCTTTTGGAGGTAGCATTGCTCGAGTGGAATTCCGAACCGACCAGACAGGGTGCAATAGCTTGGAAGACCAGAACGCCCGCTGTGCGACGTGATATCGAGCTTCGACTTCAGCTTCAAACCACCGCCAGAGCTCGGCTTCAGAGGCTTCTCGAGAACACCCGAAATATCAATAAAAAATAAAAAATAAAAAATAAAAAAATTATACGCAGATGATGGAAAACTCGGTAGAGTCACAGCGGCTGCGGCGGCCTCGGTCGCGAACCGCCTGTGGGTTTCCGGTGTCGACTATCATCGTTACTATATTCGGTCTGCTCCTGGTCTTTGGCATTGTGCAATCGTACTTGACGCTCCAGATCGACCCCCAAGGATGCAAGACGCCCAGTATGCTGCCAACGTACATCAAATTGGGCGGGTTTGATACGGAACATACCCGATTCGCTAGCAAGTACAATCTTTACTTGTATCGAGAACGAGGTGTAGACGACTACAGCGAAGAAGACATTGGGGTATGCTGCCCTTTTTTTTTTTTTTTTTTTTTTTTTTTTTTTTTTTTTTTTTTTTTTTTTTGCGACTCTGATGACACTAGAAATGTCAATGGTAACTAACTAACATGGATTCCGTTCCTCTAGCTCAAAGGAGTGCCGGTTCTCTTCCTCCCGGGAAACGCAGGAAGCTACCGGCAGGGACGGTCCCTTGCTTCCGAAGCCTCCTTGTACTTTCATAATGTACTGCAACATGACCAAGACAGGGTCAAGCTCGGCACCAGGAGCTTGGATTTCTTCATGGCAGACTTCAATGAAGACATGGCTGCTTTCCATGGCCAGACAATCCTCGACCAGGCAGAATACATCAACGATGCCCTGTCCTACATACTATCGCTGTACCATGATCCCAACCGAGCTAGAAGAGATACCGATCTGCCAGACCCAGTATCCGTCATACTGATAGGTCACTCCATGGGAGGAATTGTCGCTAGGACAGTCCTGACAATGGCCAATTATCAGGCCAACTCTGTGAATTCCATCATCACCATGTCCACACCGCATGCCAGACCACCCGTATCGTTCGATTCCGACCTGATGAGTACCTATAAACAGATCAACTCCTACTGGCGCGAAGCCTATTCGGAGAGATGGGCCAATAATAACCCGTTGTGGCATGTCACCCTCATATCCATTGCTGGCGGTGGAGGGGACACCATTGTGCCCTCAGACTACACTAGCTTATCCTCCCTGGTGCCCGATACCCATGGTTTTACCGTTTTTACCAGTACAATTCCCAACGTTTGGACTGGAGTAGATCACCTTTCAATTGCATGGTGTGATTCCTTCAGAAAAGCCGTTGTTCGAGCGCTCTTTGATGTTATTGACGTTCGGCGCGCTACCCAAACGAAGCAACGAGCCGAGCGCATGAGTGTATTCAGGAAGTGGTTTCTTACCGGGATCGAACCAAATGCTGATAAACTCCTGCCAAGTAAAGGTAAGATTAAGCAATATTGTGTTACATCCGCTATCACCAGACTAACGGGAACCATAGAACCAACTACTTTATTGACCCTTGAAGAAAACGCCAACGCAATGCTAAAACAAGGCGAACGCCTGGTCTTGCACGGACTCGGCCATCACGAAGGCCCTAAAGCCCATCTAATCCCTGTCCCCCCAAGAGGAGGTGTCCCTGGCAAAAAATTTACCCTCCTGACAGATCAGCGTGTTGAACCTTCAGGGTCCGGAAAGCTTGAAATTCTGTTTTGCAGTGATCCTCCCTCCCGCGCTGGGCAATCCGCGACTTTGCTTTCCTTGAATCTCGACCTATCCGGTGGCAACGCTGCTTCACCTCGGCTGGTGTGCAAAAGCAGCTATGAGGACGTGATATACATCCCTGCTTCAAACAAGAATTCAAAAGCCGCTTTTGATGACGCCCAACCATTTTCATATTTCCAATACAGCCTAGAAGACCTTACGGAGTATCAGTTTGTGGCCGTCGTCGATAAGCACGAAAAAGCTACCCCCGGGTTTCTGATTGCGGAGTTCTCTGACAGCTCTGACTCAGTAATTCCGACTAGAGTTAGCCTGGGTCGGCTTCTTAGTGCTGGCTTAACCATCCTGCTACCAGCCGACAGACCAATGGTGACAGATATCAAGGTTCCAGCTCTGCAGTCCAGCTTGCTCGCCTATAAGCTTAAGCTCAACAGGCAAGGATGCAAACCCGACTCAGAGCTATTTGCGCCCATCGTTCGCCAGTATATATCTGATCCCTACGAATCCAAGTTTTTCGTCAACGTAAAAGCGATTGACGTTAATCTCCATGGAGTCGCGCCGTATATGCCTCCGCATATCAGGGACAATGCAGCCGGAAGTGGCATATCCTTTGAGCTGTGGTCAGATCGGAGCTGCAGCGCGCCACTTCAAATATCACTGCAAGTGGATGTGCTAGGAAGCTTGGGTAGGCTTGCAATGAGATATCGAACTGTCTTTGCTGCGTTCCCCCTGGTTATTGTCGCAATGGTCCTCCGCAAGCAATTTAGAGTATACGATCAAACAGGTAAGACAGCCTCAACTAGCACTATCTGGCGCTCCCGTTACTTACCACTATGCATAGGCGTTTTTATCAACTTTTCCGAAAGTTTAGAACTATGTATTCGGTCTTCTTTACCTCTTACCTTCCTTGGCTTCTCACTTTTGGCTACCACTCTGGCAACATCCAAGTCCGTTGTAACCCAGGGGGTACAGTCAAGTTGGCAGTCGAACGCAACAGAGACGCCGATAGACTATGGGAAGAATGATCTTCTGTTAGGCTCTCAGGACACTTTCTTCTGGTTCTTGGTGCCTCTTTTCGGCATTATTAGCGTTGGCGCATGTGTTGTTGTCCATTATGCTGCCACAACCATCATCTATCTCCTTGGGCTTCTTCGATCCACCGTGGCTGCTCGACAGGGCTATATCAAGCATGAAAACGGAAAGTAAGTTGGTTTGTCCATGGATCGCTACCAGTAAACATACTAACCACATATAGGGCTGCGCCGTTGCTGTGGAGTTTATCTACAAGACACAGGATAGTTAATGCCGTGATTCTGCTGTTCCTAGTAGCTACTGTCATCCCGTACCAGTTTGCGTACGTGGTAGCTTGTATCGTTCAGTTAATCACTTGTGTCCAGGCCTCTTCTCATGCTCGTGAAACAGTAAGTAAAGGCACCCAGACTCTTTCATTAGCCGATAATTGCTGACTTGGCCCAAGCGATCGGGTAATCATGCCAACCTAAGCAACTTTGCACATTCGATTCTCATCCTAATGCTTTGGATTCTTCCGATAAACATCCCTGTCCTCATCGTCTGGGGTCACAACCTCGCCGTACACTGGTTCACGCCCTTCTCCTCTCACCATAATGTGTTATCAATAATGCCTTTCATTCTTCTCGTCGAAACCCTAACCACCGGAGTCATGATACCCCGGATTACCTCGAAGTAAGTATCCTTACGCTTGGTCCCTTTTGCTCGACAAGCCTTGGTCTAACGTCATTTTTAGCTTCAAACATATCACATCCGGCCTGTTTTTCTTCCTTGCAGTATACGCCGCGATTTACGGCGTCACATACGCTTACTTACTACACCATATTGCCAACTTCGTCGTCACCTGGCTTGTGGTACTCTATTTCTTCGGAAACGGCCTTTGCATACCAAGCATCGACCGGATAACCCGTCTACCCGACTTCGCCGACACCGACTTTTCGAACGGTCACATCAAAAAGCTGCCTTGATTCCATTTCGCCTGTTACAGCGAGTGTTACTTAACATACGCAACAACGTACATATGACGGTCTATTTATTTCATGAGAACACAGCATCGCATATATAGAAGCCTCTGCATCTTCTTTCGGCCTCCATTCCCAGCTGCCCTTTTTCATTTACGGCATAGCCTCTTTTAATGAATTCTGTGACAGTATATATTACTTTTTTCTCCTCACTGTCTATTCGATTTCTTTCCTCTGGAGGAACAGTGCCTGTGCCAGTGGTTCGGCTATTCTTTCTACACATCAGGGCCGCTCTGTTTTATACACTCATCCGTCTTTGTTTTAGAGGCTGTCTTCTGGGTAAAAAAGAGCCCGATCTTGCGGTCAGTATAATATCATGTTAAATATATATTAAGAAAATACTAATAATACTAAATACGTTATCTCTTTCATCTTCCTTTCCCTCCCTCTTTTAGAATACCGCTGAGCTAAAACGATAGTAGTGTCGCAAATATACATATCTCCAGTGGCAGGCAGGCCAAATTCAGGACGCCTTAATATTTGTTTTGCCTACTGTCAAGTGTCAGCCATCTATCACTATGACGCTAATGCCACTCTCGGCTTCCATATCGGACTTGAAGGTCATCGTTATTCTATTATTGTGCTATATATTTAAAGAAAAGATTAATAAGGTATAAGGTCGAATATTCCTCTTTACCCCCTTTGCCTGTCGGCAGCGACTTAACCTCGGCGCTCCACTTTTACCCCGGATCTTCGTTATCATAAAGCAAATTGGCAGGCAGCCCTCCATCATCCCTGAAACCGACAGCTTCAAATCTCTTATTTGTCGTATTATTCATGCACACAGACCATTCTCCTGCCTGATTGGGTATAAGGCGCCGGTCTTCCTGGCCCTTTGGCTGGGGAAACATTGGTTTATCCCGGCTTGCCTTGCCAGCTAAATATAATTGCCAGCAAGGGCAGAGTGCTCAAAGAGAACAACCGACCGGCAGCTTAACCGACGCCTTGAGATGGCGCTACAGCTAAACCAAGGCGGATATTCCTTGCATGGAGTCACAGTCCAGCGGCTCCTTCGGCTTCAAGCGGTGCGAGCTTATACAATGCTGTGTCCTGGGTTAAGGTAGGACTGCTTCATAAATTGCGGCCCGTCTACCCCTCCCTTTCTTTACTTCGTCTTCTCTACAGTAGTTATCTTCTTCTAACTGTCATTATAGCTGGGACAGCTCTTCAGGATGCGTTTCCTAATAAGTAGCCTGCTGTCAGGCCTGGCACTGCTGACATCTCTTCATGCGTTTGTCCTGGCACTACCACGAGAGTACAGTATTTCGATGTCAAACCCATTTCACGAATCTCTTTTCTCCTGTCCTGCAGCTTCATGGCCAAGGGTCAAACTTGGAAGTGAGAATACACCCCAGGAGCCTTCAAAGGACCTCAGAAAAATCCTGTCTCAGATTTCGCCCAAGAGAATAGAAACTACTATCAGAAAATTGGTTTCATTCGGCACCCGCCACACTCTCTCTACACAAACCAACGCAACGTACGGCATTGGGGCAGCAAGAGAGTGGATCGAGTCGGAATTCCAACGATATGCGAATGCGAGCGATGGCCGCTTGACCGTCAAAGTAGTGGGATATGACCAGCAGGCGGATGGTAACCGTATACCTTTCCCTGTTCGGATCAGTGACGTGGTCGCTACGCTGAAGGGAGAGGGAGACCCGGAGAGAGTCTACGTTGTTTCGGGTCACTATGACTCTAGAAACAGTGATCCGCTCGATTATAAGGGTATTGCTCCAGGAGCAAACGACGAGTACGTTCAATACCCTTCTAGCTCTCTTTATTCTATGGCAGTGACAACAGCAGTGTAGAAACGGAAAAGCTAATGGCGTACTAACCAGTGCATCCGGCGTTGCTGTCTCTCTCGAGCTTGCGCGTGTGATGTCACAGCGAGACCTTCCTCGTCCAAAGGCAACGATAGTCTTTGCTGCAGTCGCAGGCGAGGAACAAGGCCTCTACGGAGCTAATTTCCTAGCTCAGTCATTCCGCAATAGTTCCACCAATGTTGAAGGAATGTTTACAAACGATATCATCGGCTCATCAACAGCTGATGACGGCACCAAAGAACCGCACGTTATCCGTCTCTTTGCCCAGGGAATACCACCTCTGAATGTTGAAAATCAGGCAATGCGAGAGAGGCGCATTATGATTGGAGGCGATAATGATACTCCTGCTCGTCAATTGGCACGCTTCGTCAAAGAGACTGCAGAAAACAAACATACGGACATGGAAGTCTCGGTCATCTACAGGCTAGACAGATACCTACGCGGTGGTGACCACCGTCCATTCCTAGAGGCTGGATACCCAGCGGCACGTTTCACAGAGCCAAACGGGAACTATGCGCATCAACATCAGGATATTCGGATTGACAAGGATCCTAAAACTGGCAAAGACATTCAGTATGGAGATTTGCCTGAGTTCTGCGACTTTGATTTTATTTCACGAGTCGGTAAAGTCAACGCGGCCGCCCTTTGGAACCTGGCAATGTCACCGGGTATGCCACGGAACGTGCGTGTCAATACCACAGCGCTTTCAAATGACAGTAAATTCAGCTGGGATCCTCCGGCAGGCGGTAATGCCCTGGTTGGGGGATATGAAATTGTTTGGCGTAGCACCACTGCTCCGTTCTGGACTCATAAGATGGACGTAGGAATGGTTCAGGAGGCAACGATAGATCTTAGCAAGGACAATGTCGTTTTCGGCATCAGGGCCCGCGGCAAGAATGGTGAGAGAGGTGTCGCTGTTCTCCCTTTCCCTTAGTTAGACTATGATATACGTGCATAGAGCTGAGACGCAAAGAATACACGACTTGAGTTGTTGTAGCAGTGAATTAGGCTGCCAAATTAAGTCTTAATGACTGACGTCTCTTGTGGTGGCTCTGCTAGGATAACTACCACTGCAGCATCGCAAGCTTTGATTATATCGGTGCCTTGATACGCCCTAAGCGCCGGATGGCATTCTATATGATGCAAGAGATCACTGCGGCAAGAATGAGGCTGGACGATTAAGCTCCCAGTTTAGCCGGCTCCATGACCAGTAGGCAGCCGTTCGGCTTGATATTCACCCGTTCGCCTAATTATGGATCGCTGACTGGATGCACCGCCCAATTACTCCCTCCGTTACGATGGCCTTGAAACATCTTTTTCGGAGACGGAGTGTACTGCGTGAGATGATGTTATCAGTGGCTGCTTCATCGCAGGTTAATGGTTGGGTACCTCGCCCTTGGACAGGTACACGATCCTCCATCCGATAATGAACGGATAATTAATCCGCGACTATATAAAACTTCAGTCTCCCCATCATAAGCTATAAAATAACTACAAGATACCAGATAACAAGGATAATACATACCAACTCATCTCTCCTCAGTCGGTTACCAGTTTTTCTTTCATCTTCTACAGATCAGAATGGCCAGTCCTATCGCTTTCATCGGCTCAACCGGCGGCTGTGCGAACTCTTGCCTTGCCCACACTCTTAAGGGAGGCTACAACGTCGTCGCCCTTGCGCGCACACCGTCGAAGTTGACAGATCAACTTAAGGTCCAAGGCATCGAGCAGTCAGTCATCGACAAACAGCTCACCGTTATCCAAGGAGATGTCAACGATATCGAAGCAGTAAAGCGAACTGTAGCTCCAGCCTGCAATAATGGAGCTCTAGTACCAACCATCATCTCTGGTATTGGATCAACCCCAAAGCTACAAGCCTCAATATGGCAGCCAGTCACCCTGAATGATCCAAATGTATGCGAGAAAGCAACGAACAACATTATTTCAGCCGTAAAGGAGGTGCAGTCTTCTCATGGGAGCGGAATGCCCAAGACCCAGCCATTCCTCACTGTTGTATCAACCACCGGAATAAGCAAGACAGAGGATGTTCCTTTGGCCTTTAGGCCGCTATATCATTATTTCCTCGCAGTTCCGCACAAGGATAAACTGAAGATGGAGGAGGCTATATTCAACGCTGTTGCTGATCCCACGCCTACTTGTCGAGTGTTCCGCGGTGTCATGTCGGTTCGACCTTCGCTTTTGACGGGTGATTATAATATCGCCACCGGAAAGGGATGGAAGACTCTCAGGGTTGGAACCGATGATAAGCCGGCAGTAGGATACACCATCCAGCGCGCAGATGTGGGCGAGTGGATGTACCATGAGGTAGTCGCAAATCGGGGACAAAACTACACTAACCAGAAGGTCTCCTTGACTAGTTAACGGCCATGTTCGCACCCGGATGATTTTCTTTCTCCTTTCACATGCATCGATTTCCCTTTCCCTTTCCTTTTTCTTCTCTTTTTAAGCATTGTGCATGCCCTTCCACTAGATAAACTAATGATGACGCCTGAGATTGCCCTATGATATCGCGGTGGTAAACCACCAGTAAACAATGAGTAATGAACGCATTGTAATTTTTAGGAGCTCGAAGCACTGAGTACGGTCCTGTAAACCCAGAATAGTGGCTATTGAATGGGCCTTTCACCGAGAATATCGGGAGCTGTCGTTGACTTAGAGATTAACAATCGATGGGCCAAAGAAATGTCGTTATCCCCTTTGCTGTTCGTGTGGTAATTTCCCCTCAAAACGGGAGTAACCCGAGAAAGCTATGAACGCCTTATATAGTAGCATACGGAATGCTGATGTGTAACCAGATATCTCTTCCGTACTACGTGAGGACCGAAGCTCGAAAAGGGGTAAACACAATACGGAGTAGCCGGCTCCAAGTATCATTTGGGTAGTTCTCCACGGGTGCGTACGTTAGTTACGCATTGATATCGAGATTTGACTTAACGTCCGAAAATACTCCGAGAGGGTGGATCAATGTATAAATGCCATGCTGCGCCGAACACAAAGAAAAGATTATCCCCTCTTCTCCCGCACATAGTCCCGTGGCTGGATTAGGACATTGCTGGAATTGGCCAAGCCCATCGCTAGGCTATGATGATCTACTTAGCTCAAATTCTGCCGTGTTAATTTGATAGTCCAATCTGTATTTTGGACCTTCACAGAACGACTTGCGCTTTAAGTGGGGTTCTCAGGCGGCTCAAGCGTCCTCCTTCCTCGAAAGACCCAAGTCAGGTCCAGAGGCTTGCCGACCTCCAATTGAAGAAGGGTGATAGCTTCCATGATGGGTTAGAGAAAACAGGTCTGTATTTTACTGTGTACTCCGTTGACGAGGGCGAATATGGCGGCCCCCTTTGGGTTCATTGGCATGTGTAGCTTTCTTGAGTGCATGCCTGAGTGTGTTTTCATGTGTTTCATCCTGGTGGAGACTATGAGGCTGAGATCAAGGTCGGAAAGCTCAGGTTCTTCTGTGACAGCCCAGAGTACTCCGTATGCAGAGTACATATATGAGAGTCAAGGCGCTCAGTAGCTTTGACAGGAGAGCATGCACATCTTCATGACATCCCTGACGTGGCATTCCTCATACATATACGATAGCTTCACGAATAAATCAACCATGGACTCTGGTCGGTAAAAACTAGTTGAGCCTATTGTGGAACTGCAAGGACGCAGCCATCATAAAGATATGCATTCAACCCCACGTTGATCTTTCTTAACACGTCGGGTAAATGTTGCAGCGACCTGACAAGGGGTTTGGATTCCTCCAAAACAAACGAAACCAGGCCATTGAATCACAAGCTCTGGGCGGTTGTTCAGAAGCGACAAATTCCAGGGAGTGCGTTTTAAGAGAAGAGTATTCTCGTGAATACTCGTGTTGCTTGGCACCACGGTGACATCGAAGGAAAACTGGTGTATGGAAAACAGCACGGTTACCTAACCCTCGAAGGCTGCCATGATAGTACGGAGAAATGCCTACCCGGACCGCAGATAAATCCCGTATCAAGACGCATCCACCAAGACGGTGAGCTGAGAAGAAGACCGTGTTCAGACGGATGCCTCAGACATTTTATGTTAGGCTCTGTCAGCCCAATAGCCTTATATCCTGACCGATAGCCGTGGCCTGGCTTCGTGTAGCTACGTACCTGGTTGTCTTCGAAGTTGAAATTGAATTTTGATATTCAAAAGGTTGGATGTCAGCAAGGACAAAAATAGAAGGTGCCAACCTACATATGGAAGGAGGCGCACGGATAAACCTCGGCCCGTCCCTGCTCTTAAGGTTTTCCGGGTCCACATAGTTTAAATAACTATAATATTGCTTATATAAGACAGGGGTCAGCTTTAGAGAAATATTTTACCACGCGGCCAACCAAACAAGCACCATCAACAAACAAAATAGTTTACGGTTTGGGGTTGGGGCGTTTTGATGTGTTCACATGCTGGGCTGGTACTCCGTAGAGCCAGATCAACTCCCGGGTACGGAGGCAAGTGAGTTGATGCTCGTTCGGTGGGTGCTCCATCCACTGGGCGTGGGTGGCTTTAGTGGCTCTCAGGGGTCCGGGACAGAAAAGTCAACAAAACGAAACGGGACAGCCCCATCTGCGGGCCGCCTGGTGCTCGGAGTACGAACTCCAGCATGATAAGTCTCAAACCTAAGGTCTCTACCCAAGAACACAAAAGATCTGAAGCTGTTTGAAGAAACAGCGGGAAACCTCGCTTAAGTTCAGTGCAAAAGGCGAAACAAAAAGAAATAATAATAAATTCATCTTATATCGAAGGCAATAATGTAATATTTTGAATTTTGAAATATCACTACAAGAAAAAATAGGAGACTGAAAAAATTCTCCCGGCTCCCACGAAATAACGAAACAGCACCGACCTCCGTAAAACGCTCAGTAGGCACTCCTCAAAGGTATATATGGTTGATGATGATAATAATAACAGAAAAAAGAAAAGAAAAATGCCTTAAAACGCCTGACCTGGGTATTTCTTATCTTCGTGACCCGACTCCGATCTCGAGCTTTCAACATCCACATTGTAAGTCCTCTGCACGAGGATGCCGCCGTCCATCTTTCCTTCTTCAACCTTCATGATCTCCTCTGTGCTTTCTGACTTGTCCACCATAGTGAGTTCTGTCTGGGTAATCATGTAGGGATCCTTGGGCTTTCGTTTCGATGATGCCTTGCTGTCTTTGTATTGTTGACTGTGCTCGCTTGTATCCTCGTATCGTTCGTTGCCGAAGATGCTCTTCCAGAATCGGGGCTTGGTGATTGGATACACGAGGGGTGCCTGACCGACAATGACGGCGACGAAATCTTCACGGATTGACCATAGGGCTCCGTCACCATGGCGCTGAAGCTTGAAAATGAGAACGACACGAACGATGGCTGCAATCATACAGAACAAGCCGAGACCAAAAAGCATCATCAGACCAATTTTGCGCATAATGCTAGCTTGGACTCGCAAGACCATCTAAGAAAGATCAGTGTTAGACGGAGAAACTGTAGCGCCTTGGCTTATGGGGGGACACCTACTGGGATAGGAATAGTAATGATGCACATATCAGTAAGGACGTTTAGGACTGCGACGGTGTAGAATGTGACAGGGTTTTGTGGATAGCATTGGCCTGCATTTGTATTGTATCAGTGTCTGTCTTCTCAAAACAAGAGCATTAAATTGAAACACTAACCTCCTGGGTTTGGATAAACCTGCCACAGCTTGGTGAACGGAACACATGCCAAGCAGAAAGTAAGGATGGAAGCAATACCCGCTGCTGTGACGAAACCAAAAGCCGGCAAGATGAACCGTTCAATATGCAGGCCTCTGACCAGTCGACGGTAGAAGAAAAGCATGTTGAACTTCAGACTCCAGACAATAGTGGCATAGCTAAGGAAGCCAAAGGAGAAGAGCTTGGAGCCATATTCCCAATCTTTCCGCTCGCTCATGGATAATGACGCTCGTTGCGCATTTGTCAACACCGATGTATGTTTCCCCCCCGCCTGGACTAAGAATACATGCGCAATAATTGTGACGCAGGTGTATACCAGCTATATAATACATCAGCCATTGAAATCAATAATTTTGAGGAGACTAGACGGAGAATCATCTCACCCAAGTAAACCAGACGAGATAGTCATCAGGGCCGTAACCCTGAATTCCAACGAGCCTTGTTCGAACAAATACTCTTGCCCCGATCATGGTAGATCCTATGGCATAGAGAGTCCATGTCTCAACCAGGACGGGTGTCAAATCCATGGTTGATTGAGGGTGATGACTGGTACCCGTAAGGTAGGGTAGGCGAGGTCGAGCTCAAGATGGATACCGAGATTAAAGCAGCAGAAGCCTCGACGTTTTCAATCAACTGATATAAAGCTTTGCTTAGAGAAAGCAGGCGAAGCAAGTGTCTCTGGGAAGAAGAAGATTGTTATTCGAAACCTGTGGACCAACTCAGGACCAGCCATCTTGAAGGGCCCGTCTTCTGGGGATTTATACGAAATGTCATCCACCGTTGTTAACCTAAACGAGACATCTTCTTCAGGTGTCGTAGCTCATTTTCGTTTCTTCTTTTTTTCTTATTTTCATTTTAGACTGTGGTAAGACCCGTCCAAATAACTTCTGCCCAGGGTCTTGTTGTGGCTTCACTCTATCGCCCGTTTCCCGTACTCGGGACTAGCGGGCGTCAAAATCCTGAAGATCTTTCTGGAGTTTCCCGCGTCAGAAGCCTCATTGATTCGTTTCTTATTCCTGGATTGCTCTCCAGCGGTGATTTCCAAGCTTCATGTTCAATCGAATGGGTAGAAGGAAGTGTTTGGGCTACGGAGTACTCTTCCCACCGCTGCTGGGATGAAACAAGAGAGAGGTGAGTTGAGCTATCAAGCCCCATTCTGCATGATGCAAGCAGAAAAGCTGCTAGGATTATCTGCCCGCGCGTGCTCATATCATTTGTGTATGCATAACCGGAAAATAATTCCCTGGGATGAGGTGTATGTAGTTGCCCAGGGGCAACCTTTTCAACTATATACTTAGTTAGCCGCACCAGAGAGCAGCCAGTCAAAGTGACCGCGGGGGGAGGGTATCAGTGCGGAATATGATAGCGAATGTGTCGCTTCGAGGCCACCGGAGCAAAAAAAATTAAAAATAAATAGACATGAACGGTGCAGGCCCTGAGCCGGACTCCGACGAATGACCAACCATTGAAGGGGGCAGTTCGGTTTGAAACCGTCCTTGGTCGAGGCACTACTTGACAATAATATACGGACACATCCATCATCGGTCCCCATACCTGCACACATCGCTGTTCTTAGTACGTGGATCTAGCGGTATTAAGCTCCGAAGTTGAAGAGCTTAGCCTGATGATACCTGCTGTGCTTGTGTTTTTCCCTCGGGCATGGGCGGCGCTCTCGCGGGTTCGCTGCTAGTTGGATCCATCAACCTTATCAGCCCGTCCAGCGCGCCCTGAGCCCATCGCCACAGGCGCCTTCGAGCCGTCTTCTGCCAGAGCCGATGGTCTAGTGCGCCATTTTTGATTTTTTTGGGGGGAGTTGCTCTCCTCAGCGAACCCTACAGGCGCCGGTGCCTCTCCTGCGGGCTGCTCTAGTGAAGTTCCCCTGGGCGTTGGAGTTAGCATGGGGGTACCGGGCGATACATGGGATGCCCGTATATTGCCAGGAATCCGCCACAGCAATGCGCCATGCAGCCAGGCTCAATTAGTGCCTTTTGAATGCCCGAAGTTGCTGTCACCTGCTGGAGGAGGCTCGGGGATAACTATCACAATCCAGTTGTATGGTTGTTGTGTGGTGCGTCTAGCTCGTTGGTTGCCCACGATGAAACGCTGGAGCGCAGAGCTTTGATGGAATATTACACATCGACTTTTTTTTTCTTTCTATCTTTTCAACATGGATATGGACCTGGTCCCTGCGAGCTGGGGCAATGGGAAGATCTTATGCCTGTTTGTCTGTCTGCCTGATCACTTTTGGCCGCCGCACGGCGACATGTCGACCTCGAATATCAGATATCAGCCTCTGAACAGGACATAACAGCCAGTCACACCCCCCTGTGCTGCTAACTAGTTGACTGGGCAAACCCCGATAATCTACCCCTTGCGCCTTTAGCTGGATTGCAAATAAAAAAAGAACAACGCCATCATCGACTGGCTCTCGCGGTCAGTCCCTCGCCCAGTCTGGGGGAGCATCGAAGGTTCCATCGTCCACAGGCTATTGAAGCAAGGCAAGTCATCCACCAAACAGCTGCAGGAGACGCCGCGGCCAAGCCTCCTCCTGCACTGAGCGATCCCTGTCTGCATCGAAAAAAGGTTAAATAAAAAGAGAATAAACAACAATATATGATTTCTTCTCAGGCTAATGGAGTATGCAGATTTAAATGGCCACATCGAAGTTTGCGGGCAGAGATGCATAAGTTGACATGTACAGAGTATGAGCACAGCATATGCATCTCTATGCATCCTGATATCGATCAAAAGAAAAAGGGGGGAAGTCCCTTGCTGTGCGGAAGGAAAAAGAATAATGGAACAAGATGGGAAAGCAATAACGCCCGGAAGCAGAGAAGCTAGATCGATTGTCTTCTAGGGCTAGAGGAATTCAAAATTCTGTACGACTGAAGGCGGTTCGATGGCGGGCAACAAGATGATAGTGATGGCCCCCGTGCTACCATGTCCTAAAACTGGAGTATACCGCGCTTCCCGAATAACCTTCTCTGGGGTGCCAACAAGCCGGAGAGGGACGACTACGAATCGTTAGGAGCATCCCTACGGAGTATCTTCATGACATTTAGATCCCGTCTGTTGGCCGATCGAGGATTTACTGACAAGGATCTGGAAGATGCCGGAAACCTCTTATTCCTTCTTTTGTTCAACCTAAGTATGTAACTGGGCGATTCGATACCACAAAGCATAGCATGCCGTCCGGAGCGTCTATCCTGTCCCGTTCGAGGATCGACCAAAATAAGGCAAAGTAGAATTCTCAAGGGGGAACTTCACTTCCAAAAAACAGAATTAAGCCTGGTATGTACTCCGTATGTATGCATGTGCTTTGGCTCTTTGCTTGCCCAGCAAAAATAACTCCGGCACTCAGATGATGGAAATGGAAAAGGATTTGTCTTCCACGGACAAATTATCCTACCTGCGTATCCCTGGCTGTACTATTGGATCTCTCTCTGGCTCTAGTCCTGTCATGATGCTTCATATTTTCCCTGGCTTGAGTTCACCCACCTCATGCTTCATGCTCTCCCCTGCCGCTATCGCGGGAGAGGAAGATGTAAGGAGTTGGATAGGTAGGTGGCTGCTGAGGCGAAGTTGAACGTCAGGTCAAGATAAAGGAGTATGTTTTGGTAGTAGCAACGGGAGAAAGGGGTATGAGGATCAAAGAGAGCTCTGATGGGTGCCGGAAGTTGTTTATATATACGCTGATATATTTTGATTGCACAATTTCAGGACAAGTATAACTTGCTCTGAATGTTTACGTTATAGCAGGGTTTGACTGATTATTATAAGGTATAATAGATACATTAAATATGGCTTGTTAGGTTGAGATGAGGACGATGAGACTATGGAGGAAGCCGTGTGCCCCTGGCATTGAGACGGGCAAATGCTTGCTCTATGACGTGCTTGGGCAGGTCAGGGATACTCTCGCCAAAATCCCCCTTACTACTACTGTCCAGTTTGGTTGTAGGCTGGACATCACCTTCGGGATGCTGCTGCTCGACATCGTCCGGTTTTGCTCCTGACGTCGTCTCATCCTTGTTCTCTTGAGCAGTGTCATCATCCTCACGAATCCTCCGAAATACAACTCTGCTGGGCGGCATGCTTAGGCCCGGCCAGATATCTGAAGGAAGGTAATCACCCTGATCTATCCTAAAGGCCTCTCGTGCTCGAACATCTTCTTCATACAATGCATCTAACCTCGCCCGAGCATCGTGTAGAATATCTTCGGCAGCCCTTTTAACACTCATCCGTCTCGCAACTTCGAGAATGAGACCATCGTATGCGTCTAGGAAGCCCATGTACAGGCCTCGCAGGTCGTTCAGGTCGGCCACGCCTGACTCCATGCGTTCATGTTCTGTTTTCCATGTCTGCTCGAATTTATGGGATTGTGCTACATATCCTGGTAGACGGGTTGATTGAAACTCTGCTAACCGGCGATACACAGCAGTAGTAGATACGCCGGCGGCGATAAGCGAGTCTCGCTGTTCAAGCACTCTTTCCAGGATAGATTCCATCTCAGCTATGCGGTCTTGGATTTCGAGCACGACATCCTCTGCCTCGCCCGCATCCTTAGCGATGACGTTGATCATATCACGGTAGTCTGAGTCGGTAAGAGGCTCCAGCTGTAGGTTTGCATTGCCAGCATCATCGTTGTTGATGTTGTTGCCATCGCTGGTGTTAGATTGCGGGTTCCCGCCGGCCCGGATTCCGACGCCGACATCAGTGGGAAGGTCTCCCGTGATGTTACGAGCGAGTACCCCGCCTCCCTCTGTATGCTTGACAGCTGTAACGCATAGATCAAAGTGGCGGACCAATGATTCCAGCAGGTCTGCCATTTCCTGCGCATTCAGCTCGAGTGAGTGAAGAAATTCCGGTATCACAGCCGGAGTGGGCATCTTGACACGGGAGGCAGACGAAGAAGCGGACAGGCTGAGAGAGGAGACAGAGCCCCGTTTGACAGAAAGCCGGTACTTGTCTAGGGCCTGCTGGATGGACTGAAGATCATTATCAAAAGCTCGATTGGACACGTCGAGCTCCGTCTGCGCTGCGCTGAGGTTGTCAATGGCGTCTTTGAGTAGCGACCGGATGTCGTCTACGGCATGTTCATCGATGAAATCGTGTAGTGTTTTGGACACGCCTCTTTCAGCTTCCTCCTGCCGCTGTTCCTGCGAACGAAAAGCCGGCTCGAGAGTGATCTCGCGCAGACTGTCGAGAGTCTGCTGCAACCTTCTGTCGACTGTATCAAGCTCCTTGATAGCAGCGGAAAACTCGGCCCGGCCACGGTGGGCTACTTCTTCTACTTCAGTCCTTACCTTGAAGAGGAGACGAATCTGCTCATCCAGGCCTCGACGTAGGAAGCCAGTACGGGCTGAGACGATGACGCTTTCCTCCAGCGCCGCGCGGGCAGCAGTGACTATCTCGTTGGCTCTCCAGACATGGTGGATAGAGGAGAGGGATCTCTTGGCAGCCGCAAGGTGCGACACCAACGTATCCAGGTCTGGCTGGGCACGGCTTTGGTCAGGGCTATAGCTATGGCCATGGACATGAGACGTCCCTCCTGATCGGCCACTCTGCACCGAAGATGCAGAGCTTGCCACTGAGGACATCATATTTGTTATCTTTTCTTCTTTGCAGGGGTATCAAGTAGGTTTATGATATATCAGCATACCAAATAAATATCAAATAAATAGAAGTAATAATAATCAAATCACACCAACAGTCAGATCAAACGTCCGAAACAACGAAACAACCAAGTGCTAGGCTCGTCCTGGAGCGCAGACAACAATTAAACATGCACAAGAGGCGGCGGCGTATGCCAACCAGAGCGGAGAACGAGACTATGGCTCCAGTAACTAGCTTCTTAAGACAGGGGGCGTCATAGTTGCCCAGCCTGCCGTGATTCGGTGTCCTGATGCCGCAAGATAAGCACGACACTTCGCCAGCCGTGAGCTAGCAGGACACAGCACAGGGGAGAGTCGCCGGTAACAGCAGCTGAGCAAAATAACGAGGCTATCAAGGTTGTTTGATTCACCGGCCGCGCTGTCTGTCTCTGTCTATCAAGCTGGAGTTGCAGGCGTTGAAGTCGCAAAAAGGCCGAAGGAAGCAAAGGGAGAAAAATCCAAAAAAAGAAAAAAATAACGTGATCAAGTGGCAGAATGACGGACATCACGTGACAAACATTTGGCGGTGAAAACAAGAGCCGCCAAGACCGTTATTCCGCTGACATAATCGAATTATCCACACGTGACTGTCGCCCGAAGCAGGCGGAGCCAGAAGAGCCAAAAGAGACGACGACAAAACGACATCGCGGCGACGACGTGGCGGCGAGAGGACGAGACATAAAAAGCAGACGGACGGACGCCCCTTAGCCGTTGGTTTTAGCCCTGGCTTCAGCTTCACACGGACACGAAAGGACTGCGAGAAACGAGATACTAGCTTTCCCGCTTGCTGGGTTTCGGCAAACCTTGGCCCGAAGGTATATATCGCGATTTCCATCCTTATAAGACCAGTACCTCCTCCCGTCCTCGCACTCCAACCCCCGGCAAGACTCTCAGGCGGCAGTATAACGATAGCGACGGGCCGTCGGGAAAGCAGATATTCTGCGGCGGAGGATAACGACAATGGATGCGGACAACTCTACGCTGCCGACGGAACAATCGGCTGTGCGAGAGACCTGTGACCGGGATGTCACGATGTCTCCGCGCAAGCGTAGACGGCTTTCGGTTTCCCTTGAACCAGAACTCACAGAGCCAGAGGCTGCCGGGACGCCAGGAGAAAGGTGCAGCACAGCAGATACTCCCGAATCTACGGCCTCGGAACCCAGGTCCCTCTTCAATTCGACCCCCACGGAGGGCAACATTGCCCCTTTCCTGACCAAACATATCAAGGATCAGCATGCATCAAGGAACAGATTTGCCCCGATAGACTCATCCCTACCGCGACGCAAGGCAGATTCAAAATACTGCTATCGCCACCGACCAGACCTGAAGTGTCGACGTCAGGCAGTTGAGCCTACAGTTGACCAGATGCAAAGAGTGCGTATACCACTTACGAATATAGGCAGTTTTCGTTGTACTGACTGAGCCTACTAGGATCTCTCAACTCTGTCACAGAATGACCAACAAAGCATTGCGCATTTTTGGTCTTTGTTCTCCGCAGCCCCTTCAAAGCACCGCAATCTCATGCTGCAGGGGATCGTGGCACAGTGCTGCTTCCCTCAGTTGTCCTTCCTCTCAGCTAGTGTCCGAGACCTGATTCGCATTGATTTTGTGACGGCCTTGCCACCAGAGATCTCTTTCAAGATTCTGTCTTACCTTGATACCGCTTCTTTGTGCAGTGCAGCTCAAGTGTCCCATAGCTGGCGGGCTCTTGCAGATGATGACGTTGTCTGGCATCGTATGTGTGAGCAGCATATCGACCGCAAGTGTGAAAAGTGCGGGTGGGGGCTCCCCATGCTTGATAGGAAGAGGTTAAAGGACACAAAGCGCCAGGTTCAGCTGCGGGCAGCTGGCAAGGAGATTGCTCCTAATCAACGGCCACAGCAACAGCACCGACCGTGGAAAGCAGTCTATATGGATCGTTTCAAGGTTGGCACCAACTGGAAGTACGGCAGATGCACGACCACCATATTTAGGGGACATACAAACGGTGTCATGTGTCTACAGTTCGATGACAATATCCTTGCTACCGGCTCGTATGATGCTACTATTAAGATATGGGACATTGAGACCGGCAAGGAGATACGCACGCTTCGGGGCCACGAATCGACTATCCGCTGTCTGCAGTTCGACGATACCAAACTGATCAGCGGAAGCCTTGATCGAACCATTAAAGTGTGGAACTGGCGATCAGGAGAGTGTATATCAACATACACTGGCCATCAAGGTGGGGTCCTTTGTTTACATTTTGATTCCACAACTCTTGCCTCGGGTTCAAAGGACAACACTATCAAGATCTGGAACTTCCATGACAAGTCCACTCGGATCCTCCGCGGGCACGCGGACTGGGTCAATTCAGTTAAGCTTGATACTGCTTCTCGTACTGTATTCTCTGCTTCTGATGATCTCACCGTTCGTATCTGGGACTTGGACACGGGTAAATGTATCCACAGTTATGCAGGACATGTAGGTCAAGTCCAACAGGTCCTCCCACTCCCACGAGAATTCGAGTTCAAACACCAGTCAAATTGTGCAGATGATAGAAGCGATCGTCTCTCTGGCTCAGAATCTCCCGACCACCGAGGAAGTCATGGCTATAGAAGTAATAACGCACCAGACCAACAGCCTAACACTTCCGCCCCTCCGACCGAGCCCATGTCTCCCCTTTTTGAGGCCCTCTTCACCGAAGACCAAGGCCGTCCAGCTCCACCACGCTATATGCTTACTGCTGCTCTTGACCTTACCCTTCGTCTCTGGGAGGTTCACACTGGTCGCTGTCTCCGAACGTTTTTCGGACACATTGAAGGCGTCTGGGGGTTGGCTGCTGATACCCTCCGTTTTGTCTCTGGTGCACAAGATCATATGGCAAAGGTCTGGGATCCCCGAACCGGAACCTGCGAGAGAACGTTCACCGGTCATAGGGGACCTGTTACCTGCGTCTCTCTTAGTGATAGCCGCATGGCAACTGGAAGCGAAGACTCTGAGGTCCGAATGTACAGTTTCAAAGCTTGATTCCAAATGTTTGATTATGGTTTTTGTTTTTTCCCCATCATTTTCCCTTCTTATTTGTCTGCTGGAGTTACTCCGTGGCATTTCCACAAACATGTATGAGTGATTTTTTTTTTTTTTTTTTCGCATTTTTCTTATTATACCCAGCATCTGCATCGGTGGGTTTCTCATAAATTTGAAGCTCGTATCTGGCTTGGTTTGGTCCTACAAGCGTGTCTTTATATCTGTTTGTGTACTATCTAAATGTGTGGGATATACCCGGCGCAGTCCCTTTCAAATTTTTCTGGCGTTCATGCTCAGTGCTTTCTGGCCATCAGTCAATATACCTTGAATGATTATAATGGTACATCATGTTTGATATATATTCCTATGATTGAATATACCTTATATTATATCGTGTTCAGTATTTATTATCCATTTACTACTGTTATTTTCCAGGTCGGTGATCTTGGGAGTGATATTGGTTTCCGCCTATATACAGCTGGTGCATTTACCTAGTAAGTATTCCGTTTGCCATCAATATCACTCTCAGTTACTAACAAATATTTGTTTCTAGGAGCTTTAGCAAACAAAATTTTTCATCTATCATGCCAGCAATCACTCATCACCAACTACACCAACATCACCATCGCGGAATCTAGTCTATATAAACCCCATACCCGCCGGCTTTCATAGATATCCGGGCCCAAACGCTCGCGGAGATATATATACAGTCACAATTATACCCATTTTCTGCTCCATCGCATCAGATCTATAATATGAGCTTTATCAATATATCCAGGTTGTTCACTCCGCCTCCCCACGCTGGAGTGACATACCAATCCCGTGTGGCCTCTTCTACATCCCTGGATCTTGTTCATGTGGTCATGACTCTTCTGGTGATTCATTTTCACTTCAATACTTGACCGCTTCCGCCGCAATACCACTCACGATGAGTACTGTGTGGTATCTGAATTGTGCGTTATCACGCCGACAACGATATATAACTTCACAACGCCGGTCCTTCGTCACTAAAGTTGCCAATGTACCATTTCTTCGCCTTCATACTCGACTGCAGCCATGTGTTTTCTTAGAGTTAGCTATTCAATTGCTTTACTCCTGCGGCCGATAACCTCCTACCCTCCGTCTTGCGTTCACTGCCCGGCGTGGTACATTATGGTATAAAAGCTGGGCTTTTTTTCGACAGCCCGCTGCCGGTTCTTCTCAACCTTCTACTCCGTGGCTTTTCATCACAGGGACGGCGTTTAATATCTATACTCATTCTCTCGGCATCGTTGGCCTGCATCAGACATATCACCCGGCAGTCGTGATTTCAGAGTTCCATATCCTCAGTGGTATACTCGAGGATAGATACAGATACGGGCCAGGCTTCTAGATGAGATACAGTAGTCCTCAACCCCCGCTTGATCACCGGCTTATTCGATTCCGGTGGACTTGATTATACGTGATCGGCTGGTGATTGGGCTTCTTGCTCTTTGCCCATTCGCTAAGCTTAGAGACTCGATACCTACTGGACCGAACCATATACGGTGAAACAATACAAGAAGACATACTTTCGTTAAATCATGGTTTCAAGAGACGATTTTGAATTACCTCCTCTCTCTCGCGCTACAAGCAAACAGTCCAGACGTTCGAGTCGTCTAGCCCCTGAAGGCTCTTCACGACCATCAAGTTCTCGTCCTCCGCCATACTTATCCGCTGCCGGGTCTGAAATAGGACGACGCTCATCTCGCTCCTCTCGCCCTAGGGCCGAAAGTAGCAGTGGTGATGGCGTTCAAATGCTGCCAACGCGACCCCAAAGAGCACACAGAAGCTCCCACTCACGAGCCACTCAGGGAGATGTGCCAGAAATTACGAACTCGAGGCTGAGGGCTAAAGATAGACATTCCTCAACTACACTTAGCCACGGAGCACTTCATGATCTCAATAATGTTCCGCCGCGTGTACCGATGCCATCTTTAAACCGTGGCCCATCTATACTTGACAGCCCCCCTTTGCCTCCGGGTTCGTCTGCTTGGCGTCGTCATGGTCCGATCCCCTGGAGAGTATTTCCAAACGGACCTCCAGCGGAAGGTCAATCTTGGAGAACTACTCCCAGCAATCTTGATAGCCACGGCCAGCCGCTAGGCCAGCGGACGGGCCAGCTCACATGGGGAGTAACAGCAACACCAAATTATTGGGGAGTACACCATGGCAACCCCAAGTCATGGATAGGTGGAGGTTCGGATAGCAAATGTGTATGTTGGTGGCTGGTTGTTGCTGCTATCCTTGGGACAGTCGTGGCTTTGGGAGTGTACTTCGGTACCAAACACTGATGCGTCAGAGTCGAAATAACAGCTCTCTTGTTTTTGCTGAAAGACTTCCTAGCATTCTATACTTATAATTCGAGATCTGTGCGGACCTATATCATCTCATGCCATGTCAGCTCGTTATGTTCCACCCCAGAGACTGTTCAATTAAACTTTCTCTCCGTTTATATATAAGGTTCTCACCGCAAGAGTTGATTATCCTTCATTGCAACGAATGGTACCTATCAGTGAGAATGTGGATCCTTATATATTCCGAAGGGAACGCCATGGAGACACACAGTCAGCGGGGATACAAACACACCATCTGTCCAGTCATTACTCAATATATATGGCATTGTGCCGGCGAACTATACTTCTATCGGTTTTCTCTATTACGCCGTAGTAGTCGTTGAGTTACTCGATGTTTAGCTATAGAACAATCAAACACCATTCAAATACCAACCTAAATGCTTGTGATATGTAGTTATTCGTTCGTTCCATTGAAAAACCAACATGATAAACCGAAGGTAAAACATGACCCATAGTAATTACGTAGTTGATGAGTATTTTTGAATTTTTTTGCATTAAATATTCTTTCTGTAGTAAGGTCATTAAATCTAAGATACAACAGGTCGATTGCCATACCCTCTTGTTGAGGCTGCATATTTCAATCTTCGTTCATGAAAGGAGCGATACTGTTTACGCTCGAACGTTCCGTAGCCAACAATGGCTAGAAATAACCCCGTCCACACACTGGTTACAACAAGGCCCGTGGGAAATATACCCAGGCCTATGCCGGGTACTTCAAATTGCAAGGTTGCAATTAGTATGTTTGTTAGCTGGGTTTTGACCTCGGGGGTCGTCATATTATATGGTGAGTTGGTGTCATTGGCTAAATAGCCAGTAGTATACGAGAGGGTGTCGGGAGCTAGACTTGTGTCGATGATAGTGTCGGGTTGGCTCGGAGATTTTGTTATGATTGATATGTTAGGCGCGAGAAGATAGCGATGTTCATCCCTGTAGACAGGTCATTAGAAAGAGTCTTCATACTGATTTAAAGTTGGGTAGGGACAGACTTACAGGGACAACTTCTTTAGCGGGATAAGATCGTTTACCCTGCCGCTGTACCGCCACTGCATCACCAGATAGGGCGAGCCTGTGGTGGAATTCGAAGTTGTGTTCTGAAAAACCCGGTTCATCCCCGAGAATTCTATAAGCCGCGAGCCCAGTTTTATATTAAAATCTTCCCATTTAGTATTAACGAATTCCCCATTCGCCTGGGAGACATGGTATAGTTTGACATCGGCCCCGAATATGCTTGTTTCTTCGTTTAAAAATGCGACGTTGAAGCATGCGGCTATCCCGGAAGGGTTGGACACTGATTTCAAACCCCTTAATGCATTCTCACATGTTGATGTAGTTGTTGCATTGAACTGTCCCTCATCAAATGTGTACTTAGCGCCCGGCCGGGGAATCATCGTTGACTTTCGCTGCGATGTAGCGGTAGAGGGTTGCGGCGAGTTGACTTGCCACCCGGGAGAGGCTGTCAGTGTGTTCGGATTGAGGAGTCGCCGAAGTATATGGTCTCTAGGTATGTTGTATGCCACCGAATGTGGTATCAGAGTCAAGGCGCAAAGCCAGATTAATATTATAGCGACGGCCCGCATCGTTGAGGGTATCAATAAACAAGGAAGAAGAACCACGTTCAAAAACGGTTGAAGTCGTCAAACACCGTCCAGCGGTGTTGACGACACAATGACAGGCGTACGGCAGATGCGCGACAGTTGCGCTACCGCTGTCTGCCCGTTGAGCCAAGGTCACCTGAGATGTGCCGCGAATAGCGATGTCGACAGTAGATGTACAGAGCTTCTGGTATGTGTGTTCATCTCTCTGGGAAAACTGAAGTCGGTCTAAAATATGAGGAGCACGACGGCTTTGGCCAGGGGTTTGCAGGTCTTGACCAGGTTGTTCTTCAAGGGATCAAGGTGGCCATATGTATGTGCCGGGTGTCACGAAGATGCAAGGGCGTGTGAAATCCGCTCGGTTAAATGCCCCGGAACGCCATCTAGAACCCTGGGCCAACCGAGAAGGGCAAAAGGAAATCTATGTAGAATGACGGATCGAAAGGCAAGTAAGATGGTATGATAGACTGCAGATATCTCTCGAATGGAGATACCAGTGGCGCCATGGCCAGTTTAAATATAAAAGGCTATGTACGAAGGAGTCTGTCCATGCATGCATTGGTGGAGGCGAGGAGCCATGGCGGTTACTGCCAATGATTGAGGCCGCAGGTGCGGTGGCCGGAAGGTCTCTGTCCACTTAATTCATATCCAAGCCGAACCAGGCATGGTTGACCTCCGTCCTGATCCTGCATTGGCCCTGTCACAGCGAATCGGCAAGCAGATGGCCTGAAGAATCCGAACTCAAAGGTCGCGAGTGGTGCAGCACCCTTGGCTGGTTCATGCAAGCTGACTGGCCAAGGTGTGTGATTGTCAGGGGAGCCATGCATGGATGAAAGCCAGCATGCGAGCCATGAGTGGTCCAACTGCTTGCTCTTCGCCATTCTCCGTTATATCATGCGTCCAATATACTTCGTTACTTCGCATGCAAGCCTGGGGATATTTTTGACAAGAGACCCCCTAGCCATGTGGATACGCGCCGTGCCACCCTGTGACATGGGCCCCGGCGCTTACAGCTCTCCCGCTGGGTGTTGCTCTCTGATCGATGCTGCATCCTGCCTGGCCCTCCGTGCTCTGCGTCCTCTGCATGCGCTCTGCGGCGTCAAGTCGGGTCTGTCTGATGCCGCTTCATGGCCGGTCCAGCGCTGCGAGATTGTATGGAAGATGCAACTCGACGTCGAAAACTGCCGAAAGCGGAAAAAGAAACGCCGAGCCTTGGCCGTTGAACCTATTTTTAGACTGTGTGCACGTGACCGGTCCGTTCTCGAATTTTTGCGTATTTATTTGAGGGCGCAAGGAAGAAGGAAGAACATGCAGCGCGGCGAGGGCTGGGATGCCTGTTGGTGGGCGCAGAGGAGGCGTGCAACGGATACGGAGGACACTGGGGGGACTTGGTTCGCTAACTAGTTAACTCACTGTTGGTTAGTTAACCAAGATGATGAGATCGCAGGAAGCCACCTGTGGACAAAAGGTGGACTCTCGTGAGACGTCCCAACAGGCCAACCAGATACCAGAGAACAGCTGCCCCTCGCACGTCTCGCAGCGGGATCCTGGCGGCTATGCCCTGGTATTTGTACCCAGAGTTGAGATTTGAGCCTTTTAGCGTGGCAGAGACAAGGCCATTCACGGCCTCGGACGGGGATAGCTGCCATGTCTTGATCGCCATGCCTCTCTCCGCAAGTGGAGCTAATCTGCGGCTTCCCCCCTCTTCTTACACATGGTAGGCAGGACTCTTCGTTTTGAACGAGCCGTATGGGCCAGTGCTTGTTACCGATGGCGCGAACCAACCGTTAGTGGCCGACAGGTTTACGAGTTTACGAGATTTGACGCGATGACGTCCATGCAAGCATTACCTCTTCGAGAATATGTTGGAAGAGCGTTTGCTAGTTAAGAACAATGCGCAGCAAATCCTCCTACTCTCCATTGAAACTTGCTGCATCTCCCCTGCCCATGCGGACCGGCGCCAGATATAACAATGAATGGATCATCCCCCTTTTCTATAGATCGACGCTTTGGCCCCCCTTGATACCCAATGGCTATGTCGTTATGTCACTGATGGTGAAACTCTAGCGGCAACTGGGCGTCTATATAAAGCCGACATAAGTGCCTGGTCTGGTATATTATGCTATTTTAAAAAATAATGCGGCGCAGCGTCCAGCTCGACGGAGGACCCATTTCGGGACATCAAATGGTCATAAGAAGAGTTATCTGACTGATACCAGACAGGAGTGGGGCCAAGATGGGATAGTAGCTGCAGCTCCCGAGGTCTACCTGATGTCCATCTCCCCTCTTGAAACATGGTGTTGTTAATAATATCTTCTCAAATTCGAGCTAGTTTCGAATATATTGCTGACCATGCATCCCCAACCGCGCGCTACCGCTCGTCCCCCTTTTTGCACCTAACGGCACTTAATCCGTACTCTTTGGCTGCTAGCCTTCCACGCAATACGCTCTTCCATGGCTATACTTCGAAGTCATATTGGTCTTTACGTTTCGTGCTGTTCATGCAACACGATTACGAGACGTGGAGTTAGTCAGGAATAATATCCTCTTACATCACTAGTACTTTCATGATAATGCAGATAGAAGACTACTTCTAGTGAAGATCCCTTAATTTATAATCTAAAGGCAAGGTATATACTCCGTTACTTCGCATTCTACAAGGTGCTCCAGCGCACAATGGTTGGCTGCCTCTTTCTAGGCATTATAGATACAGCATGCTCCCGGTTTATTGTAGCTCGCCTAGAACAATAGTATGAAGTGATAGCGATATATTAATCGTATTTCTTCACTTGGATTATTTCACTTTAATCAATATCCTATGAATATCCTCTAAGCTCTTTATTTTAAGGTGAATGTTGTCTCCACATCCCGCGGTGTCCCTGTCACGTGCAAGCTAGTGGTTGCGGCTTCATGAGCTTGAACCAACCTCAACTTCTCATATCAAAATGTAGACTCTCATAAATGATACACATACCGTCTATCCTAACCCAAGATACGATATTACTACCTTTACTAATATATATCCATATACTATAGATGGTTGCTAGTGTATCTTGGGGTTTAGCCTAGCAGTATGTCTGCGAATAAGTACCCAGAGGGGAATACGTACCCAGAGATATGTTAGACTATAACAGGCAACATCTAGCAATCCGGATTTAAAGCCAATAGATAGGTAAGTCCGTGTATAGTTCCGTGAACTTCTGATAGCTAGGTTCATTTACTGATGTGCTCTTCTCAGGTTGACTTGATGATAATATCATACGACTGTGCTACATGCCATTTAGCCAACAGAAGCATCAACGCCGAGGAAGCTCTGAGCTCTGTTATTTTGCTTCCCTGACTGGCGTGTAGCCAAAACCTCTACCACAGTTGTAGCTGGCGTCGATGTTGGCTCAGGAGGTCGATTATGTCATTTCTCAAATTAGCCTTTTATACCCTAAGTCCATGGACTGAAAGTGAGCCTATCGCAAGGTCCCTCACGTCCTCACGCCGCCACTACGACTTGATAATGGCCGATAGCCGCTCTTTTTAGCCGACTATAAGGGAGTGATGCAATATTTGAATGCGATATTTAAATGCAATATTTACCCAAATATATATGAAATACATCATCTCCCTCGCTGATGACTTCAAGGCTTGCTAGCCATCTCAAACGGCTCAGCTATTCTAGCTCATTCAAGAAACACAGAAATAGCCAATTTACTGTGTGGCAACTATGCTGGGGCTAGCATCTCCTGAGCCTTCTGCTGACTCTGTATGCCCGTGGTATGACGGTGATGACTCTTCGTTCAAGTCAAAGACGTCATGGCAGGACAACTTTTCGATGAGAACTTAATATGGTTATACTGTACCATGGTTGTGTAGGTAGGACTCTCATTTGCACTATAAAAGCCCTCCAACACTCCTTTCGCCCCCCAATTCCTCTTTCTCTCTTCATCTCCTCACCACCACTTCTACATCCTCCAGACATACTTGGCTGTCCACGCTCGTGCCTACACCAAGAGCATATCATCGAATCTATAAATTTTATACATTTATTACATTCCTCCAAGGTATGCTGGCTTCATATCTTCACACACCATCCTCTTGTTTGTCTTTCTAACATATAGTCTCGCTGCAGATCCAGTAAGCCGAAATGGGTGCTGGACTCAAGCCAAAGGAGAAGGACTATCGCCTGCCCTTCCACAATGCGATAGCCATTTTCAACGAGAAGACTGGCAGATACGAGTCAGTCGCTCCAGCCGCCAAACCGAAGAAGGCGGTCACCACCATCGGGTCTGTTCCTCAGCCCAAACCGCGGCCAACCAAAGTCCAGAAGGCCGCAAAGCCAGCGAAGACCGCCTTGTTTCCCCATCTCTTGCCCGGCAAAGATGGAAAACTTGGCCCAAAGCCTTTTGTCATTCGAAAGGTGAGGCTGCCAGAGCCACAGCCTCCAACTCTTGCCCCAGCCAAACACAAGTAAAGGGACTCCGACAGTCCCTCGCTATGACGACGACCGCCGGCGGCGCCTTGCAGTCCGACCAACCGACCAACAGGCTCGATATGACGTTATTACGAATTTTCTTATTTTCGACTTTCTTCTGCGTGCTTTCATATTCTTTGCATATATTACCCTTTATATCAAATGTATTATACCATGTTTCGATGCTTATGTGCGCTTATGACTCCTATCAAGCGAGCAGGAAGTTGGTCTCCTTTTGTGGCCATCAATAGTCTCTACATGAAATCTATAAATCTTCAACCCAAACGTTCGCCACATAACTAGTAGAATCTTCTTACTCGCTGAGCCTCAACTTCATCCCTAGGAAGTTACGGTCTTCACACATCCTTGAACGCAACTTCTATAAGCCTCAATAAAGCCTATAAATGTAAATAAACACATGGGTTGTTCCTGCCTTTGGAAAAGAACTTTTGCTCCTTTCCCCTTTTATTTTTCAATATCCAACCTTGCTTAAGTTGTTGTTGTTGTTGTGTTTCTAGGCTTCCTTAATCTATTCGTCGTATCTTCAACACACTCGCTGGCGTCCATCGTTTGCATCAGATATCGCAGTTTATATACTTCCGTCCTTCGTTTGGTGTTGGTATACACGCTTCTATATGCTTAGACCATTCTTTTCTCGTTCTTGGAGATACAGAATACTCGCTCATTATATTGAAGTTCCTTTGCTTGCAGAATTCAGAACAATACACTCGAGGCCTGTTCCATCCCTGAAAAAGCGTGCGGCCTTTTTGCTTGAGTATTTCAGATTCTAGCAATACGGCGGCCCATAGCCCATCAGTACTGGTAAATTTGAATATAACTCCGTCTAAAGGACATACACTGTGCCGTCTGATCTCCAAGTCTTCCTCACTTCGCTCATCTATACCCCTGCAAGGTCAATAACCCGCCAATAACCCGACAATAGCGATGGGCGGCTGCTGCATTAACTGCGACCCCTTTAGATGCTTCCGCAGAAAGGAGGAGCTATATAGCGAGGAAGAAGTTCAAATCACCGTTTCGGATGGTAGTACGATAGTTGACTCAGCAGATTCGTCAGACTCGTTGGCACCTCAGCTGCCTCCAATCAACCGACTAAGCAGCCTTCACATCCCAGGAGTGCAGCCTCCTAGCCCGGATCCGCAGCACAACATGTTGTTTTCCGAAGAACCATCTCCAAGTTCCTTCGCAGAGATGATCTATTATCATAATGGTTCGGCTGGTCTGCCTCAAAGTGATATGGACGCTCTCGATAGATGTCATGCTGCTGCATTGGGCAGAGGGAGCGTTCAGGCTTGCCAGGATCTCACACTTCGAAACCCACCAGTGACAATGGGTCCTCGAATAATAGACAAAGCCCCCGGTATCAGCTACGACCCGCTCACAGAAGCGATGCAAGCAATGGCAGAGGAGCTGAAGGAAGAACAAGAGTTGGAGAAAACCTTGGAGGACCCAGCCCGGTCTCAGGCCAAAAACGAGGACGGGTGTAAAATTGCTCTTGCGCCAGACCCTGTCGCGGAGGCTCGAGCAATAGCCTCAAGAATTGTAGTGCCGGGTCCAGAAGAAACCGAAGAGAAAGACGGGAGCCATGTGGCATTCACAGTCGACATAAAGCCACCGCCGCGCCCACTGCCGCTAAACTGGAAGCCCTCACAGGTAGTAGACCGCGTTTGCAAGGGAATGGATGCCATGATGGAAGTAAGAGCAGGAATCAACAGGATCTTGAGGGACAAGCCTGATTACGTCGTGGGCTTGCCGTACACAATCCAGCATAAGAAAGAGCTGGAAATGAGGGCTTTGGGAACTGTGATCCGTTTCGCAAATTGTATCACTGAAGACAAGAGGCTCCATGATGAGAAAGAGCCTGTCCGTCTACTGGTCACTTGTTTCGAAATCCTTGTGCAGTGCACCTCAGCTTCCTTGACTGCTACCCTGACGGCTGCTGAGGACTCAAAGAGTCCAGAGGAAGATGAGGCCATCCGCCTCCATGTACAGCGATGGTTAGTTCAAACTTTCTCCGATATCTGGGTTTTGGAGAAGGAAACGGCCAGGTATTTGGCTAGGTTTGCTATCGATATGGACTCTTGAAGAAGCTCAACTTGATATCGGTTTTGTCTGACATGGGAATGGTAATCGCAGGGATAACATGGCCTTTTGTGAATTCCTGCATTTAACTCTTGCTGAAGTCCAGTTTTTCTGATGTGTATACTGTCTATTCTGCGTCATGTTCCATGTTTTTAGACGTTGGCATCAAAGGAATGCACCCACTCATTGGTGAACATTTCAAAAGTATGTAGTTTAAATCAAATCAAAGCAAACGTCCCTTCCTGGGCAAAAAAAGCGTGTATCCCTTATAAGTCCAAGCCAATATGTGGAGTATTGTCCAAAAAAGAGGGCCAATGTGGTTGCCGAAGAGTATATTCATTCATGATGTTAAGCATACTATTTGTATCGATGTAGAAATGCGGGGCGGATGTGAAAAGGATACATAATCGAATCCTTAACGCTCATTTGCGTTTTGATGAGTTGACAAGTCTCTTTTTGACGTGCTTTGGTATCTTCTTTGCCCGCTGTTCTCTCTTCTCCTCCTTGACTTGTTTTTTATGGTCGCGTTTGGCGTCTTTGTCCTCAAACCGTTTGCCTCGTGGTGGCTTCTTTGCGAATGGGTCCACCTCATCCGCATCACCGGACTGGGAGCCGTTATCGGAAAGAGACACACCTCCAGAGACATCGGAGTCTTCTCCAAGATCCTCATCCCCCTCATTCTCATTCTTAGACGCCGATTTGTTCGGTCCTGCACCCGAAGCTAGAAGCTCGCGGTAAACCAGTTCATCACCCTTTCCAGTTCGGAGCTTCTCAACGTCTCTCTCTATATCGTAGACCTGCTCGAGTGTCTGAGGGATATATTGCTGCCGGAAGACAGCTGTGTCAAGTTCATCGTTCTCTTCGCCTTCGGCTTGCTCACCGTTTCCTTCTTGGCGCTCTGCCCTGGCGGTAAAAAGCTTCTCTAGTACCTCGATCATTGGGCCCAGATCCCCGGAAACAGCACGAGGGCCATCGACCGAGGTGATGAATTCAAATAATGTTCGTTCAGGGAGAGTGTCGACTCCCTTGCGGCGGAAGAAGTCGCTGACATTCTTAATGTCCATACGCAAGAATTCTAAACTCCTGGGGTGGTCTTGTTCGACACTCTGACTGACATCGATGATGTAGAGCTTGTGGTTGTGGTATAGAATATTATACTCGCTTAGATCAGCGTGGACGAGGCGACAGTCTTGGTACAAGGTTCGCATGTGTGACGCCAGCTCCATGTACAGAGATCTCCACCGGGAATCGAGGTCCTCATCTTGGAGCTGTACATCCTTCAGCCGAGGAGCTGGTATTCCCTTTGAGTTTCCGAGGAAGCCCATCACGAGGACGTGAAGTCGAAGGTATAATGGTTCAGGGCAAGGAATGCCTGCAGAGTAGAGGCGTTTGAGGTTTCGCATCTCCTTTTCTGCCCACACTTTGACCATAGAGCGGTTATTGGACTTATTATACCCCTGCTTAAATCTGTATTCACCAGTGACATACTTGTCTCTGTCCTTGAATACCAAAATGCTGGTCTTATATACCTTGATAGCCCTATGAAGGTCTGGACTGTCATCGTCGGGCTGGGAGATCGCATGATAGACGTTTGCTTCTTTTCCTGTGGATAGACAGCCATTGACCTCTGAGACAATATTCCTATTGATCATCTGAAGCAATATCATGCGAGTCCTCGGGTCCAACACTTGTTCAGATGTAGCTCTGTCGCTCTTATCTGCTCCTCTTCCACCCTTCGATTTTAGCCCAGACTGCGCATCATCCAGTCTGATTTTTCCAGCATGCCGTGATAACGTTGATATCTGATCGTCAACCTTCGCGAACGTATTGACAGTCGGTTTTTGGGGGTTGCTCTTTGGGTATGAGGAAAGGGGGGCATTTGCATCGGCAGCAACCTCATTTAGTTTCCTTTGCCTGTTATAGGTTTTCGTGAAGTCAGATGGATTTGAAGCACCAAAGTCTATCTCATCCAGCTCATCATCAAAAATATCATCATAGAATTCGTCATCCTCTAGCTCTTCAACGCCCTCGAGCTCGTTTGCGGGGTCTGTAGAGCACATTTCAGTCGCTGACGGTTCCGTGTTGTCCTCGGGTCTCCTTTCAGGAGTGTCCTCCAGTTTGATACCCCCTGTCATAATTTTGAAATTATCAACCAGTTCAACTATTGATAGAGCCCTATGATATCGACAATCTGCTTGTAATTCATGAAATTTTCGTCGAGATCTACTTTTTGATGCCCGAGATTTTGATATCTGCACTTTATTTTTTTTAGCGATAACGATTACGTAATATTCTTATCTGTCGCTTAATTATTTTGCCGCCACCGAGAGCCCTAAGCTCTATTACGTAATCAGACAGAAAACGCGCTTGCTTGTTCAATTTAGACGCGTTGGCATTTCTCACCAGGCGATGTTTGGTAGAGAGCTACATTTTCTCCTAGGACGCTGAGACGTGGATTTTTTGCTCCTATTTCTCACTGGGGCGCACTCAGATGATGACAGGTTGACCATAATACTTTACCCGCGAAGATGTTCATCAAGCAAATAATCATCCAAGGCTTTAAGAGGTAGGTGAGGGGGGAGCCATTTCCTCAGCTTGTAAAGAGCTTTTGCTAACGGCATATTGTATAATAGCTACAAAGATCAAACGGTCATTGAACCGTTCTCTCCAAAGCACAATGTGATTGTTGGCCGCAATGGCTCTGGTAAAAGTAATTTCTTTGCTGCCATTCGGTTCGTTCTTAGTGATGCCTATACACACATGGGAAGAGAAGAGCGCCAGGCGCTGCTACATGTATGGATACCGGGTCGCCCACCTCTCAAATTCATATGCGATTGCTGATAATAAGTAGGAGGGCTCGGGCTCTGCGGTTATGTCAGCGTACGTTGAGATTATATTCGACAATTCGGATGACCGTTTCCCAACAGGCAAGGATGAACTCATACTACGCCGTACCATCGGTTTAAAGAAGGACGAATACACCTTGGACCGGAAGAATGCCACCAAGTCTGATGTCATGAATCTACTGGAGTCTGCTGGATTCTCGAGGTCAAACCCCTATTACATTGTCCCACAGGGTCGAGTGACAACTTTGACAAATATGAAGGATTCTGAACGGCTAGTACTCCTGAAAGAAGTCGCAGGAACTCAGGTTTATGAAGCCCGTCGTACGGAATCTTTAAAGATAATGAACGAGACCAACAATAAACGAGCAAAGATCGATGAATTGCTGGATTATATCAACGAGAGGCTTGGGGAGCTTGAGGAAGAAAAGGATGAACTTAGGAATTTTCAGGAGAAGGAAAGGGAGAGACGGTGCCTTGAATACACCATTTATTCTCGAGAACAAGCTGAGATCGCGAGCGCTCTGGAAAGCATTGATGACCAAAGACAAGCTGGGGTTGAAGATACGGACGCCAATAGAAACAGGCTGATGCAGGGAGAGAATGACATTGCTCAAATAGATACCCAAAAGGCAGAGATCAGGCAGCAAATGGAGCTTCTGAAGCTGGAAAAGGACCAACTGGAAGATGATAGGCGCGATGCATCTCGAGCACTCGCGCAAGCCGAATTGCAGCGGAAATCCCTGTCAGAAGGCCAGAGCGCTGCTCAAAGGTCAAAGGCAGAGCGTGAGGCGAACGTCGAACGAGTGAACGCTGCCATAAAGGAGCGTGAAGAAGAGCTCAGTACATTGCTTCCTCAATTCAACGAAATGAAAGAACGGGAAGACCAGGCCAAATTCAGTTTGAATGAGGCTGAAACCGGCAGACAGCGTCTATATGCAAAGCAAGGGCGAATTTCCAGGTTCCGAAACAAAGGGGAACGTGATAATTGGCTGCAGAGTGAAATACAGAATACTTATGCCCAAGTCTCTACTGTTAAGGCCGTTCGAATGCAGACAACCAAGGAAATCCAAGAACTCGAAAATGACATCGCCCTTCTGGAGCCAGAGGTTGAGAAACTTCGAAAGGAAGCTGATGGCTGGGGTGACAACCTTCAATCTATTGATCAAGAAGTACAAACCGCAAAGGATGAGCGGGATAGGCTAATTGATCAGCGAAAGTAAGTCCCTACGTATTGCCTCATTTCGATGTGCTATATCTAACGTTTGAGTATAGAGAGCTCTGGAGAGAAGAGGCTAAGCTAGACTCAATTCTCAACAATGCAACCCATGAAGTAGAAAGAGCAGAAAGAGCACTTGCCCACATGATGGACCAAAATACCAGCAGGGGCCTTGCGGCAGTACGACGAATCAAACGGCAATATAACCTTGAAGGTGTTTATGGAACGCTTGCAGAGTTATTTGACGTTAGCGATAGATATCGTACGGCCGTCGAAGTCACCGCTGGTCAGAGTCTCTTCCATTATGTTGTCGATACGGACGAGACAGCTACCAAAGTCCTAGAGATATTGCAAAAGGAAAAGTCAGGAAGAGTCACTTTCATGCCACTAAACAGACTTAAGCCAAGAGCTAGCAATATTCCTCGGGCTAGTGACACAATTCCAATGATTGAAAAACTGCAATATGACCCTCAGTATGAGCCAGCTTTTCAACAAGTTTTTGGGAGGACGATTATCTGCCCTAATCTTCAGATCGCATCCCAGTATGCTCGCAGCCATGGCGTTAATGCCATTACTCCTGAAGGTGATCGATCCGACAAGCGCGGTGCTCTTACTGGTGGTTTCCATGATTCAAGGAAGTCTCGACTTGATGCGACAAAGAACGTTGCGAAATGGCGAGACGAGTATGATGCGAAGAAGGCTCGTGGGGGAGAGATCCGGCGTGAGCTGGAGAAGATGGACCAATTGATTACACAGGCAGTTGGTCACCTTCAAAAAGCAGAGCAAAAACGCCAGCAGCTCCACTCCAGCAATGGTCCCTTACGACAAGAGATCAAGAGCAAACGGGATCTATTGCACAACAAAACTGACGCTCTTGAAGCAAAGCGGCGCGCTCTTAAGAATATTGAAGCCAATATCGATTCGCTGACTAGCCAAATAACGGCTCATGAGGAGGAGCTTGCTACACCCTTTGAGAAAGCACTTTCAAATGCCGAGGAGGCACGGTTAGAGAGCCTCAACTCTATGGTGCAGGATCTTCGGCGAGAGCATGCCGCACTATCTAGTAGCCGCAGTGAGCTAGAAACCCGGAAATCAATCTTAGAAGTTGAGTTACGCGAAAACCTTTATCCACAGCTAGATCACCTAGCCGGCCAAGGTCTAGATGCTGGTGAAGAGACTGCTCAGGGGAACTTAAAGGAGAGCGAGAGGGAGGTCAAGAAACAACAGAAGGCACTTGAGAAACTCAGTAAGAAGCTTCAAAAACTGGAAAATACCATAGAACAACAAAACAACGAAGCTTCACAACTCGAACAGCGTCGAGCGGATATAAAACGTGAGCTGGAGGAATTCGCTAAATCCATCGAAAAGCACCAACGCCGTATGGAAAAGAGTATGCAGAAAAAGGCAGCCTTGACTGCTCAAGCTTTGGAGTGCAGTGCTAACATTCGCGACCTCGGAGTGCTTCCTGATGAGGCTTTTACTAAATTCAAAAACACAGACTCCAACACAATTGTCAAGAGGCTGCATAAAGCTAATGAAGCTCTCAAGAAATATTCGCATGTGAATAAGAAGGCGTTTGAGCAGTACAACAGCTTCACGAAGCAGCGAGAGACTCTTACCAAACGTCGAGAGGAACTTGATGCATCCCATAAGTCCATTGACGAGCTGATTATGATCTTGGATCAAAGAAAGGATGAAGCCATTGAACGAACCTTCAAGCAGGTTTCAAGAGAGTTTGCAAGGATATTTGAGAAGCTAGCCCCCGCCGGTCGAGGACGACTTATTATCCAGAGGAAAACCGATGCTGCCACTCGACAGCAGGAGGACATGGACTCCGATGAGGAGGAGGCTCGCCGTAGTGTGGAGAACTACATCGGAGTTGGCATCAGTGTTAGTTTTAACAGCAAACACGATGATCAGCAGAGGATCCAGCAGCTTAGTGGTGGCCAAAAGAGTATGTATATCCATTTGATTCTCAATTATATAAAAGAAAGGCTGACATTTCACAGGTTTATGCGCGCTTGCCCTTGTCTTCGCGATCCAGGCTTGCGACCCTGCACCTTTTTACCTCTTTGATGAAATCGACGCTAATCTCGACGCCCAATACCGAACCGCCGTGGCCCAGATGCTCCAGTCCATATCGGAAGAAACTAACGGCCAGTTCATCTGTACAACATTCCGACCTGAGATGCTCCACGTTGCAGAGAAGTGCTATGGCGTAAGCTTCCGTAGCAAGGCCAGTACCATTGATGTCGTCTCGCGCGAGGAGGCTTTGAAGTTTGTGGATGAACAGAAATCTTGAATGCAGCCATGCCATGGTTATTTACGTATATATGTGCTATGTTTGTTGATTTCCCTTTATTCTTGACTACTGCTGTCTCAGCGTATTATTCTATAATGATGGGACGGCGTTAAAATTGCGCCGGTTTGCGCCGGTGTTTGTGTGCCCGCCTTGATTTACGGTATCAATGTATTTGTTCATGACGCTCCAAGAATTTTATTCGCCCACCCTAGAGGCTATATAAATTCTATAACTTTCTATTAAAGTGCTCCATCTGGCTGGGAGAGATCCCTGGCTTCCTCACCAGTCCACTCCACAATAACTTTATCAGGAATACCCCTCACAAGCACATGGATATGCTCTAAAGATCTTATACTCTGCAAGGCGGTCCAATTCTTAAACCATATGACTCTATCAGCAGCATCACTGAACCGACTCAGATGGGACGTAAATGTTCTATGGACGAAATCGTCAATCAACGCCCGTGATTCTTCGGTTACATCTCCATTTTCAGGAGCAGTATCTATCCTGTTCTTAACCCAGACGCACATATGTGTAATATCAGGTGTGAGGCCGTACGGCCAGTCATTCCGAAGAATCTTATAATCCCTTGGATCTGCGAAAAGTGTTGGATTCTGGCATAAGGTCTGCGGATCTCTGTCTATGGGCCAATGCAAGCGTTCTTTGCATAAGAAGTTTGCTATATTCCCATATCGCGCTTTGATAGTGGAGCTCCATGCCGCGTATCGGCGTAGATCGGATGGTTTCCGTTTGAGCAGTTCTAGCTGATTACTTGCTATAAAAGACAGAATTAGTGCCACCGCCCTCCATTTGACGCCATACATTGGTTCTTCGGCTTGTATATACAGAGTAAACGAGATGGCTGGAGGGCTGTTCAACCTATGATGTCCTTCAGTTGCTGCCAGTCGTGGCAGATAAACTCGTCGTCTGTCTGGGCGAGAATCTGGCGATCACTCTCACTGAGGGGGAAGCCAGCCTCCCCATCTAGAGACTGCGGCGCCATTCCGACTGTTGGGCTGTTATGCTCCCGTCTATACCGAGTAATAATATGTTCGTTGTACTCCGTACAGGTATAGCAAAGGAAGTGGACGCCAATGTCGATATCAATTGTCGATGTTGATGTCGGCGTTTGATGATTGAAGAGTAGTGACTGCCAAGCCCGAGGCACCTGACCTATCACATGACTTTGAAAGTCTCCTATTCTTACATAATCATCTGTGACGTTTGGAAAGGGCGCGGAGGATTATCTTACATAATCAACTAGTGACGCCACGGAAAACATCCCAACTGTTTTTTTCCCTGCTGCTGGACCTGCTCGTGATCGGTTTTTTCTCCCCGGGTTCCAATTCTCGCCGAAACAGCTCCCTCCTCAAAACTAGTCTCGCTACTCTGGCTGCGGGTCCGTCTGCTCAGCTTCCGGGGTATAAGAATGAGGTCCGTTCCTTGTTGTTCGTTTTGGGTGTACCATTCGAGCGTTGCATCTAGACTGTTGAAATACTGACTGTGTGGGTTAAGTGCATGGGCTTCTCGCAAATATATTGACGGTGTTTATATTCCTGCCGGTCTACTGATTGCTGGAACTGCAATCATGAAGCTTGAATGGGTTATCTATGCCGTGGCGTTGGCCGTGGTTCTTGGAGCTTACAAGATCTTTAGCAACAGTAATGGCTCCCCTCCCCCACACCCCGTCTCTTGGTGATAGTTTTCTATCCTCAGGCGACAATACTGACAAATTATCATTTGCAGGACAGCGGAAGGTCCTGAAGCCCAACGAGTTCCAGAAATTTGTACTCAAGGAGAAGACAATTGTTTCCCACAACGTTGCCATTTACCGATTTGCCCTCCCTCGTCCAACAGACATCCTCGGGTTACCAATTGGTCAACATATCTCTCTTGCAGCACTTGTAGAGGGCCAGACTAAGGAGATCGTTCGCTCTTACACCCCTATCTCCTCTGATGACAATGCCGGATACTTCGACCTTCTCATCAAGTCGTATCCTCAGGGTAACATCTCCAAGCACATGACTACCCTGAAAATCGGAGACACGATGAAAGTCCGCGGACCAAAGGGTGCCATGGTCTATACTCCTAACATGGCCCGACATATTGGTATGATTGCTGGAGGTACCGGTATCACACCAATGCTTCAGGTTATCAAGGCAATCGTCAAGGGCAGACCAAGCAACGGAGGAAACGACACCACGCAGGTTGACCTTATTTTCGCAAACGTAAATGTGGAGGATATTCTTTTGAAGGAAGAACTTGACGAGCTTGCCAAAACTGACAAGGCTTTCCGTGTTCACTACGTTTTGAACAATCCTCCGGAAATGTGGCAAGGCGGTGTTGGCTTTGTTACCCCAAGCATGATCAAGGTTAGTGCTCTTTTCAACTTGCTTCCATATTTTGAACTTGCTGCTAAATATCACTGCTAGGCCCATCTTCCTGCGCCAGCGGACGATATCAAAATCATGATCTGTGGTCCGCCCCCTATGGTTAGCGCCATGAAGAAGGCCACAGAGTCTTTGGGTTACAAAAAGGCCAATCTCGTCAGCAAACTCGAGGACCAAGTCTTCTGCTTCTAAGCATGTCTCCCATTTCCTTGTTATGGGCGGTATGAAAACATAGATGGGGCTTCTCTGGAAGGAAAAAATGTATTCAAAGCCATGTCCTTGGTTAGCGATGCATAATGGGTACACGAATATATGTTTCGGCATGAGTATGTAACTGTTTATCTAATGTTAATTGATTTATTCACTCAGTGGCTGGATCATTCACTGCTTTGTAACGCCGAACATATTCAACGATTACCAAATCCGATGTGATTGATGTCTTTTTGATCTTGCTTGTATAATTACCATAAGCTATCCTACGAATATTGTCACCAGTCCTGGTAAACAATAAAACTCCCACGTCTCAATGAGTCAAAGAACATTTCGTTCATACCGCTTGTACTCCGCATGTCCTTGAGAGATCTGATAGTAACAATAGGCACCTTGTTATCTCGCCTGCGCCAAGACCGCTGCAGGACGATAAGCTTTATTAACTACGTTTATATCTCAGCTCGCGTCAACCATCAAACACCAAAGAACACAAACCACAGTTCCAGCTACTGACAGCAACTCCTTCTGAGCAACTGGGGTGATACTGGTGAGTTACTTACTGAAGCTGATAGTCATCTTTGTTAATTGTACTCTGCTAAGAAATGCGCGCGGCTCAAATCACAACTAACCCTTCTTCATAGGTGCATTGGACCCCGTAGCCTGAGAGAAGCTGTTGCATGGCAGAGGAACGGATAAACTAAGGATAAATGCCCCTTCGAAATAGAAAGACGGAAGGTCAACAGAGCAGCAGGCCTATTACCAGAAAAAGTAGGCCCGCTACCTCGAGAAACCGCACCGGCGCCGCCGCAGTGCCTCCAGCAAATGCCAGTTCAGCCTCAATCTCACTATCAGAAAGCGAGTCGGATATCGAACGAGTTAGCCAGAAAGCGAATGCACTTTTAGGCTGTTTTTTGTCTTTTAAAAACCATAATGATGATGCTTCCACAGAAAGTATCTCACGAGACTCCTCCGTTATCCCTACAAAACGACCAGCTGAACCCAATGAGACGTCCACGGCATCAGAGAGAAGTAAAAAGAGAGACGACCACAGTTCCAGAATAAAAGATCGAGCACAAACACAGTCAGAAAGTCCAACTTCACAGATAGCATCGTCTTCGCTTTATCCTGTGGTGGAAATACCCGGCAGGATACCCCAACCAATTGAACTACCGGCAGACAGACATATATCCAATACATCAACAAGATTAAAGCGCAGGAACACTAAAAGAATAGCGAGGGAAGAATCTCCATTTTCTGATTATATTGAGGCTCCGATACCCCCAGCATCTCGGTCATCAAGGCGAAGAAAAGGCGCTCTCAAATACTACGGACGTACCCCACGGGGTTGTAGTCCGCAGAATCAAAATGAAGAAAACTACCTAGTCAGCAAACCACTCTCGCCTCCGCCTTCTTCTTCTCTTAGTTCAGTGTCCGAACCGTTGAATGGGTCGGGCCGTGTATGTTACCGCTCCGCTACTCATATTGTGGTAAGGGAGCCCCTGGTTGACATTGCACCTGAGTATGCACCTTACTGCTCTCTGGAGGAGAGAAAGGACCTTGAATCCCTTTTGAAGACGAAGAAGCATACCAATACTAGTTGCGAAGGGACATTATTACATGCTGACCTATGCATGAATGAATTGAACGTACTCTACCGCTTTATGAGAAGCGAGGAGAAAACACGGAACGAAGGCTGTATCCAGGTCCTTATTACCGAGTATACTCGGCAATTGTTTGGTTGCGGTAAAATTGAGGGTCTGCTTGAGAGATTAGCTACCCTTCATGAAGTAAAACTGGTTCTTTCACGATACACCGTGGATATACAGGAATTCCTTTTGGGTTGCCGAAATTGTGAAATGGCGCAACAGATTAAGTCTGTTAAACATCTGATTACCATATGCCGGTTTCTAAAAGAGAAGTTTCTGGTCTCTGCTCTTGTTGTGAAAAACGATATCAATACCCATCTTAAAGCTCTGTTACAAAAAGTTGATGAACAGAAGCTACGAGCAGTGGCTCAAGAAATAAAGATTCTAGGACGTCGGGCTTCTCATGCGTTTCGCGCATTTCTAATTGATGCTAAAAATGGCTGGCTGTCTACCTCGCCGTCAACTCTTCGAGCCTATCCATCCAAACCATACGAACATCTACAGCCGTACGATACTGCCAATGTATTATCTCATATTAGAGCCCGTGAACTTGGATACCGGGTATATAGGGGAAAATCTTCCATATATCAAACCTTGGCCAAATCAGCAAATGAAAACTGGGAGCATTGGAAGTCATGGAAGGGCGCGTCGCAGGATGTTGTGGTGCTTGAATGGTCTCCTGATGGTACTCGTTTCGTCGCCGGATCTGCAACGTCCTGTTCTCCAGGGAATATGATGTATAACCGGCGAAACAACTTAGTGGTGGGAGATTTGGCTATTAATAGCCTTAAAGAACTTCCCGATCACCGGATGCCGCGAGCGTTATTTGACCCAACACGAGCAGATGAAGGAGAAAGCGGAAACGACTCCCAACTCTACACATCTATCAGTGCAGTAGCATGGTCCAATGATGGGACCCGGATGTTCAGTTCCAGCTATGACCGAACCGTCAAGGTATGGGATACTTCAAGCCACGAGAATACTAAATGTATCACCACTCTCCGTCACCCTGGGAAAGTCCTAGTTATGGCTCTTTCAAAGGTTGATAATAGTCGATTGGCTACTGGATCTGATCGTGAGAATAGCTTTCTGCTGTGGCATGTTGAACAAGAGTACGGCCTTGCTCTTTCTTCATCATTGGAGATACATTTACGTCACAAAAAGCTCATGACACCGACATCTTTAGCCTGGGGAGTCAATTCTTATACTAAAGATCTTCTTGCGGCAGGAATGTCTTTACCCGATAATACGGATATGCACGGCGTCCCTCCGGTCGGTGGCCACCTCACACTTTGGCGAATGGAAGAAGCTGGCGTTACCCAAGTGAATGTGATGCCTAACTCACAGAATGTTTTTGATATATCATGGCATCCGACGTCGCGTCTATTCGCTGCCGGCATAGCTGCCTGTGGCCGCTCCAAGGGTTTAGGCTCGGACATCCGGTCAATGGTGAATGTTTATGATCCATTGAGGGGTAAGAGGGACATAGTCAGCTATGATTGCCCTGGTATTGATATCAATGATGTGACCTTTTGCCCATTCAATGAGAACTACATCTCCGCTGGATGTACTGACGGAACAACCTATGTGTGGGACTGGAGAAATCCCGACAAGATTCTTCATAAACTTAAGCATGGCCTGCCGATTAGGGAGCAAGATGTAGGTGTGCAGCTTGCACTCTGGGGGGATCAGCCAAATAGATTCTATACTGGATCTTCCGACGGGTGTGTGAAACTCTGGAACATCATGGCTGCCACAGAGGACGTTTTCGTCAGGGACATTGTCAATCTTGGCACTGATATAACATCTGGATCATTATCCTCTGATAAGACGACTATGCTCATTGGAGATACTGGTGGTAGCATCCACATACTTTCCACCTCATCCCCTCAGAATGAAGACAAGTCAATGCGATTCGAACATGCTGGAGATGAATTAGCGGGTAACCTGGACAGTGCTGCGAGCGCTGCCAATGCGCTGATTGAGTCGGGTCAAATAGTCAGGCATGAAAAATTCGGCCCTGGAAAAGGTCCTAACTACAGCGGACCTTATGCTGCCTGGGCTAGGCCACCGGATACCCCCGCCGATCAACTTGCTACCACGCCGCTGACAATGCAGGTACGGATGCAGCAGCTCTACGGCTCCGTTGCCATGCGCCGTAAATACCTCGATGACACCACCTACAATCATGTCCGAACCCAGATCCAGCTTGCGAAGTATCGGAACAAGAAAACATACTGTGCCGTCCCTGGTAGCAGTAGCAATATAACGACCGAGGAGAGTTCTTCTTAACACAAGCTCTCTTGCCCGATATATTCAGTCTTGGGTTTACTTCTCTTTTGTCTGTCCTAGGGAATATGTACTTACTACAGCAGTGGTTAGGAAAGGCGGTACGCTCTGTGACATTGGTTGATTTTCCCGTGGTTCCAGGACCCAACAATACCTTGATTTTATAATGGCATCTAGAGCTTTCTCCTTTCTCATTAGATCTAGTTATTGACCTCTGTCGCAATGCCACCATAAAATAAGCAGTTAACCCTATGCCAATTGCACTTCCAATCCCGGGCGTATCAGCCTCATATTGATATCGATAAGACCATGCTCAAACGGGAATAGATAGACCCGATAGCTGTATCTCTCGCATCTCAAACAGCCGCCTCGTCCATCTCATCAAGTCTCTCGTTCATATCTCCTGCATCAAAAGCCGTCCATCCCTTGCCGTGATCTATCAATTGCTTAGTCCGAGCTGGCTCCCTCGCACCAATAAACTCACGTGGGGCAAAACCTCCATCCGCGCTTTTAATCTTTTGACTCACGAAGAAGTTTTTCGATTCTTTCAATCTTTCAGCGTCCGGCGCAAAACTGCTTTCTGGATGCACCAGCAACTCCTTCGAAGCTCTTTAACTGTATACTCCAGCATATTCAAGCCTCGAATCGGCATATCAAGTTTCTCCAGCTACTGTCGGGTGCTACCACGCAACCTGGGCCGAAGTCGAACCCCACCACCATACATCGACAGGCGCGGGACGACTCTATCATTGACTACGGCTACTCGTCCGGTATTAACCATGGCTTCAGACGCTATTCCTTCTATTGCGAGTCTGTCGATTCAGTCTGTTAGCTCGGAGGTGTCGAGTTATCCCAATTGCTACCCTGCTTTCAACCCGGTGGACAAGTACCGCGCGCATATCGCAGAGTTGGTCGCTGAAGCTTCAGGGCTGGAACCGGCGTTTGTCTATACCAAAATACTATGGACAAATATGCTGGACAAAGGCGACTTGATTCTCCCTGTAAGTCTAGTTTTGCTATAGACGGTCGGCGGTGTTGATAGTTGCTGATGGAGTATGTGTTATGCTCTAGGTACCCGCACTACAGATAAAGGGCAAAAAGCCACAAGAAATTGCGGCGGATATCGCTGCCAAATTTCCGAAATCCGACCTGATTGAGCCACCAGTCGTCGTTGGTGCTCATCTTCAGTTCTTTTACAGCCATAGGCCTATGACCGAAAACGTGATCCGCTCGATTTTGGCAAACAAAGACGCATATGGAAGCAATCCAAACGTCGGTCTACGAGATCAAAGAGATGCGAGCAAAGGAAAGAAGAAACTCGTGGTGGAGTTCTCGTCTCCAAATATTGCGAAGCCTTTCCACGCCGGACATCTTCGAAGTACCATCATTGGTGGATTTATCGCCAACCTATACACAATTCTAGGATGGGAAGTTCTCAAAATCAACTACCTTGGAGACTGGGGAAAGCAGTATGGCCTGCTTGCCAGCGGATACGAAAAGTATGGCAGCGAAGAGGAGCTTCTGAAGGACCCCATCAACCACCTGTTCGAGGTCTATGTTAAGATCAACCAAGATGTAGCTGCACAGGAAGGCCCGATAAAGGAGCTCAAGGAGCAGATCAAGGCCAAAAAGGAGAAGAATGAAGATGTCACGGAGTTGGAGAAGCAGCTCGAGCCACTAGTCGATGCAAGCTATGATGAGCAGGCCCGTCGATACTTCAAGAGCATGGAAGACGGAGATGAGAAAGCACTTGAGCTGTGGCGGCGATTCCGAGATCTCAGTATTGACAAGTACAAGCAGACATATGCTCGGCTGAACATCGATTTTGATGTTTACTCTGGAGAGTCCCAAGTCAAGGACGAAAGCATAAAGAAATCCTACAAGGCCATGGAGAACGCGGGTGTCTCGGAAAGCTCAGAAGGCGCTGTCATCATCGATTTTGCAAAACACGGGGCAAAGAAGCTTGGAAAGGCCATCGTGATCCGAAAGGATGGAACGCCGCTCTATCTCACACGAGACATTGCTGCTATCGTTGAGCGAGACGACGAATACCAGTTCGATAAGATGATCTATGTTGTAGCTGCTCAACAGGAGCTTCACCTTGCTCAGCTGTTCAAGACAACAGAGTTAGTTGGAAAAAAGGACCTGGCAAACCGTTGTGAGCATATCAGCTTCGGTATGGTTAGGGGAATGAGCACTCGAAAAGGAACGGTCAAGTTCCTGAACGATATTCTAAAGGATGTTGGAGAAAAAATGCACGAGGTCATGCAAAAGAACCAAGCCAAGTATGAGCAGATCGAAGATCCAGTGGCAACCGCCGATGTTCTTGGAATAACGTCAGTGATGGTGCAGGATATGAGCGGTAAACGGTATGTTCGGCATCTTCTTCCACACGTGGAATATACATGGGCCTCCTCGGACAGTTTTATATTCTACAGCCTTTTTCTTTTCTTTTCTTTTCTTTCTTTCTTTCTTTCTTTCTTTCTTTCTTTTTTTCTTTCTTTTTTTTTTTTTTTTGCCTTGTTCATTGCCATCTGGAGAGAATTCAACCCAAGAAATAGACGAAAGTAACATGGGGTAAACTAACTTGTATTGCTCGGAATAGGATCAACGGGTATGAGTTCAACCTAGAGAACATGACCTCGTTCGAGGGTGACACAGGGCCATACCTGCAATACGCACACGCGCGTGTCTGCTCTGTGACCAGAAAGGCCGAGATCAACCCGGAAGAGCTAGGCAGTGCAGACCTCAGTTTACTTACAGAGTCGCATGCCGTCGACCTAGTCCGCCTACTCGCCCAGTGGCCGGACGTGGTATTCAATGCCTCCAAGACGCTGGAGCCTTGTACGATACTGACATATTTGTTCCGAATGACACACATGCTGAGCTCCGGCTATGATGTCTTGAAGGTCGTGGGCAGCGAGCCGGAGGTGAAGATGGCGAGAATGGCGCTTTATGAGTCCGCCCGTCAAGTCCTCCATAATGGCATGCGGCTTCTGGGTTTGAACCCTGTCAAGCGGTGAGTCCTGTTCCTTGTCTTAACATCTCCATCTAACCCTCCATCTCGATATCCGATATCGTTGATCATTGCTCAGGGCTAACGTTCTTTTTCCCGTAGGATGTAATTTCGGATATCTCCCTTTCATCCCGCCATCGCATCAGTCTAGCTACTATCAAACATCACTTACACACCCTTTGTGTACTCCAACAAATCTTCATGTGACCAAAAAGAAAAAAAAGATACGTACATTAAAAAAGCGTAAAAGTCAACTCCAGCCAAACAAACAAGCTTAACGATAGTATAATCAATGTCAGAGTAGTATAGATGGGGAATGATAGCTGGAATCCCCCCTCCAACCCCATCCTCTCCAGCCCTCCTCCACCCCCCTCTCCCCCCAACATCTCTTCACCTATGACGTTGATATTTGGATCGTATTCCTTGCCTAGCGCACATTCATTTATATCCGGCTGCTCTATGCACCAAGGATGCAGCGGGACGCTTATCTCATCAACTCTGCGACTGCCGCAAGTCTACCGGTTTCATACACTGTATCTGTATCGTCTGTCAGATAGAATGCTTGCTGCCTTGTATCAATATGCATGTATGCACTCCATACGTAGTTGAGCAAGGAAGAAGAAGGCTCTGCCCGGCCGATGACTCATGGACACAAGTCCAAGCAATCGAAGACAGGCAATAACCTCGCCGCAGAGTCGCCCTCGGAAAACGCCCCAGGGTGTGAAGCCAACATCGTGTCTTTTTTTTGCTGCCCAATGGCTCCTTGGGTGCGAGTGTGTGAAAGCCTAAATCTTGGAGCCCAATCGTGGCAGCATCGGATCATGGAGTGAGAAAAAAAAAAAGATCTTCTTTCCTTTTTTTCACTCTCCTTCGCCTGGCCAAGGGACTGGAGAAGGGAAGTGTTTTTGCTTCTTTTTTTGAAAAATGGTTAGGGCCCGGTATGGCCTGTGTATTTCATTACATACTCCGTACTGGTTGATATTTATAATTTTGGCCTTTGACTGTTCAGGCTCGCCGGGCCACGTTCATTCGTGGGGGGCTGGATGGGCTGAAACGTCGGCGAAAAGGCCTTTGGTCTTCGTAAGCTTGAATAATTTATGGGAAGCGTTGAGGGCTATTCTTGTGTATCCTGTCGGCAGTGCTGTCTTTGTTGACGCCGTCTCCTCTGCCAAAAACCGAGAAGTTAACTATGTTTAGTATCAGCTTGTATACAAACATCAGCTTTTTATGGTAAAACGGTGGATCAAGGGAACTTTTCCAGACTCCAGCTAAAGAGTCGGCTTAAACTCGACCCACTGGTGAAAAAAGATAACTCGTTAGCTCCTCTTTCTTCCTTCACACGATGTCATCATTCCGAAGTAAAACGGCTTGTCGATATTTGCCCCTCGTCAATCGTCCATCGTCTCGGCTTTTTTCAAGTGAGGGAGACAGAGGCTGCATGGCAGGGGATAACAGTCGAACATCCCAGCAGATCTCGCTCGTCCTGTGTGTCAGAGCCTGTAACTAGCAGATTCTTCCCTTAACTAGTCCTCTTCTGCTGCGTGGCTATCCTGTCCTCTCTGTCTCTGCTCTCCCTGATTCTCAGTCTGTATCCCAATCCAAGAGCCAACTCAACGTCAGATGTAACAGCGAGAACACAGCCTTTTCTTCAACATGGTTCCATAGGCGTCTTCCTTAACGCAAGGGCTGTGTTTGTGTTTCCTTTTTTTTTTTTTCACTTTCTCTGCTTTCTGCCTCACATTCTCTCCTGCTGCTCATCCTAGCTGTATTAATTACTTACATATTAGTACCATATGTATACGGATATGCAAGTAGAAACTTTTTCTCTGCCTCTCGTACCTTCGATCGTAGCTGGAGGAAAGGAAAACTCCCTCTCGGTCTGTCTTCTCTGTCTCTGCTGTCTCTCTCTCTCTCTCTCTCTCTCTGGCGTAGGCATGGCCGTCTGTCGTCTCTAGAAGCCCACCACCACTGGCAGTGATGAAGCCGGCCGTGCAATCGGGACTGTATCCAGCAAAGAAAACAGCCGTCGACTCCACCGGCGAAGAAAAAAGAAAGCAGACGGTCGACCAGAGTCTCTCAGGATGACTCGTTTGGCCTGCGGGTGAAGAAGAAGAAAAAAAATCCAGGTCAAAGAGAGGGCAAAAAAAAAAAACCTCGACGTCCTTTTTTCTTCCCACAAACACAACCAAAACCTCAACTTCGACAACTCAACGTCAACCCAACTTCACACACAAACCGACACTCTCAAACCACGACGAGTTTCACCTTTCTCGTTTGTCTTTGCTGCTGATATTATCGCTAGCAGTCAGCTCTGCCGTCTGGCTCCGTTATCTTCGGCCATATACACGCTGATCGTCGTCCCGAGGGTCACATCGCTCGCTCGCCCGCAAAACCGCCCACCAGCAGCAGCAGCAGCAGCAGCAGCAGGCGAGCAGCAAAAGAGGACGAAGACGACGACAGACGAAAGCCTCCCACGGCGTGTGCAACCGTCAGTCCAACTCTTGACGCTCCGGTCTGCTCAAAAGGAAACCTTCCGTGTCTCGTATCCCAGTTTTCCTCGCCGTCGTTGTCCCTCTGTCTACTCAGCTGAGCCGGTCAACCGTACCAGATTTGCGCCCTCCACCACCCCGTCCAGCAGCCTTTCCGGCCTCTTTAGACCCTCTAATCTCGCCTTTCTTGACTGTTTCCTTGCATCTTCCTTCCTCCAGGAGAGCATCTACTCGATCGTCGACATCCCCGGCTCAGAAACAGCCCCGGTTTCAGACCCTTTCGTCAGCTCAAGCATCCAAAAACCCCGCCATCCGCAACACTGCGTACTCACGGCTATAGCCATCAAAGTTACGGAGAACAGACCAGACAGAAGCCTAGTTACCAGATCACTGAGCAGCAAGGCCAGCCCTTTGTTTTTTACTCTCCGTGACATCGGTTTCCGGGACTCCTATCCCAGCTCTGTCCCCTGCGATTTTCTAGAAGGGCCACAAAAATTATATACTTCAGTCGCATATAACTGCCTGGATATATTAACTTTTTTTTTTTTTTTGCCTTTTATTATTTATTTACTTTTCACCCCGTTGAACCAACCCCTTATCAATATATAACCGGAACATTAACCCCTTTCCGCGCTGGTCAAGACAACTAAGATAATAGTTCTCGGATCCCCCACACGCTACAGACAGCCACTTCGTTCTCGTTTTCTACTTTCAACTCTTACACTCTTCGATGGACCACATGCTTTGTTCACTGGAATCTATACTTGAATTGGAGCTCAGAGCAACCGTATACAGGTGAAACGCAGATATCTGCTTCCAGACAACACTCTTTTTCACACTGGGAGCAACATTACTACCACAGAGTGGTAAAAAAGGGGGTGCGGACATTGAGTGCAAGAAAAATAACACGAACCCCCCTTAGCCATCGAAGACATCAACTCCATCGACCACAACATCAACAGAACAACGACAACATCATCAAGCAACGACTGAAGTTTATCACTCTATCAACAAACAATCAGGCTCCGCAAATTTGTTTGGGTCAGAAGTTGTCGAAACCACGGCTCTCTTCCGAACCTAAATATCGACCCATTCTTTCCTGCGCGTTTTGAATCGCGTCATGTCTTTCGTCAGCTCACAGCAATCGTACGCCGCCTTCTGCGAAGAATTTGATGAAGATGCGAATGTAGCAATCCCCGAAACAAGACGGGTTGCAAACATTTCCGCCAAAAGATCAAAACCGGACCTTCACCCAGTGATAATCAGCGCAGACGGAGCCAGCGATTCTGGCTATTCAAGCCGTACTGCGGCGACAATTGGGAGTAGCGGAGAATCGCTTGCCAGCGGTGTCAGCGGTGCCAGCAGCTCATACGCTGTTTCTATGAACAACGCCATGGCTGGACGAGATATACCTCGTGTGAGGTCGCGGGGCGATGGAGTGGATAGAGAAAAGCAACATAGCCGCAAGGCAAAGGAGAGAGAGCAGAAAGACTTGGACGGAATGCAGCACGAGGGAATGAAGCCACCTTCATCACGAGGCTCGAATCGACCGACCGCTCTTACACATGCACCCAAAGCCCGGCGTCGAGAGTCGATGTCTGCAGGAAGGCATCCACCCGGAGTGTGCGCCGAAAGCGATCGCTTTGGATACCACACGCAAGGAATCATACCGAACATGATGGACGCCTCGTCGTACTTCAATCAAATCCCCGGGTACGACGTACCACCATCGCCTCAAACTCCTCGCTACCAACCAATGGATATGGGCATGTCCATCACTCCAGCCATTACACACTCTCGTCGATCAAATTCGTCTTCTTACCACCAGCAGAGTCGCCCTGTCAGCTTCCATCCCGGCATCGTGCCTGATATGAACATGATGTACATGGCAGGCGGCCCGTCAGCTCCGTATGGTAACAGCCATGCTGGTCCACCACTCTCTGCCTCAGCCTATACGAACGCTTACATGGGCTCTCCTTTCGATTCATCCTACACTCAGCCTTCCCCAATCATGGGCTCGTCTTACGAAAACTCGTCCCAGGTGATGATGCATTACGAGCGTCCCCGCACCGCATCTATGTCTCGACCTTCATCTGAACGACCAAGACGAGGCTCGGTCTACGGCCCTCCGGTTGTGGAAAACACTCCCCCTACACCGAGCCACATGCCAAACTTGGATCGCAAATTGGAACGCCGACCATCTAGGGAACAACGTGCTCGCCGGCAGTCACGCTCGTATCACGATGAAGATTACTACCGCATGCCACCTCCTCGCCTTCCAGCATCCAAGCCAGCGCAGCCACAGCCTCCTGTTCAAGTGATTCCCATCGCTAAGCGACCGACTCCGAAGAAGGCCGTTACCACGCCGGCAGCCACCACTGTGGTTCATCGTCCCCCATCATTCGATATGTCTAGCATGCGCGAAGCACTCCCACCACCAAGGGCTAACCAGTACCATCACCAGCCTCCCCAATCTCAGCGACGGGCGAGCCGCAGTACTGCTCGTGAACCCTCTCCAGAAAGAGGCACGACTCAAGTGATTGCAAGCACCAGGCCGCGGAGGACTGCTACATACTACGATGCTGCTAGGCCTGCCAGAGTCACTGTAGAAGCTCCTCGTCGCCCACGCCGTGTATCAACATACGGAATTGAACAGGAGAATCTTTTAGAACAGAAGCAACGCGAAGTGGAAGCATACCAAGCCGCTCGGGCCCCGAAGGCGCCGCAGCTTACTACTGAAATGGTCCGAAAGGCTTCTCGTCGTGTCTCCAAGGCCCGGACGATTCACCAGCGCCAGCCTGAACCCGAGCCTGAACCAGAACCAGAGCCAGAGATTGAAAGCCCAAGCGAAACTGATACTGACACTGAAAGTGAGGAAGAAGAGGAAGAAGAAGAGGAGGAAGAGGAGGAGGAGGAGGAGGAGGAGGAGCCTCCCATGCAAGTTTACCCTATGTCTCGCGTCCATCGACAACAGCCTCGACAGCAGCTTAGGCAGCAACATCCGCCAGCACCGCCCGCCCCACCGGCCCCCCCAGCTCCCCAAGTGCCACCAGCTCCAGTACCACTCACAACTGAGATGCTCCGCAAGGCTGCTTCTCGTCGGCCACCTCCAATCCCACACAGTGAAACCGAGAGCGACGACGACGATGATGATGCAATTGAAGATGATTCATCATCTGAAAGCAGTGACTCGGAAGACGACACCAGTGATGTCAACACCAAGAACGGCAGTGCCACTGGCTCCCGAGTTGACGATGATAGCATCACCATGATCATCCGGGGGGTTAAAATTGGGTTATCTAGTGATGCCATTGATGGGAAGACCATCAACTTCCGCTCAGGGGAGGAGGGAGGGGTTGAATTGAACATTGGCGGACGAAAACGGGATCGATATTTCTTACCGCGTTCCGACACCGCCAGCACAAGCAGCCGCAGAGAAGCCGACGACATCAGACGCCTGCGCGAAGAACACCGCGCCGAACGTGACAGCCGACGATCCAGCCGATCAGGATATAGTGGACGAGGCCTACTGGAGTAAACTACTTTGAAATACCCACTTTGCTCCGGTGGACTAGTGCGAGAACACACCAAAAATACCAAAATGGGCAAAACACTTAATTATATATTCGAATATTTCGGGAGATACCTAACCCGTCCGCATGACTTCGTTCAACCAACCTATCTATTTACTTTTGGGAGGCCGTTTGATATTCTTTTTCAGTTATTTTCTGCCTGGAACAAAAGAATGCTTGGATAGGGAAAGAGAAAAAAGTCGACGGGATACAACAAAAGTTTTATAAAAAAAGAGTTAGTTTTGGTTTTTTCTATGGAAGGGGTCAGCTGTCTTTTCCTTCTCCCTTTTCGTTATCTACACCTTTCCTCTATATCACTGATTTTGATTCCTTTCAAGTTTCCCCGCGTTTCAATTTCCCTAACGTTATTGCTGATGCCTTTTTTTTGCCCTTTTTTTTCTTTCTTTCTTTTTTTTACCTTTTTACACCTTTTGATCAATGTCCTGATTTCTTGCATGCATTGTGTTCAAGATACCTCACCTGTTTTTTCGCCATCCGTGTTTTTGCCTTAGCCCTTTGCATACGCCTTCAATTACCTATTTATTTCGTCTGCTATGCCTACTACCTTTGTTCACCTATGCTATACACGCGCTCCTACTTATGATTTGTACGATTGTCGACGATCTGATGTGGTTATGATAATATTATCCCTAAGGCATTTACCCACTATCTCATTCCCTTACTTACCCCCACGATCTCAATGACCCGTCCCCAAGTTTTGCATTTACACCTCACCGTTGGATTTGTTTCTGTACCTACCATTTGTCCACCTTACATTTCCTGCATGCAATTCCAGTGCGCATTGCATGATTAGTTCCTTTTTATTATTTTGGATCTATTCCTTCTTCTATACCGTTAATTATTCTCATTTTTTTTCATACCCAATTTCTATTCTTTTTTTTTTTTTTCTCGTTCAGTGTGATGCCGTGCTTCATCCTTTAATATTTCCACCTCGCTACCTAATTTGTTGATATCCGGTTCATGGGGTGCGTTCCGCCTTCTCGCTCAGGACCCTCGTGTTTCTTCCTCGCGGCCCGATGCGAAAGCCTCACGTTTATCATCCGTTCATACCAGAATCGACCTGTAAAATGTACAATTTGACTATCCCAGCCAGCGTTTTGTCTTCTTTTTCTCTCCGACGCCGACCGCCTTGATACGTTAGCGACCCCAGGTCGTCACACAGAGTGCTCACCATAATTCCAGCCAACTTGTATTCCCTCCTCCTCATCGGTTTTAGCTAAGGTGTTATCTCTACCCTGGCGAAGGACCCAGGCTTCCACACTTACACACAAAGGCTGCCATTCTAATTTTTTCACATACGTTTTTTCTTTCACCTTTTTCCTGCGTGATAGCTTGACTCAAATATATACTCTCGCACATAGTTTCATGTATTACACTTTCAAAAACACGTGGACGACGCTAATTTGTCTACCTGGTTGGACAGCAGCCCGTCATCCTATAGCCACCGTGGTTAATATCTCTGTATGCAAATGACAGCATCACCGTCATCCTTTCGCTTTTGCTTTGCTGTCTCTTTTTGCCTTTTGTGGCTTTAAATCGATTAAGGTTTAGCTCCCGCAGTAAGTCTTGGCGGTAAATTCCACGTGATACAATTCAGCTGACATAAGCGATAGTTGCCCTGGCGACGGGGAGAAGTAAACAAAAGACTTCCCAGCCTCATCATTTTTCCTGCTTTACCCGCCACCGCGACATCTCTTGATCGCCCACTTCCAGTCTCCCTTTCTTAACAATCATATCACTCGGTAACTGTCACTTGTTCCTCTATTGCTCTTTGTTCCTTGTTACTCACATTTCACTAGGCTCAACCACCTTTACTCGAACTACGGAGTATATCTGGCAGCATCGGAGTTGTCCTGTTTAGAGGCAAGCAAAGCCCCCATCTTGGGGCCGCACGCATTCCTTGCGTAGTCACCGAGGCTGCCTGTGTCCTGTGTTTAGAATCAGGTTATCATGGCTCCAGCCCCTATCGTTCCCCCTTCAGATGAAGGGGTCTTATCCCCGGGATCCTCTTCAGTTGTCGCCGAGTTCCTAAAGTCGATAAAACGGACAACGCCATCTAATATCAAGGACTTTCTTGAGCCCAGAAATATCCCGACGAAATCACTCGAAACTAATATGGAAGGGACAAAGATTCTCGCTGCCCGAGATAAGGAACCTACCACGCCTCTACCTGTCTATGGCGAAGGGGCGATCGATCCGCATAGCATCAACATGCAAGGCATGCTGGCACTTTTTGCCCTCCTTGGTGCAGCGCTTGTTATTGCAGCAATTTGGTTCTTTTTCTGGGCGAAAAATGGAGGGTTTATCTGGCGAGAAAACGACTGGGATGATTATAAATCAACAGTATTACGACGAAAGGGTCCTGATGGCCGAACGCTTTCCAACGCCACGAAAAGTACTGCCCTTGGTGGAGGAAGTATTGTTGCCAGAGAATACCGAGATTATGATGACGCCACCACCGCTATGGAAACGGAAACCGTTGCAACGGGTAAAACGGGTAGAACGAGAAGAGGATTCATTGCTATGAAGAAGAAACTGTTGCGTCGACAGAAGGAGTCCGACTGGGAAGGCGGCCACGACGAAGATATGCGGGCGTACCGCCACGAGAAGCCTGCGCAAGTTGGTGGCATGAATCGTGAAGCTGATGGAACATACCATGGCTCTGACTTTACCCCTACCAACACACACACCAACACACACAATGCAGGTAGCGAAGCTGGATATACCTATACTTATGATGAAAAGAGCCAATGGACACAGAGCCAGGCCGGTTATACCAATAAGTACGAAGAGATGGATATTTCCAGGGGTCGGAACGCGTCTGGCTTTTCCTTCGTTGCAGGTGAAGATACCGTCTCCCATGTAACAGAGGAGCAACGACCTCTTCGAGAACCTTCTCCACCTCCGCGTCGCCGGGACACCGACCACCGTCGTACTGCTGGTAGTCGTACTGATGCAAGCCGTACGGAAGCGAGTCGCTCTGATGTTAGTCGCTCTGAGGCTAGCCGCTCAGAGGTTTCGGATACTGAACGTCGCTCCCGCCATGCCCGGCACTCCCAACGCCCCCGTGGACCTAGAACGAGTACCAGCAACAACCGGCAGTCCACCTCTCGCAAGCGCACTTCAATGCCCGGCAGCTATACTGAGCCACTCGACATGTCTGAGTACTCCTATCAGCATCTTGACGGGTCTGACAACGGCACCAGCAACATGAGTTATCATCAGCCACTCCCCGCCCTCAGCAAAGGATATCGTCGTACTGGGCGAGGTAGACGCCGAGATAGCTTGAGTGACAGCGACGGAGAGTAACAAGAGTCATCGTCCGTGAGTTAGTACGGGTAACGCTTTAACATGTTTTGCATTGCGTCTTTTTTTTTATCACTGTCATGTCTTTTGTGGAAAGGGAGTTGGTGCCAATTTGGTGGTTTAATGTTATATATGCCTTTTTTTTTTGTGCGATGTACGGGCCAAGTGAACGAATCCATGTCCTCATTATGTAGTAGTTAGCTAAATCTACCTTTTTCCAATAATTCTACCCGTCCTTTGACCTTCCTGGGCCCAGCAGGCGGGAACGCTACGAAATCGCCCCACCGCTTCCGCTTAAGCTTATTGTGGACCGCGAGCTTAAATCAATGAGATTGGCATTCGACTGTTTTCATAGATATATATGCCTGAGGCACAAATATAATACATGGATGGATATAGGGCTCAGGAATTTAAATGTGTTCTCATTCCGGCAGAGGCGCAGGCTTAAAGGCTGCCCGCTTTATTTTCCTCGGTAGCTAAGCTACGAGGCTGAGAAAACACTCTGAGAGAAGCTCGGGTCGAATCTCCCAAGTTCTCTCTCTAACGCTCCACAAGGAGCCTTCTATAACTATCGGAGTAATACGCCGGAACAGTTACTAAGTCTGATATAATAATCAGCCTGGTCAAATCCATGCATGTTGCTGCACGTACTTCGGGACCGAAGTGGGTCGCAAGACACTTTTATCAGAGAAGCGTTGAACACACTACGAAGTATAGACCAACACAACTGATACAAGGGAGAGCAGTACTTCCGACAGACACAAATCTTCTTACTGGAGATGGGTAAGGCTACCCTGTTACGGTGGTAGTTTCACTTACGTACACTCAATATATATATCCGTTAGTTAACCGCTTGAACCTATGGGAAAACAAGGAAGTTCAGCGCCTAGAGGTGGAATCACGAGTGATATATTTCTATGTTTCGGTTCCGGTACGTGGAATACATTGTTCTGTTCTAGTAATACGGCGTGTTTTTCCTGTATCAAGTAAGATTTACTGTGCCGTTTTCTTGGATCTTGTCATCTGAGCAATCACCTTGCAGCATCCAAGGTAGTGCTCGGTAGGATGCATTCCATGGCGAGGCCAGGACGCAACAGGCCATTTTTGCTACTGTTTCATTTAAGCCACTTATGATAACTAACATATGGCGTGACGTGTACCCTCCAAAGCGAATGAACTATTTACCTTGAAGCACTAGAACTTGGCCTGTCGCTTCATGTTAGGCGCCGAAAGGCAATGGTGGAGGCTGGTACCCCGTAGGGATAGGACGTTTGCCGAGAGATTCGAACTCTCCGCTAGGCTAGAAGATAGGGAGAAAGGCTTCTCGTGTCTGGTGCCCCAGGCAGGAAAAAAGAATTGTAGAATTGTATTGAAGACATAGGAATAATAATATCGCCAAAGATGCCAATAACAATAATAATGAGAAGAAGAACAGAAATATTAGCGACAAATGGAATAACCAAAAGGGTGTATGAAACAGTGTCTATAATATCAAATGATAAACGATGCGATGGTGTGTGTATGCCTTGTCAGCAGTGTTCCAGTGCAGCTTCCTCCCGCAATAAAAAGAAAGGAAGAAAGAAAGAAAGAAAGAAAGAAAAAGAAAAGGTATCTAAAGGAGAAGAGATTGAGAAAAGAGAAAAGAGAAAACAAGAAACCAATAGGATGATGTCACGGTAGGACGGGGATCAGCCGCTCCCGCTCCCTTGCTCAGTGCGGTATTGAGGCGGCAGATCGTAATGAAATATTGCTGAAGAAGCTTGTCCTCGGCCGAAGTTAAGTTGGGGCTTGTTACCGAAATGCGTATCACACTCCGTTTTGCTGGAATATAGGCCAGGACGAGTATTTAAGTGCTTATTTGTAGGGGTATCATCAATTTTGGGAGCCTTTTTCTGGCTTTCGTGGATAGATTCAGCCACAAAGCTGCGTATGGGACTTGGATCAGGGACCTTGGGGACTTCTAGTTGAATATTGTTAGCCTTAACATCGATGGGCATCATGTTGGCATTGAAGGTATCATAATAGATTTCTGACATGGGCCGGCGGACTGGTTTGTTAGCTGCATCAACTTTCCAATACCGTAGTGCGAGATCGAGGAGCTCTTCTTCACTATCAACCTTCATATTTTCCGATATGAAACTCTCCTTCAGGTGGAGAACTTGAATAGAAGATTGGCAGAGCTGGTGGAAAATCCATTTGTTGATAAACTCACCAGTGTCGAGGGGTTCCTGGGCCAGGGCAGATTCGAAAAATTGGGGGGTATCTTTTTCCCAGAGTAAGTGCTTATGTGCTGGCAGGGACTGCAGTTGATTTGATAGAGTGATTGCAGCATAATCATCCTCTGGTGTAATGGGAGACGGTTCTTCAGAGAGTCCCAGTTGGTCACATTGGGCCTTGAGCTGTTCCGTCTCCCGTTCTAAGGCCTCTTTCTCCCGAAGGATCTCGTCTTCGTACCTCCGGAAGTTGGTGAGTAAGTCAATAAAATACTCTTTCGGCTCGGCGGTCAGCCCCCTTCCCATCTGGTAGTCGTTGAATGCCTCTTTGTGCTCCAGCCGAAGTTCCCATAATCTTTCATTGACGAGGTCAAGTGTGCCACGGCGAGAAAGGTATTCAACCATCAAGGGATGGTACACTCCGCCTTCGTATGTTATATTTGGTCCAAAATCGACCTGCTCGTCCTTATGACTGAGCTTGGCTATGGCCCCCCTATCTGTACCATACTGCTCAACAGCAATTTTTATCTTCTCCTGTGTTTCCTCGAGATGGAATTCTCTGTCATCAAGCCCGTCTTCATCGTCGTTATACTCGCGTTCCATGGCCAAGTATTCGTCCCATGAACTCTTATACTGCTCAAACAAGGCAAGGAGTGGCGAAGAAACACCTTCTCTTACGAAATGGGCATTCAATTCTCTCATTAGACTGATGCCCAGGTCCGTTGATGCAGTCCTCTTCTGCCGAAGTTTTGCACGCTTTTGCCTGGTAGAGAAACGATGTTTAGCAACCTTGCCATGATCTCTGACTAGCTGTTGAAGCTCCAATTTCAGTATTTCCCAGTCTGAGCTGGCTATTGACGATTGATCGGGAGCTTGAGACGTGCCCGGCGTGAGCTTCGCTTTCATCTCGGGGAAAGACACGGTAGCCGGAGGCGAGCTCAGGGACAGCATCTGGATCTCCGGCACACAATGCTCGCTGCCTGAGCTACCTCGCTCATATAGCATGTCCGGCAGGTCGCCAACATCTGTATCCTTGGTGTTTAAACTGGATAGGGAGGTGAAGTCATAGTAAGAATCGAAGCTGGGGACGAACTCGCTGATGAGCTGATCTACCTCCTTCAACGGCCGCCGTCAACTCAACCAGAAACACGCTGTTGGTCCTTTTCTCCACCGCCAGAGGGAGAAATGCTCACCTTTTCAAGCTCTTCGCCAATATGTGTCGTAAGGACTGAAGACTGCTTTGATGCCATGGCTGCTGGAGCCCCGTTGCACCATACTCGATCTCAGCTTCACCGGCCTTTTGGAGTGACTGTTGCTGCTCTTCGACATGGAAGGTTGATCGCATCACAACGACGGCCTCAGAATCAGCGCAGATACTGGCCACATTGCAGGACGGTAGAACCACCCCCCGGGAATGAATGGAGGACAAGATACGCAGCCATCCGTGCAATCAATAGATTTTCATACTCCCGCAAAAATTACATTACCAGGGCTTTCGTATGCGTGTGTACCAAAGGGCAGACGGTACCGTAAAGACAGCCACGATACACCAGAGCGATAAAATACCCATGTTGATATTCGGGCTCAACCCCAGCGCAGCCAATACGGGGAAGCAGCCAGAGGAAACACTCTGTTGAACGTGCAAGCTTCGTGCATGGAAGATGTCTAGCCATCCCGGCGTCAGCAAGGATCCGGTGCTGTAAGAAATCGAATCACCTGAGCGTTGTTGCGAGGTCAAGCCTGGAGGAGAGGACCGCGGACGAGATGGGCTTCTCTTGTTTTCTCCTCCATGCGAACGATATCCTATACCCCCCTGGTCTTCCCGTGCAGAGGAGTCCTCGTATGCTGCCAGCCAAGGCCCTTTTCAGCCTCTCGATGACCGTGGAGATATCGGGAGATCCGTTGTATCCATGTCCCTCCGTCAATACTCACACCTCAGCGTGCCACGACTTGCCAGCCATGCGACGGTTTGAAACGCATATACGCATCCTATGGGCTGTCCGCACCCTTTTGTCAGATGCGGCTCTGGGGGGTTGCTGGACTGGAAGCTTCAGTAGCTGCATAATGTTAATAGATATGCATATAAAGCCTGGCCTATATCCTAAGATTTCGACGCCTTGAGGCATCATCCGCGCTTACCAGGCTGGCTATATTATTTTCCACTAACTATCTATAGAGTATCTAATTAACCTAGTTACCCTGTGCTGAGCTGACCTGGGTGTCATCGGCACTTAGGGCGGATGCAATGCCGCAACGCCCAAATCAGTTGCGCCCTCCGGCTGAGTATCCGGGCAGAGAAGAGCCTTACTATTGTGAGCCGAGTTATCCAGGGATTCTAGTCATCGCTGACCTTCTGGGTAGCACAGTCCTATCGTGGAACCGGGCCTCTGTCACAGGACGGCTTGGTCAACTCCCCTTCTAACTACGAGGAGTAAGTCTCTGCTCCGCCAACGAGATTATTATGCATCTAAAGATCTTTTTATCAAAGTGTCACTGTTGATACTATTGCTGAATAGATGAATATCGTCCGCGTGGTATACGATCTTTCGTCCTCAGAATTACTGATTGCGTCAACTAAAAATATAGGGATATACCGGAAAATTCGAGTACTGTCCGCCTCAGCATAGACAGCGGGTATCATGGGGACTCTTCAGGGGTTCCCCCCTACCAACATTCAAGCCAGAGGCAGAGACCAACCGCATGGGCTCACTCAACGCAGACGAGTCTTTCATACCCTTCACCAACTCCGTCACAATATGACCACGGGACATGGCAAAGCCCCAGTGACACAAATAGGAGATTCTCAAATCCTACCTATCAAGGTAACAACTATGAACTGATTTCAAGGTAGGTTACTCGTTTCTTTTATTATACAATAATTCATTTTCCAATTATGTTTGAGATACTATAAATATCTCCTTGTTGAACCAAAAGCTTACTTCGAGCTGATCACTTCACCCGGTGACCAGCAATGCTGCCCCAGTTCCTTCGCACCTTAGTTATCAATCGGACGGATACAGCCCCTATGGCCTCCAGAGGGCATACAGTGGTATGGTAACTCTATGGTTGTATGATAGTACCGTATCTAACTTTGGAGTGACACATCAGGGCCCTGGAACAGCACCCACCAAGATGTTATAAGGTTCAATAGGGGTAAGTAGACGTCACATCGGCGATATATGTCCATAAAAGCTGAACAACCAAAAGATTATAAGGTCCAGTCAACGCAATTCTACTCCATCGGTAGGGTATGGGAACTAACTTCAGACTGTCAGCAAACCTGTAATGTGCTAAGTTTTCAACTATTATGTATAGGTTATTTCGGTATACTGGGCAGAGCCTGCCGGTGATACTTCTGTACCGCATGGTCGCGGCAGTCCTTACTTCTATTCGGCTGGGTATGGTCAAGAGGTTCATGCAAACATTCGTAGAATGGTTGTTGTCAATAACCAGCAAGGCTGTTCGTGGTGTCTGTAAGTAATTATTGTCGGCTATCTCCAACGAAGTATCAAAACAACGAGCTAATTCTGTATAAAAGGGCTATCTATACTTATGGAGGAAGGGGCCTTTTGAAGCCAGGTATTGACCTGAACACTCACTCAGTAGTATACATGAGAGGAAGTGAGCCCGCTTATTACGCCCCAGGACGAGAAGCTGGAATACCCCCTATCATGATAAACCCCTTTACCCCGGAAGATAAACTCCAGGAATCATCTTGCCTCAACTTCGGAAAGGTTTTCACTGTGGATCATAACATTAAGGTCAAGCCTATCGGACATGTCAGCCAGGAATCTCTAAGACTTTTCCACCGAGCTTGGAGACGGTGTCTTGACAACGAAGATTACGGTAACTAGTCTTGAACATTCGGACAACATTTTGGCCAACTCTACCGCTGAGGCCATTCACTCTCTCACTGGTGACGATTTTATACGTCAGACACGCTGATTATTTCTTAAATATACGTTGGCCCCTTTCATTCCTGTTACCTTTTTATACAGACTACGACGTTCTAAGCTGTTTCATTCAACAATTCAACATGTTGGGTTCTTTTGAGCAGCAGATTTCAACCCATTCTTCCTTAGGGTCCTTTCATCTATTGCAAGTATCAAACCAAAACTCAAACCTAAGTCTTGTCTTCTTTTTCTCTATATTCAACATTGTTCAAAAATATATAACGTCCTTCAACAGCACAGACACAGCGGTTGTCTTTAACATTGAATTCCATTCATTTTATGCGTACCCTGTGTCAAATGGCCCAGGTTATTTACACGACTGACAACACACCATCCGAATGATTTTACTCCCGATATATACGTCTTGTATATAACCAAATTGAATTTACATTAACTACCAAATCATGGAGTCTCTACTTACTATATTATCTGCCGTCAGTTAACTGGCTATATTTTCCAAGGAAGTAATACGTGGCTTTTAAAGAGCTGTCATTAAACACTGTAATCTCTTCTGGTCATGGCCATGTTAAGTACTGCACTGCACTGCACTTTACAATTCTCCATTGATAAAGTCTACAACCTGTGCTTTCTCGAGAACTTCGCCGGCACTCTTCACAAAGTCCTGGTGCATGGGGTCCTTCTGGACATAATAGTCTCGGTCCTCCTTGCTTGCAAAATTGACCACAAAGGCATGTGTCATGCCATTCTTCATGTAAAAAGGTTAGAAAAACAGGCATATTAGAAGTACCAGATACAGAATACTAGTTATAATTTCATCTTACCTGGATACCTTCGATCGACATATCAACCCCGCCAGAAGATGAAAGGATATAAGGCTTCTGGGTAAGCGGATGAAGACATTTGTCTTTTAAACCTAGCATACGAGTGGAAAGCTACAATGTAAGTTAGCACCCATCCATTAAACTGGTATCCAGGGTTTACCACTAACATTGCGTACGGCCTCTGGTGAGACCTCCTTTTTGAACTGGAAGAGGACGACATGTGTGACTGACATGCTGGCGGCTAGATGGGATACGGGCGAAGAGGTCAAATGGGCGAGAAACAGAGTGATAGCGCAGAGAGCAACTAAAGCAATGAACAGGCTTATCCGCTGTGCTTTTGAGAGCATAGCAGGGAGAAGTATGCATAAATAATTAGAACACGACGTCGTTTTTGATGCTATCAACCCGCAGGCATCAATTAATCCCTGTTGGACGTTCGGTTGATGGCTATGTATTTAGCGCCCGCCCTCTAGGCACTCTCGTAAAAGATAGTTAATCAACTAAAACCACGACTAGATTCAGTGCAACATACATGGACTAATCCACACCTACCTATTTATATATAGGTTGAGTATTGTCCATCCTCATGTCTAGCAGTAAAGAATATAACATAAATAGATTATGTAAAGTTTACTTAAAATACTAAAAAATCTATTAGAAGATAAGCTAATCATTAAATTTAAAAAATATTTGCGTATCAGTAAAAAAGTAGCTACTCCAAGTAGACTAGTAGTAAATATATTTGTTGAGTGTTATATTCATTGAGCTGGCGGACCCTGCCTTCGCTTCAGCAGGGAGGCAGATAGTCTTGGCCCGGTTGTAGAAAAATGCGTGATTTCGAACCACATCCATTTGTATATGACTCGACTAAAATTACACCCAAGCTGACCCTAGCGCTTTCGTCAACTGCAGTATATATCAGTAGTACTCCAGCAGCCATTCCTTGAGGGCCTTAATATCAGAACATTCTAGGAATAAGGAACTCTTTATGTCGAGCGATAACTCGTCGCGTAGCTTCTCGGATAGCACCAGCGACATGAGCGAGTCGACCCCTAGCTCCACAAACGTGGCGTCGTCCTGGAGCTGGTCTGTAGTGAGACCAGTCTCACGGCTGATGAGTTTCATGCAGGAGCAAACAATACCTTCAGAGACAGGATCGCTAGGGCTGCTCTTGGATACCACGGGTGCCGCCTCCGCCGCTGGTGCTGCGATTGTTATCTCTTTCATAGGCTGAGCCCCGGAAGCAAAGGGCTTTGCAACTGAAGAATCACCCTTGGAGGCTTGAGTAACCGCCGATTCGGGCTTGACCATTGCAGTCGTTGTTATAGTCTTGCCAGCATGTGTAGGTGCTCCAGATGTGCCTGCAGACAGACTGAAGAAACGATCCATTAGGGTCCGTGGTACGCGGCGGAACTTCATTGTGCGCAACATGGCCACTACCTCCCCATCCTGCAAAACGTACACATCGCCGGCAAACATGTTTTTCGAGGCGTTGTTCTCATCTTTACCGCCACACTCACTGGCCATAGGGCTCATGCGAACGTAGCTGCGGAACTTGTCGCCAGCCCGGAACCGTCGCAACATCCGGCAACTGCCCCATCCGGGGGTGACATAGAAGAAATCCCGTGTGTTTGAGGCGTCACTGCCGTTGAGTACTAAGCCACCGACGTGAAAGATGCTGTCGATGCAATGTGGCGGCGAGTGCCAGATGCCGCCCTTTGTAATCCTGGAGGCATCGCCGAGCGACACATCGGCAACAGCTTCAAAGTCTTGCATCACGACAGACTGCATACCACGGTAGGTCTCGGAGTAGTCAACAACATTGCGGAACAGCTTGTACGCCATGTTGCGACTTAGACGGTTGGCCCCGCCTTCGCCGGTTGCTGCAAGACGGTCCAGCTCATCGATACGTGACTGTACAAGATGCGTGACGTGACTCCATTCCCGCTGCCAGGTTTTAGGATCTTCATAGAGGACGGTACAGCTTGCGAACGGAGCATCTGCGCCTGTGTCGTTAGCCTCAACATGGTGCCAAGTCACCGTCGTCGTCGTCGGGTCGGCTAGCTGACATTCCGCCCTGACTCGAATGAGGTGTGGTGTTGACTTGTCTGTTGAGACGACCTGGGCATGGAGTACCTCCATGTCAACAATGTTCATGGCAACCTCACCGTCGTGGTCAGGAACAAGCCGCTTGTAAATGTATTCGCCAACTGTCAATGCCATGTCGGCCCAAATGGACTGAATTCATACAAGATACGTCTGTCGTTAGTTTTTGAAAGTTTGACGGTCAAGCGAAGGACAAATACACTTACACTAGTTGCAACGCCAAACCCGTTCATATTGTGTCCTTCAACGGATGGGAAGAGTGAAGGATGCTTCAGATCTGAAAGAGTCTCGACCTCAGCCTTGGCTTCCTCCGTATACACCTTGTCCAGGAGAATATTTTGGATGGATGACGTTTGAAACGTTGATGACAAGTTTAGTGGTCTTTCTTTACCCTGAGGCGACTGTATCTTGGGATACGCCTTGTCTAGCGTCCAAGTGCCAACATACGGAATCCAATAGTTTTTTTCATTCCATCGGTAGGAAGGTAGAAGAAGCATTTGGTGTGTCTTTTCAAACGGCTTGAACCACTCATTGGGAGAGATACGCACGCCTAGTCGATATAAGGCAGCTATGGTGGCCCCCATAGTGGTCCAGTTATCCTCCTTCCTTCGGATAGAAGCAAAGACGGCCGTACCTGGAGACCAGTTGCGAACGAGAGTATTGCAAATAGGATGAGGCCCTACTTCAAGCCACACAGCATTGGTATCAGCGACTCCAAGGTCTCTGGCGGCATCGAGGGCATCGACGAACTTGACTGGCTCGCGCGATGCACGACGCACATACTGGGCGCCGATAGTCTTACCGTCAAAAACACATTCACCAAGCAGCGGTGAAATGACGGGGAGCTGTGGGGGCTTGAACGTGACATGTCGTGCCTTCTCTTCAAACTCATCTAGAATGGGATCCATCTGCGACGTGTGGAATGCATATGGAATATCAAGTACAACAGTCTTGATATTCTCCTGTTGTAGCCGCTTATTGATGCCCTCGATATGATCAATATGCCCACTGATGACTACATCCTGCGGGCCGTTTATGCACGAAAGCTCGTAAGCCATACCAGAACATGTTTCCTCAATAGTCTTGATGCTTGCTCGTACTGAGAGCATGACATGGGTACTTGGGCTGCACTTGGATTCTATGAGTGAAGCTCGAATACCCACGAGGAAGATGGCGTCCACAGTTGATAGAACCCCGGCCATGACAAATGCAGCGTATTCACCGAGGCTATGGCCGATGACAGCGCTGGAGTGTACGCCAAGCAAGTTCCAAAGCCGTCCGAGAGCAATTTCGGTTACTAGGATTGAGAGTTGGGTGATGATGGCTGAAGGGTTGGTCTCTTCATGTTGGCTTGATCCAGATAGATAAGGCTCAACAGAGGGGAATCCCAGTCGCTGGACGAGACAATCCAGTTGATGGACTTCAGTTCGATAGAATGGCATGTCGCGATAGAGTTGGGTCCCAATTGACTTGTAAAAGGCTCCCTGACCCGTAAACATCATCACGACAGGGGGGATAGTTGATGAAATGGATTTAATCTCCCCTATTTCCTCGAGAGACGACTCCAACCAGCTTATCGCGTGCGGCACTGATGTCACGCAGGCCGCAATTCTCATCGAGTGGTGCATGCGACGGGCGAATAGCGTGTATGAGAGGTCTCCCAGATCTGTGTCTAGACGGCCCTTCAAGAACTGAAGTAGAGATTCAGCGTTTGCACGGAGGGAGTATCTGCTCTTGGCAGATAGACAGATGATGTGTGCATCGCGGTTGTCTATGCCTACCAACTGTCGAGGGGGTGCTTCCTCGAGTAGAACAGAGGTATTGCCACCATGGGCTCCGAAGCTGTTGACGAGTGCATATCTCTTCTTGTTTCCTCTTGCCCATGGTGTAGATTCCCAGGTAAGTCCTGTGTTGCGTTTCTCGATGTTCTTGAGCACAACGGGGTTCACATTGTCCTTGTCACCGAATTGTGGTGGGATCAACCCCTTCTGGAATATAAGGGCTGTCTTAATGGAGGCTACAGCTCAGCTGACCCCTTCGCTTAGCTCGGTCGACCCAAACTCTAAATTTTTACGTAATATCTTATGTAATCACACAAAGGTGAGCTGACCTCGCTAAATGAAGCCACACCAAGCTGATCAAAGTTACAAAAAACAACTTTGAAACAGCACCTTGCTCCCCCCCCCCCCCTGGCCTGCAGGTGAGAATATCGCTTAAATAGCTGCTAACTACTCTGCAATCACTTTCTAACTGCTTTTTATAGCTTTTTCTCGTTTGCTTATCCCCTTATTTCAACAAAAATGGCCAAGAACTTCAGTGAGAACGTGAGTCTTCTCAACCAATCCTTAACCAGTCGCGAACTAGTTACTAACTAGTCTCAGAAATACTACAAGCGCTACCTTACCGAACGACCCAAACTGCCTGCATACGAAGTGGTATATAACTAGCTGTGGATTGGTTGTCGACTGCTTTGCGACTAGTATCTAACTAGTTGTGAAATAGGATGATGAAGGCAACATAATCTTGTACCATGGGGAGCTAATTTGTCGAGTCGAAGACTGCGCGGCCGAGGTACGTATAACTACTCCCCTACTACTTTCCGACTGCTCATCGACTACTTACTAACTAGTTACCCAGACCCCTTACTCCAGCACCAATAACTTACGCAAGCATCTGAAAGAGCAGCATGATGACTTAGTCTTGAAGAAGACTGCTGGGGGGGCTACCTCCTTTAAACAATTGAATGAGGCCATCCGTATGTTGCACATAATACTCTTCTTTAACTAATCCTTAACTGCTTGTCAACTAGTTCGCGACTAATTATACAATAGAATTTTATAAGTCCTTGGAATTTGAGGAAGAAGCTGAGGAGGAAGAAGAGGAAGTGCGGCCTCGGACTCCAAAGTCCACCAAGAAGGGTGGCAGCAAACGTGCTTCGAAACGCCTGCCAGAGAAACGTCTCCCCCCTTTGCCAATGAGGAAGGATGGACAGAGGGTATGTGACTACTTCCTAACTGGTTGAGAAGCAGTCAAGAACTAATTGGAATGACAGCATAACGTGACTGAGATGAGGAAGATGGTTCGGGGCTGGGGTCATAGTCTGCCATGTCAGAATTGTGACAATGCAAAAGGTAAGTTACTAGTTACTGACTAGTTGTTAGGTAGTTGATAACTAATTATGGAGTACTTAGTTTGCTGCACGGACTCCCAGTTCTGTAACTATTTCGACTTGTTTTATGTTGAGGAGATTGAAGAGGCAGAGGATAATGAGGAAGAAGTAGTTGCATAGTAGTTTTTAACTAGTTGATAGCCTTTAATCTCAAAATTTTACCGGTTCCTGACTAGTTGATAGTCTCAATTTCAGAGTAGTTCAACTAGTTACGGACTAGTCGGTAACTAGTTTGTAACTAGTCGACATCCCTCTCCAACCTCGTCAGCTCAAGTAGAAGGCGTTTATTTTCAAGCTCTATTTTCTCTGCTTCAGCATTCTGCTTTCGTATCTCAGCTTGTTGCCTCTGGTAATCAAGCTGCTGTTGCTGAATAGTTGCCTGAGCATTTTGTGTAGCTGTTTGATGTAAAGAACGTGTTGGAGAGCTTGTAAGAGTCGCTGACTGACGCGGGCGAATTGGTTCCAGACTACTTATATATTAGTTGCAGACTAGTTCGCAACTAGTTAAGAGATATTCTTACCTATCCCTAGGCTGCCTTGAGTTTGACCTTGCTCTCGAGTCTCCTCTAGTATTAGAACGTGATCGAACGCGGCGTATACCAGAGGAAGAAGCTTGAGATAATATAGTATCATCTTCAATAGATACTGCTAGATGACGTCTCTTCTTCTTTTCCTCATTTTCTATACTAGTTAGCAACTAGTTACTAACTAGTTATAGTAAACTTACGTTTCCTTCGTATCATCGTTTGTACACTTGTGCTCTTTGATGTAGTTCTATAATTATGGTGAAGACCAAAATTATCCATTGCATTATATTGGTCAACATCTCGTTGATCAAGAACCTGAGAACTATAGATAATAGAGTAGTTAGTAACTAATTCCCAGTTAGTTTGGGACTAGTTAAATACCTTTTGACTGCACTTAGGAGTGTTTGGCGAGTACCCATTGAATATAATTTGGAATGGCTCTGCTCAGCAGCATTTGTATTTGTTCTTATCTGTTCGAAGACCCGATTATTAATAAGAGAACAAAATCGATTCAATCCGGAAGCAATAATAGTTTGAGCCTTGTGGGACGCCCAATCTCTGACTTGCTGATTATTACTTTCTATAGGACTAGTTAGGGAGTACTCGTCAACCAGTAGGCAAGTAGTTATTAACTTACCTCGGAGAGTAGCACAGATTTCAAAATACCTATTTCTTGATGGTGCATCAAGAAGGCTAGCCATATCAGAGCCGAGAATATGGCTATCAGTAATAGGGTCAAATCCTGCTAGTAATTTTTTAATTCCTCTCATAAAATGGATTCGACAGAAGATAATAATATTTCGTAGTTGAAATTCAGGGCTTCGGCTTTCTGGATCGAGGCTTTGTAGATAGTGTGCAAGTCCTAAGTACTCTATAAGCGGTTACCAAGTAGTCAGGGAGTACTCCGTAATCTATACCTGTCATTTGCTTTGCATCCATATCCATAACAATAGCTTTAAAGCCTCGTCTATGGAGGTAGAAGAAGTTAACTGGCTTTTGAAGAACCCTAGATATAGTTGCAAATACTCTTTCGAATAGCAACTGATACCCATGAGGAGATTCTTTATTAGTAAAGACACGAAGTAAAGTAAATACTATTAGTTATCGACTAGTTAGTAACTACTCCATAGCCGGTTAATAAGTAGCTATACTCACCTTTATTGTGTGCCTGGAGGAACTTTGCAAACACTACCTCATTAAATTGCTTTGATTTAATACGTTTATAAGACATATCAATTTCAAAGGAATCAAATTCCAATAGTAGCTGAGCTTGCTTCTCGAGAAAACAGATAATCATGATAGTACCATCTTCATCCTGGTATATATTTTGAATATACTCCTAAGTAGTTAAATACCAGTTAGGAACTAGTCAGAGAGTACATAGGAAGTAGTTATAACTTACATGACCTTCCTCAGGGTGGTTCCATTCAAATAGAACACCGTTAAAGTCTTGACCCTCAGGGAAATTAAGCAATTTTGCCTTTTTTATAATAGCAGCAATGCGATCCATATTCGTAAAGCTCTTATTAATTTGAGTAATACTTTGCTTATTATATGTTAGGCAAAAGTCACTTAGGGCTTTTGATTTCAAGAATGTAGCTATATTATAACTAGTTAGCAGCTGGTTATCAACTAGTCATCAAGTAGTTACTAACCAAGTGTAAGATCCGGATTCTGCATTCGTCGTACAAGCTCAAAAATCTCACTCATAATAACCTCTGGGGCTCTAGCAGGTGGAGATAGAGGATAATTATACTTTCCATAGGATATAAAGAGTATAAAGTCGCAATCATACTCCTCTATTAGTACTAATATATAGAAAACAACCTCGCAGAGTACACGCTACAGTGCACCAGGGCCTTATAAATAAGGTTGACCTATAATATTACTAGTTAGTAACAAGTAGGCAAGTAGTCCCTAACTAGTTATAAACTTACCACAATAGTCCCTTCTTGCAGATATTAGTTCAACAACATGACATTCATCATTTCCTAGTACTTCTATTTCCGCCAGTTCATGTAGATAATTAATATCTAAAGGACTTATTCCTTAAATAGAGTAATAGAAATGTCTATCAAATGCCCCTGAAACAGCCTGAGAGCACTGAATATAAGGATGGTGACGCCCTGCTAAATTCTTTAACTAGTTAGAGACTAGCTACCAAGTAGTTTCAAAGTACTTACTGCATAGCCCGACAGCTTGAGTTTCGGTGAGCAGCTTGCATCTTGATCTGCACATGCTTTTTTGGCTTCAAATCTCTTCTGTACCCCCTGCCAAACACTAGTTATTGACTAGTTAGTAAGTAGTCAAGGAGTAGTGGGTAACTAATTCTTATAGTACCTGATTGCATTCTCCTGTGCCTCCCCTCGCGTAGTCTTATTACGCTTCCACATTTCCTGATACTGATAAAGTTCAGCTTCAGATAAGGATGTAAAGGAGTAGTTTGCTAGTTCAGAGGCAAGATATTCACATATCTTTACTCCAGTACAAGAGTACTTATGCCTAAATACCATTGTATTTAGAAAAGGGCTGTTCATTGTCTTCGTTGGAATGGCGCGCCTAGAAGAGAATTGGATCTATAATAAACTACTCAGTAACTAGTTATAAAGCACTCCAGGACTAGTCATATTAATACCTTATTCATAAAATTTAAATCTCCTGTTTCTCCACATCGATTTACAACATATGTAAATCCATCTTCGTGTGTCTCTGGATATTCAGGAAGATAAGAACTAAATTCAATCTTCCTAGTAAGCAGAGGAGTTGTATCAGAAGTTGTCAGTGGAGTAAGCTCAGCAAGCTCATCACCCCCCTATAAGTAGTTAGCAAGCAGTTGCCAACTGGTTATAGACTAGTAAATACCTCGGGCTCCCCCTCCTGTTCGATATCAAGGGTATGGTCTTCATGTAGGAATAAATCCTCATTTGCATTGAAGATATCTTCAATAATACCATCATTAGAGCTTTGTATAAAAGCTCCTCCAGGGTTAAATTCAAACAAGTCACTATCATCCGCCATGGTAACTAGTTGTGAACCAGTCGTGATGTGTATGTTTTAAAAAACGTAAATGTAAAATTGAATTTATACTGTTCTTTTCCTTTTAGCGAGGTCAGCTCACCTTTGTGTGATTACATAAGATATTACGTAAAAATTTAGAGTTTGGGTCGACCGAGCTAAGCGAAGGGGTCAGCTGAGCT